CGATTGCATAGATATCGATAGAAAGAGGGACAACTGAAGACGCGGAAGCTCTGCCCTTACTGCAGCATTGAAGAAATTGGCGGGAAATTTCACAAGAAGAAATAACCGAAATGCAGTCTAAAAACATCGCAAGAATAGCAAAAATAATGACCTTGAAATGAAAACGCGCGAACAAAACAGAAACAACAAACGTACGGAAATAGAGCGATTTGATTGGTTTATTGAAAGGATACAAACGCGCGTGGCTTTTGGTTGGTTAAGCGAACGTTCGGGTGAAAAAACTTCACGCCCGAGAACTTTCGACCACAATCTTCAAAGGTCTACACTCTTATAGACCATAGAAATGACGTCATAAAATGTTCAAAACTCAAGTAAAACCACGAGCCGCAGGCGAGTGGTTTCACTGCAAAGTTTTGAACATTTTAACGTGTCATAAGAGTGCATGGAAAATCATGTTGTGGTCGAGTTGTTTTTTACAATAACATTTAGGGCGTGATCAGGAGCCCCATTCAACCAAAATTTCCGGAGATTTCGGTCCAAAACTCAATGGATCGGTTCGGTCCAACGGGAAAAGTTTCGAAAAACTGGTCTACCTTTTGAGGTGGACCACTTTTCCCTGTCGGACCGGTCTGAATTTTGGATGAATGGATCGCGTCCTTAGTTTTAGTTTCCTGCGAAGTATCTCGGAAAATCACGCGTGACATGTTACGTCATTTCCATGGTCTATACTCTCATTGACCATGGCTCTCGACCAATCAGCGCGCTAGGATTCGCTCTGTTGTTGTACAAAAATCAATCGATACTTCGCTTTGACGTCATACTGCAACACGATTGGCCAATCGAACAATGCCTTCTCCATATTAGGGTTTTCTTCGGCGGGAAAACGCACGAAGAGGCCATGTTTTGATCTTTTCATCCATTGACCGATAAAACACATAACGAACACTTACTGAAACCATTTTTCAAGGTCATACGAAAATCGATCTAACAATGTTCGACGACCCTAGAACTCACTCACATAGTGATTCACAGACACAAAAAACTTTAATGATTTGGTATTTACACGGCACGGAATGCAGTATCCCCAAAACTGCTTTCCATTAATGTGCATATTAATAACAATGGAAGGGTCAGCTAACTTTTCTTGAAACGACCATTCGATACCCTTAACACTCATTTTAAGGTATCTCGGTCAGAAGTGCCTGGAAAGAATGCAATTTCAATTACTTCGAAACTTTTAACGATTATATTTTGATCGAAAAGAAGAAACCAAAGTTAACGCATTACATGCATGAAATAAATATTCTCGTCAGGAGCAAAAAGAAACATCGAACCATAGATCATTTTACCATCAAGACGACCTTTTTTAAAGACTTTCATATTCTTAGTGACTTGTATATAGTACGAAAAGAAAAGGGCGAAATGAAAAAAAAAAAACAGTGTTGATGGGTTAAATTGCTTTTAATCGCTCCGTGCGTTAAAGAAATGGTTAAAAAGTAGCAGTATGTTGTTACTTAAGAAAATTCCGAGACATTTTTCGAATATTTGAGCAAAAAATAAGAAGATATGGTTTGAGTTTTTTTAAAGTCGATTCTTGATTGACCCGTTCAGGAAGTAATTGTACCTCACGATACATAGGTCACATTATGTTCATGGTGTCGATACAAAGGATTAGCACTGCGCAATTTTGAACCACAAATAAAAATATATTTAACCTTACATTAAGTACTAAACGAAAGTATTAGCAAACCACAAATCTGACTCACCTAGGTTGGGTACAAAAGGCAGGAATTGCTAACGGCCAGCAATCATGTGGAAGTAATCGTTAAACTGACTTTGACTGAGAGACCATTGAATTTAATTTGAATTCATTTCTTTGCCTCGTGAAACGAAGAAGGCAACCCTTCAGGGAACCCAAATAAACCCTGAACGAAGGGAAGACAGCTTAAGTCGTTGTTTAAGATGCGCAAAACAAAGCCGCTGCTCTGTAAAAAGTTGATCGTTCGTTGTAAGATTTAGTGTGATTGTAAAGCTAAAGATAATATATTCAGTACGCACTTGAAAATTCTGCGTAACCTCAAAAAACTTACATTATTAATAACTGTTTGGAGCAGCTGCCTATATTAAGAGCACCGGAAAAAGCGTCTGAGAATTAACAACAACCATGAACAGACTGTCATTACAAAAGTTTCATATAAAAGCAGGTTAATGATGTCTTCCTACCTCGACCTGAGACCCCGTTAACTGTCATTGCTCTTTATGGTTAAAAAAATACAGTTTTCAAACACGAGCCGGCGATTACAATAAAACCAATTTCAGTTTAGTTAGATGAAGAAAAAACATAAGAAAAAAGGCAATTTATTGGCAGGAATCATAATTTAAGAAAAAAAATAAGGATTAAAAGAGCATAACAATTAATAATTTAAGAGATAAAAGTGATCGAAAATGAAATAAAAGTACTTGTCATCCGGATAAATAAAATTTGAAAACAATAATCGAAGAAATTTAAAACATTGCTAGCTTTATTTTGCGAGCGTAAATCCCGAGTTCTCCCTTACAGATAACACTAGAAATAACATCAGGAAAGGAAACACTGGAATCTAAAAATCTGTCCGATTTAGCAAAACTTTGTGTTTTTTGTTTATTTCAACTAAAATGTAGCTTGGCTAAACACTCGGTTCAATGGCTCGAATGATTGTCGAGGCTTAAATAAACTGAAACACTGATTAACAGCAATTAAGAGAGAAGTCAACTAAAACACATGTAATCGTCAAAATATGTTTGCATGGATTAAATAATAAAGCGGGAGTCTAAACCGAACTCCGCGCCAAAGAGCAATGATGATAATAGCACAAGATGATAACTTTCTTGAAAACAGTGAGGAACTTCCGCGTAGCATTAATATTTGCGGGTACATCAAACAGTTAGTTCCCGCAGGTTAGCTTAGCCTGGCCAGAAAAATTAACTTCCTATTTTCTCCCAAGGTCAAATAGTAACATGTTTAACTTGACGACAGGCGGGTTTTGCCGCTTTTTTGTTTGTTTCCCCAACACATCTAGGTTGAAAGAAACCCGTATGTCTCACCCGCCAAGAGAAACAAGCATTGTTATTCCGACCTACGCCAAAAAATGGTTACCATGACGTCACCACCACAAGTAGGAGACGTCTGCACGAATGCAATGACGTATAGCTATCTCTCAACCAATCAACGAACGGCTTTTATTTCGGTTAGAGTGTAACTAACTGCCCGCCAGTGCGCACGCGCATACCTGAAAATATAGACGAAAAACGAAAAGCAAAGAAACAAATATAAAATTAGGGATGGCTGAAGGGGGAAACTTGCAGGGTATATTTTTTTGATGATTGATCTCCAGATTATCAAGTGTATAAAAAAATTTATCGAGCCGTTTTTGAATAATGCGAAATTTGTATGCATGGACCAAATTACGTGCAAAAACTGCAACAAAAGCAGCGGAATGCAGGTTAATAAAATTCTTCTAACTTGCGATCGCCCAGAGCAATTCCCCTCTTTTTTTTGTACGCAGTTTTCAATGGAATCAAACCACTATGAGATGAAGCCGCGTTTCCAAAGCTTATCATTTTCTTAAAATATTAGCTAATTGTGTGGATAGCATGCTATTTCACTGTTTTTATGACTCTTGAGACTCTGTTTCAAAATATTTCCTAAACGCTTTTATAGAATTTGCTCAAACTTTGCCACAATCGGGGCAATTATGGCAGGTACATACTCCCTTAAGCGATTTCTTAAGAAAAACTCGCAGCACAGAGAAACACAAAGATCAATTCAAAAAGCTAAAGGCGTCATTACGTTGCCATGGCGACTCCGACTGCAATAAAACCCAGATCATAAGAAATTTTCATCTTTATATAATACAGTTGTGGGAACTTTTTACCCATATCTTTACTCATGCCGACGTTGTTAATGCTCAAACTTGGGAGGTATCCCCTCCTAAAAGATCCGGTCGAGCCACCTTACAAAAAAAAAGCGAAACAAACAAAGAATTAAAAATGCGGTTCTGAGAATATGACGAAGTTCGAGTATACGCTACAATAGCGTCTTGTTTTGTCTACGCTTTGCCTCGAACTCTTGCCTGCAGCTCGCACGCATGTTGTTGAGGTTCAACCGAATGGCGTATGATTACTTGGCGCAGCGCTTATCTGGTAGTCAGCCATCTCCACCCCTTAACCAGTGAGGGGGCGAGGGGAAGGGAGAGAGAGATCCCAGAAGATCTCATTCATCGGCTAGCTGTTAGAAGCTATAAGGAATGTTTGGAGCCCACGGCTAATTATGTCAGAACGGTCTACAGAAAAAAAAAAATTATTCCTAAAAAATACAATAGTTTGCATGCGTTTAACTACGACTGAGCTATACTATTTTTCTAATGAAGATCAGGTAATTGCCAGTCCAAACTGCTATCCAGAAATGAAAAAATACATTTTACTTAATCGGGTAGGTTTTTATCGTTCACGTATCCTTTAAAAAAGAAAAGTTAATTTAAACTAGAAGAAATTCTGCGTTGCTAATCGAATGTGCGAAACAACCATTCAGTATGGGATTGTAATCATCATAACTTTGAAATAACCAATTATACAAATTTGTATTAATTTTTGCAGGTTAACAACTTATTGTTAATTTGAAGCAATCAATTTCATCATTTGTCTTACTTCCTCAATTTGTACGGTTGTCCTGTTTTCTCGTTCCTCTTTGTTCAGTAAAGTACACGTTCCACCAACTTCCGCGACGTTTGGGGAATATGTTTGGTAGGAAACTACAGTTTTACGAGCCGACAATTTTCATGGAAATTTTTTCCTGTTTGTTCCAAATGGTTGCCAAGAAATGACAGGTTCTCTGTAAAGCAGTTCAAGCAATAAACACGTTTAATTGATAGCCTAGGTTTTTAATTAAAACTAGACAAGGAAGTGGGAAAAGGAGTTTTATTTGCAGGCCTGAAACGTTCGCATATTCAGTATTACTTTTCGACTTCACATTTTATTCCACTAGCCATAAAACAATATTCTCCGTTACACTCAAATCCCTTCCAAAGAAGACTTATACACGAGCCTTGACGTGAGTTCCAACGATTAAACTCACAAAGTTTCTGACATGTTTAAAATATCAAACAGCTCTTGAAAGCAAATGAAAGAGCTCAAAAAAAGCTACCCCCTGCAGCTTGCTAGCCATGTTTGTTGATTAATTTTGCTATAAATATTCTTCACGAGCAGTATAAACAACATGTACTTTAGAAAAAAGCTAATGTTTCTATTTACCTTAGAGGCAGCATAAAGGTACAATGTATTTTATTGATCAACACTTTGTGACAGCTCCATTTCGCAAGTTTCGGACAAATGTAAACTAAATAGTGCGAAGACTGTTGCATACGAAAACACTATCAAAAAACAGAGGTTTCACAACAGAGACAGATAGTACTACTGTAGTGCGAAGAGCGAAATACACTGACATCAAGAATTTGTCGACACTTCGGATCCCATTTTAAGTTTCTTTGAAAGGCCGTTCAGGAAAGAATTTTCAATGTGATAAAAGGCTTTGTTGGCATAAATGTTTTTTCCTCAGTTCGACTTGCTTATTCAATCTATAGTTGAATAAGGGAACGCCGGTAGTTTATAAAGAAGGTTTTAGCTGCGGGACAATTAAGATGTTTCAGTGTGACAGTTGAGGTCTGAGGCCCTGTCCACACTAATGCGTTTTTAAAAGTATGCGTTTTCGTTGTCATCAACATCGCATCGATCGATTCGCGTCCACACTACCGTTTTGCTGCGTTTTCGACTGTCCACGCTATAACGTTCGACAACGAATTGCACGTTGTGACGTAAGCTGAACCCTATGCGCACACGACAGGCACACACGCCTGCGATATTTTCGGTCATCGTTTTTATTTTTGTGCGTTTTTCGACCGCCAACCCTAATACGATATGTGTTTTCGTTTCGATCCACTTTCACGAGCATTTTCAAATCGATGTCGCTCAGCGTATTAGTGTAGACGAAAGGCCTAAACGCATCCAAATGTGTGCGTTTTCAAACGAAACGTCACTAGTGTAGACGGGGACTGAGAGAGTTGGCGTTTTCTATTACTGACTAATTTGTGGATGTGGAAAACTCTCTCTCAAGGTTTTGATGAGACGTTAGGATACACAAAGGACCCACAGCCGACAGGATAACATTTTTGCCTTTATAATAACGTAGTTATGGTGGACCCCTCTACAACGCCGGCCCAAACGGGTTAGGCAGTACAATAAACAACGCTTTCTCACTGTCTGATAATATTTTACTCACTGTCGCTGAACTATTTCCACCTCTTCCAGCGACTTAAAAGTAAATTTGTAATCTCGCGAAAGGAAATGTCCTTTTTGCCCTAAAATCGTTGTCTTTAACGCGATTCTGTCTTAACTTCTCAGCCGCATGTGAAACGGTTATGAGAACCGAGATGAAAAAATTCCAACTGCGAGAAAAGGGCAAGTTCTTTGTCTGCCTTTTTTTATCTGGGAAAAGAAAACCATGTTGAAGGTTACTTCAGTCATAATTCTTGAAAAAAACTTCAGGCCCACGAAACATCAGTCTTGTGATAAATTAAACTTGTGGTTTAGTCACACTGTCCTTGCGTTACGCTAAAGTGTTCCGTAATGTGTCCGTGTCACGCAATAAGTAACGCCTCAGGACCCTTCTCCTTGTGTTCTAATATCATCAATCTTGAGAATCATCTTGACAAGCTGAGTAGCTAAGCTTATCTGTTGTTTCTTGCCAATCAGCGTCTCTATCACATGCTGCTCTTTCATATCTGAAAAAAAAAAAAAAAATTTAGCAACTTCCCTCTCCCCTCCCAGGAGTTTATCAAGAAACCCCTGGTAGGGGAGAGTGAGAGTGCTAATTGTTCAAACTATTTGTCAGTTGATGAGCTTGTGAACTGGTGCCTTGCTAATTAAGGGGGAACCTTACCACCTCAGAAGCAGCCTCCGACAGGTAATAGGGAGCTTACGCAACAACGACAGTCAGCGACGGCTACGAAAACGTCACTTACAAAGTAAATTCGCGCTGCCTCAAGCTTTATCGCGGTTATTACATCTCGTTTAATTCGTCAAATGTTGGCAAATTTTTCTGGAGTTGAATTCTAAAAGACTGTATCAAAGTTCAGGAAAAGAAAAAGAAAGTCGTTGTCTTGTGTTCCCGTCCTCGACAGAGACGTGAAATTAGGCAGTTTCACGTCGTAGTCGTGCAACGACGGGGACTTAAAAGGGACGAATGATCTTACCATTGATTCCTCTGTCCATACAGTCCACTCCCAATCTGGGATTGCCTTCAGCAACTTGTCTGGATTTAATGTCTGCTACAGTTTGAATAGGATTTAACCCTGAGTTCTCTGCTAGTGCCAGTGGTATAGCTTCTAGTGCGTCACTGAATGCTCTCATGGCATACTGCTCTAAAGTGGATATCTAGACAAGAAAAATCCATTACTCAGATGAACTGATTGGATTTATTAAAATGTTACTGTTAAATAAGTAAAGGGACAACGCTCAGAAGAAACGAGTTCTGATAAAAGAGTTGCCATTGGAGTCTCTTGCAGAGCAAAACGTTTGGGTCATGTTGATTTCTTAGCAATGTCTTCATCGGTTTGAGGCTCAAGTCCACCCACCCCCCTTGTCCTGCCCAACCCTAACAGGCAATACAACAACAACAACAAAAACAAGGTCTTAAACAAACTTTTTTTCTCTCAACCTCTACCCAGTAAGATTTGCCCACATGTGACCACACCCTCCGCCAGAGAAAAGACTTTTTTCCTTCTTCTAGGTGGGGGTCAGGCTACACATAGCCAAGCGTAAAGTGCGGTTGAATGATTGTTATAGTATATGCCTAATTAGTTGAACAAGCTTGTTACCTTGTCAGCCTCTTTGGTGACAGCTAGTGAGCAGGCCAGTTCTGTAGCCCCGCCACCATATACAACACGGTTATCACGAACAAGATTCCTTACAACGCAAAGTGCATCATGAAGACTTCTTTTAGCCTCTTCTATAATCTGACATTAAAAAATGGGATGAGCCACTGCAGATAAAATTATTGTGCTTCAAAAGTGAGAATACTGTCCTCAAGATTAAATTAACCCTTTAAGCCCCAATATCCACTTGGCAAATTCTCCAAACTGATCTCTATACTTTTCTTTAAAGAATAAGTTGAGAGAATTTCATAAAAGATCAAAGCATTTTCTCTTTAGTGATCATTTAATTAATTCTCATAACCTAATCTCTTAACATTGTATGGATATCGTTAGGAGAAAATTGATGTTGGTCACCATTGAGACTTAAAGGGTTAACAGTAAGTTGGTAAAATGAGTTCAATTAAGAAATATTGGAGCAGGTGTAAAAGGTTAGCCTGAGAAAATTTGCTTCAACCAATCAGAAGCACTACCAATATCTGGGTAGCGACAGGTTATCAGTATGGAATTTCTGCACTCGTTTCTCAGACATCATTTCACAGGGAAACCAGTGGTGGCATCACAAAATGTCAGCTGTTTTCTCAGGCTATACAAAGCTGCGCTTACCATTTTGTTTCCTCCTCGGATAAAGATGGTTACAGCTCGTGAGTTGTGACATTCTTCAATAACTAACATTCTATCTTTGGTAGTTCCAAAGCTTAGCTCCTTTACCAGTCCAGCCTTTCCAAGCTTTTCTGTTGTAAGTTCAGAAAATCTTGGCACAATTCTTCCACCAGTTGCAATAGCAATGAGCTACAAGAAGAACAGAGAATCACTCAACCAAACACTTCAGCATTTTTTTTTAAATTAATGCTAAAACTAAAGGATTGTGAAAGGGCTTTATTAGCCAGGGCATGTTTTTTGAAAATCTTCCGAAAATTAGAAGGCCAAGAGTACTGTTGTTATTTACATTAAAGATAGAGGTTTCAATAGTTTTGCAAATACATGTAACATGATAAAACTATCAGTTAAGTGAACAAAAGGAGGTGGTTTGTTAGCTAGGACCTGTGCTCTTATTCTCTTATGTACATTTTCATTTGAATACTTGATTTCGGAGTTGAAAAGTTACCAGGACTTTCGAGAAACAGACCCCAGGCTTTAAGACTTGCTGGCTGGGTGCAACGGAATGGGTGAGATGTACAAGTATATGTAGATCAGAAAAATCCCTCAGACTTTCTTTTTTTCAACTTTAAAAGAGTCAAAAGGCTAGCTGTCTACAAATTACCTCAATTTCAGGTCCTCCAACCCATCTAACAGCAGGCAATTCATTCTGCAGCAAAAGATGGTTGGCTTCATCATCAAATCCCCACTGACAGATGGCCAAATTAGCTCCAGTATCCTTAACCTGTTTTACCATCTCTTCAAACTTCTCCTTTTCATATTCACGCAGCTTTTGGTAGTCTTCAACTGACGTCACATCGAGCTTGTGTTTAGTCTTGGGCTTAGGAGGCTCAAATGGACAGGTCAAGATGGCAAGTTTTGCATCTTTAATAACCTGTATGCCAGAAAAAAGTGGATATATATTATAAAGAATTAAGATTGAAACAGAACCAATACACTGTATTATTACAAGGCTGATCACTGTGAAATGCACTAAACTGTGAACACCTGTTCAATATTATGGAATGTTATTGTGTTTTGAGGAAATAGCCAATAAGGCATGGGAAAACTAAACTGCAAACAGCAACGGTAATTAGTTTGTGGTTTCGAGGTTTGCTTAAGGTGACTCGACCCAGTTTTTTTGGAGGGGTACCATCCTACTTTGAAGCTCTCTGGTATTCCCACCTTTACTTTTATCTTAAGTCTAACACATACAATGGATAACATATAGATCAATTTACAATATAACATAAAATTTTTGGCGATCGGAGTAAATGTCATGTGGTTATAATGCCACGCCCCTTTGAGGTCTGAGTCGAAAATCTGCTGTTGCCAGCATTTTTTCGTGAAAATCTCTCCGCTACACATAGTGCGCATTAGTGCCTTGCGCTGAACAGAGTTTCACCAAAATCGCAAAGACCCAATTCGAGAAATTCCGCGGTTTCCAAATTTAGGTCATAATTTATGCGAAAATGATAAGCAAACTTTACACGATTATATCTAACAAACTATGAGACTTATCCCTTGCAAGTCAGCAAAAAGCTTTAGGGCCTTGTAAATGCGCGCGATTTTGAGCAAAGCAAACATATAGAAATTATAGTTTTCGCTATTTGTTGACGTTTGTCAGTGTTTAAGAGTCCTTCTCACGAAAAAAGCATTTTCTTAAAAATTCATAGTTTTTTTTCCTTCAAATTTTTTCAGGGCCACAATTGATTAACTAACTACCCGGACTCTGAATTTCATCGTCATTGAAAAACTGTGACATTATCTTCTATAAGCCCAAACTTGAGTAAACATTGAAGATTTTTAGCGTTTTGGCTGAGTTTGTGCTGTGGGAGTTGTCTATTGTTTCTAGTCTGTCACTATACAGCATTCTTGTTCAGCACGCATGCAATGACCGTGCTTGGCTGATTTCCGAACATTATTGTGATTGGTCACCACACAATCAACATTCCTGCAATTTTTCATGTGTTCACGGTTTTCTGAGTTTCACAGAAATAGAGTGGCAACATTTTGTGGGAAAATCCAACCTATTGCAAGAAACATTTGTTGTCATACCTTTGGCATCTGCGGATGGCTCATATCTTTATCAACAACTACTCCTTTGACCAACATAGTGTCATCTAGCCTGCCACCTTCCTTGCCTTGCATCTTGATAAGTTCAAAGTCAACATCTTTTCTCTCCAAGTCAGCAACAGACAACACAGCTTCGACTGCAATCTCTGCCAACTGTCTGTGGCATCGGCTGACACTAATATATATCAAGAGCAGCAAGTTATTAATCAGTTGCAAGGTCAACATGCTACATACAGTAGAACCCCTGTCACTCAAACTCTGAAGGGAAACAAAAAACAGACTATTCGAGTTAGCAAGGGTTCAAGTTTTAGAGGTCAATTAAAAAATTCAATTTGCCACGTTAAAAATTGATAGTTACTGATTTCTCAACGCTTTTGTGTATGGTGAAGTGCACATTGGCTTATTTCATCAGAAACTGTAACATAATTGGGTATTTTTATGATAAAACATGATCTGTTCATTTCACAATTTAAAATCAAATTGCCTTTAGTATTGACCAGAGTCAGTTTTAGTGTCTTCACCCCTATATAACAAAAAGAGTTGATGGAATGGCATCTGCATAGAGTTAAAAGAACAACAATTTGAGTTACTGGGGTAAATTTCAGTGACTTTTTTAATCAAGGGAAAGGACTAAAAATGACTGCAAAGTGGGGTGAAATCAAAGGGAAATTGGACTCAGGGTGCAAAGAAAACATTTTTACAGCTTGCCATTCGGGCAAGCTGAAGCTAGCATTTACTAGCCCAGACGTCATTTCAACTAGCCCCAAAAACGTTTTGTTCTTTTGTTATTCAAACTCCTCATAAAACATCACTTGCCCGTCGGGCAAGTTAAAAACAGAATTCACTAGCCCGATAGCAAAATCCACTAGCCCCGCTATCGGACACTACTTTCTTTGCACGCTGGGACTTATTTCTAGTTAGTGGGAGTACCTTTTGTACTTACATTTTGGAACCCAAGGTAGTCATGGCTGTCTGAATCAAGGATTCGGGATTATTTCTGTCAACTGGGAAGCTGTCACATATCTTATCCAGCTGTTCATTAGCTATCTTTGCTGCTAGTTCATAACCATCAGCTATTCTTATCGGATGTATTCCCCAGTCCAACAGTTGTTCAGCTTGATCAAGAAGCGCTCCAGCGAGGACTGTAAACAGGATGATTGGCAGGTCAGTAGCTTGCAGTGCAGATGATTTCTTGAGGTGCAAAAACACTTCGGTTTTGGTGCATAAGCCACAAGAGGTAGAGGGAATTGAGCAAGGAACACAACTCCGCCCACTTTAATCTTAGAACCTTATGTGCAAATAATTTAAAAGCATACTCTCCTCAATATCTCACTGTTTTCGAAGACTTTCAAGTGTACTTTAGAGTCCAACTACCATTTTAATTTTGAAAACAAAGGCCATACACAACCAGACACACACATGCCCACACAAAAACATTATTTAAAAGTTAAAGAGCCTATACATAGTTTCCCTGGCAAAGTTTATGCCTCTTTGAACTCAAAGAGCAGGACCTTTCTTTGTTATAGCGATGAAGACTTTCCTCCTGGTGAAAATGGCAACCCTCTAATTTTATGTATGGTTAACCTCATTTGGATGCTTCATAGCTTTGCATTTTTTCAGTTTGTTTCTTCTTTCTTGAGCTTCCCTTTTTTTTAAAACATGAATGTTTTCTGGATATTCATTTGCTGTCTCTTTCACATTCCACAGGGTTTTTTAAAATTGTTTTATTGCTTCAGTTACATTTTTCTGGTGTCACTATTGCATGAAAATGCTGTTAATTAGTTTTTAAACGCTGTTTTTGTGCTGCACGAAATTGTTTTGGAAGTAATTTCTCCTTCTGTCAGTAAATGTTTTCATATTGTGTGGTTCCAGAAAATATCCAGACCCCCACCACGGAGGGAATTGGAAATTCCAGGGGGGTGGGGGGGTCAGAGGCCCAGGAAATTCCAGAAGGGAGGGGGGTTGGACCATAAAATCACTTTCCAGGGGGGCAATATCATTTTGTTTTCGACCTGAGATCGAACATTGCTTCTTACCGACCTGGTAGATCATTTTTAGGACATAAATAACTTGAAATATATCACTTAAGATTGTTCCTTTTAAACTTAACCAGGTTTCCTTTCTTCCAAAAGCGTTTTGGATGTAATTTTAAAGGAATTAGACCGACTACAACTCGTTTTTATCGCATGCTCGTATTATTCGGCCGCCATTACTCGTTACCAGTCTTCCCCAAAACATCAACGCATGCAACACATCACGCAACACAACACGTTGCGTCAGTCGATCGGTAGATCAGAAGAGTGGCAATTTTGCCTCACGAAGCACAAGCTATACATTGTAACCATTTTAGAATGAAGAGTTTTTATTCTCCTTTTCATTTTCCCTTAATTTTGTAGTTGAACGTGTGGCATGTTCTTGATCGAATTCTCGCTGAAATGGTGTCGATTTCACCAAACATTTATTACGACGATCGCGCATCACGTCGCATCAGTCGATCGAAAAACAGTAAATTGAACTTGGTTTCCCTTCAAGTATCTTCAAGATGCAGGGGGTATTCATTGTTATCATTTCCGAATTCAGAGTTTTTATTCTCCTCTTTGTTTTGCATTAATTTTGTGATCGTAAGTTTGACTTGTTCTGCATTCCCGCACGAAATGGCGTTAATTCTATCAACATTACGCCTATGAGACGAATAACAAATCGAAGCTTGCCCTGATTAAGGTAAATTCACAAATATAACCGACTTGTTAACTTTCTCTGTTTCATTTAAAGTAAGGAGATGAGCAAAAATTACAGATCAGGTTACTTTGTGGTGGTGTAGTGTGTTTTAATGTTGCGAGATCACTCAAATAAGTGGATACAGAAGCATACAAGCTTCTGATGGAAACCGTTACGTACTAACCATAAGTTGCCTCATTCTTCTACTTTAATAGTCTTTCTTCGTGAAAATGAACTTTTCCAGAGGGGTTGGGGGGGGTCTTTGTCATATTTGTGGAAATTCCGAAGGGGTGGGGGGGTCATCAGTTCCCTGCAAAAATGGAAAATCCAGGGAGGTGGGGGGGTCCTAAGTGAAATTCCCTCCGTGGTGGGGGTCTGGATATTTTCTGGAACTACACATTCTAAATTAACATTTCTTGTTTGCTTTTAATTGCTTATTTCACACAAGCTACCAGTATGTAAATCAGTTTGTTTTTCTTCTATGCCATCCTAGTTTCACATGAGGTGGTTCTTGCCACAAAGTATAGTGTTGCTTTATCATGTTGTTCATGGCATGCACTTCAGCTTTGCGTTGCAGCATTTTGAAACAGCCGTTAATGCTTCTTTCTGTATGGGGCATGAGATACACTGTAGTTTTTGACATCAGTATGTTCTGATGTCTTTTGTTATACATGTTGCATTTGCATATGCCATTGAGCTCTGTTTAATGGCTTTTAAAATGTCAATGCCATTTTTGAGTCATTAAACGTTTTTGACATTTATATTTCCTTGCATTTTTATAATTTTGGGGTCATTGATTACATATTTTTAGGGTTTGCTGAATGCACTGCACCTGGGCTTGTTCTCAAATAATGGTTTTTAAAAACCTTTTGCTCAATTTTTCATGGTCTCTGTAGTGGAACCCATTTTCTCTTAAGCCTTTTTTTAGTGAATGTTGTGTATCCTTGTGCATCTGAGATTTGTTCAACAGCATTTATAACTTTATGCTGTGAAAAGCAGCATTTAGTTGATAGGATTCAACAACCAGAAAGATGCACTGATTTGTTCTTAATACTCGTCTCAGTAAAGGGTTCAGGGAGTTCTGGCAGTTTATGACCAGTACACTAATTAGACGGTTGCCTGACCTACTACTCCTGTGGTTCCGTCACCAATTTCATCATCCTGTGATTTTGACAAGTCCACCATCAGCTTGGCTATTTGATGTTCAACTTGCATCATATCCAATATGGTTGCACCGTCATTAGTAACAGTAACATCGCCATCAGGACTCACCATCATCTTGTCCATACCTAGAGGGAAACATAACTTTTGACATCAGCATGCAGGATATAAACAGTTCAAATGATAATGACGATCACAATAATAACCTGTGTCTCACACTTCCAAGGAGGAAAAATTATTAATTTTGTAGCTCTGTCTACCCTAGCCTGCATCACAGTCCAGTTTGTTGAGTCCACTGGGGCCGAGAAAAGGAATCTCAGCGCTGCTTCACAGACGTTACTTAACCGGCAGTAGATTGTGGAGCAATGGCTTTTTAAAAAAAACAACAAAAATGGCATGTTCTCAAAAATCCTGACGTGCAGGCGGGGGCCCAGAACAAGGATTCCAGCGGTGTTTCACAGACGGACATCACCAAAAATTTAGTTTCATCTTGAGTGCAGGCTATGTCTACAACCTCAACATTGCAAATGGGCATTTATAGGTAAGGGAGTAAAGGGGTACTCGTTCTAAAATAACTAAGATAGTACGCGCGCTCTGATTGGCAGAGAGGAGTGTTTGACTGAGAGTATGTAAACATGGTTGTGACATCAAGATGTTTTGCTTTTCACGCACTAATCACGCAAGCACAAATTTGAAAAAAATTTGAGTTCAGACCTCGACAAGTTTACTTGTTTTGAATGGTTACAACATTGTTCCTACATTGCAACACTGTGTTGCACTAAAAAACGTCATTGCGAATCGTCTCGTGTGACATCACCTTAAGACTTTGCGACTGGTGAGAATTTCAAGGGGTTGCAACAATTAATCAACAATTATACAAACCCTTGCCACTACTGGAATCAACAATTATGCAAACCCTTGACTTCGTCTTGGGTTTGCATAACTGTCTCGAATTCTCCCAACCCTTTTTGTGTTTATATCAGGCTAATAGCCTGATATACAAACACAGAAAACGTTTTCTTTTGCTTACATATCCCATGCATAAGTTAAGTTGAGAAAATCTGTTATTGTTTCGAAAACTGCGATATGTACACTGACAGTGTGTACAGTACATGATACACAAAGCATATTAAGCTTAACATTTTTTTTAATATTAGGCAGCAACGACGCAAGCAGTTTTAAAAGCAAGTCAATAGTAATATCAAATATGAAATACTTAAGTAAAAAAAAAAAAACGTTTAGGCCAAGTATATATGTTAGATGATAAGTTAACCTCACTATAATCAATGACCTCACTTTTGACAAGATAAACTCGTGCAAACTTACCTTTCGGACCAAGAGAAGTCCTTAAAATATTGGCAACGGCTTTGGCTGCTAAAATATGTGACTATGAAAAAAAATGAAAATAAAAGAACTTAACCCACGAGCAAGGGAAAATTGGGATTTAATCGATCAACAAGAAAAATTGAAGTCGTTCTACCTTTTGTGCATCCAAGCCTGTCAACCTTGTTTGCCTGTCTTGTTCCTTGAGGATTATAAACGGTCTCCCAAATTCATCGAAGGTAATACCCTGTGCACGAGCTTGTAAAGGTATAGCAGCCATCTTAGGTGATGTATGGAAGGAAGGGGTTTTCTATGTCTTGCCGATCACTTTGGATTTTGCAGCTCTGTTTTCGCTGCTTCGAAGAGAAATGTCGGAACACTCCTGGCCGGTGATACCCAGTCCTCTTTGATGTCAGGCTGCTCGCGAATCCAAACGCACGCTCGGATCCAGTCTACCGTCATCGTTGTTGTAAGACTTGTTACACTTGGTAAATAAATTTGCTTGTTTTTTCTTAATTGTTAAAAAAGCTCTAAATCTTTACTGTTAGGATGTTATAATGTTCATAGGTAGGTTAGCATGTGTATCAAGCTCTCCCCTTATTTCCAAAATCATGAGGTGTACGATTCAGGGACGATTTTACTCCGAGAGATCATCGATTATGACTATCAAACGCTCGGGGAATTCTGTGTACTTACATGTCGTAATCTTTGAACACTCTTGCACTTTCTTTTAACCCTTCCAAGTAAAGAGAACCTCCAATCATGTACATACCTTGTAAATCACTGAGTAATAATGTAGCCTGTGAGCAAGCTTAGGTTACGCGCGAGTGGCATGCGAGATGGAAGGTCCAGGGCGAGGGCGAGGGGGAGGGCGAGGGTGCGGGGGAGGGGGGTGGGTGTGCGGGGATGGTAGGGCAATGAAATAGGAAGCTTGATCGCAGACAGTGAAAGCATGTTGCGAGATTGCGAGAATAGCAATCTAGGAGAAAGGAACATAAAGCAAAACTTTCATCAATTGCGCGGTAAGTGCTAACAAATAAAGTTGAAGAAGTTAGTGTAGTAGTGTTTATTTTATTGTACAAAAATGATTGATTCCCTTTGAACAATTTGTTTCTGGTGTTTTCTTCCTTGAAGTATTGCACCACTTCATTTAACAAGCCAATCACTATTGCTATTCTTCAACCTCTTACAAACAGCGTTATTGAGTACATTATTTCAAATTATTGTATCATCGAATCATTTTCAAACATGTGGCCCCCATGGCCATGGGTGATCGTAGTGTGATAGTTTTAGTGAAATCATGATATGTATATTCCCATCCCTACAAAAAAGTGAAAAAGATCGAGTGAGCACTTATGCTTCAGTCAATTTACTTCACATTATAATTATATAACAGTTCAATGCTCCTGTTGTTTTCCATTTGTTACGTATTTCTTTTCTGCTTCTTTGACCACTTCTTTACTTGTCTCTTTGGCGGTTCTCTTTGCGAGGGCCCTAAAAACGATAAACTGCGTCACAAGAGTACTTCTCCGTGTATAGCACTGATCAAGAAACCAATTAACACACATTTCAACCACGAATAACAGCACAAGTAATCACAAAAATGTTATGAAGAGAAACCAATAACACTGGAAATAGTTAAACGACATTTCAGGGTTATTTTCGTTACTGTTAGTATGTTATCATCCATTAAAAACATTACAAGATGCCTTGCGCGAAATGAGCCACCTCCGCAGGCAAATCCTTCTGTACCGGTTACACTGACCGAGAGGGGTCTGAGACGGAGAATAGGAGAAAAGAAAAAGTGAGGAGGAAAAATGGTCACTTCCCGTTTTCTCTCCATTCTCCTACCTATTCTTAAAACAGGACACTGATGCCTGCGAGGAAGTTAGCGGGAAATACAGTGTTGTAACAGCTAGTGCATCAGCAAAACCAAAATTATAGACAATCTCTCACGTGTACTGTTGTAAGGATCAAGGATCGTAGGAAAGTATCTTTTCTATTGGTTTGTTTGATATTGAAACGAATATTGTGGGAACAAGGATGCCACGGCCAAAAATGGGTTGATTTAAATTTTGTCTATACATTCGAGCGCACAAAAATCAAACCAGTTGGAACTTATGGGACCCATCGCTTCAACGAAATCTTGTCCCTGCGAAAACTTTTCCGGGTATGTCGCTCGCTGCAAGTGGTGCCCGCGACAGAACGCTGCAACAACACGTTGCCTGGTCTGTGATGTGTCAAAACGGTGCAACACGTTGCCAGGCCGGTGCGGAGCTTTTCGGATACTCACTTGATCCCTATGTTGTCCACATTCCACCACGTCTGCAAGGAAACAAAAGGAAGAAAAGTTGAGTAAAGCATAATACTTTTTTTGCTTGCTCCAAGGCGGTAAACAACAACAAAAATCATTTTTTGTTACGTTTCTTTACCTGTAAGGCATATCCTGCGGCTCCCATAGCATTGTTTGTAGCTTCACTGAGTTGGGAACCATATCTGGAACCGCAACAATCAACACGTCACTAAACGCTTTTTCCTCAAAAAAGGGAACGTATTGGAAAAGAGGAGGCTTTATAGTATATGATGGGGCCGGGAAGGGTGGGTTATCCTTGGGATGTGATAATCGATCTATTTACAAAACTCAAGCACTCTTTTTCGGTAACATTTATTATTATTATTTTAAATAATTAAAGTATGTTTTAACTCACTTGTGATCTATAGTTTCCACTGTAGCATATTGAAGGTTCTTGTACAGAATTTTCCAGGAGTTTTCAAGACCAAAGTACACAGTCGCTGCTCCTACGTGACAAACAAAAGAACATGATAAAATTGCTAATTCCACACAAGCATTTCCATGGAAGCATACGAATTCTTCAGCCAACACCAGAGAGGTGAACAGAGCGATTGCATTGCGGCAAAAGTGAAGGGCACAGTACAACGAGATCAAGCATGGTTTTCCCGCCATTTTTCATGCGTAGCACACGTTTCCGCGTGATGGGGAACGGGTTGCTTACTTTGACAGCTTTCATCTCTCTGAAGTTAACGGAATTAATGTCTTTCATTTTTAAATCTAAATTCAGTTGTACCTCTCGCACCGCTAACTGCGACTTTTACTACTTCGTTCATTGTTGAGGAGCCGTCAACATCGTCTTTTTTCTTCACAGCTTCAGGCAAAACCTGAGAGAAAAACAGAACACAACAACTCACGGGTCACTGTTCACTGTTCACGAAACATGCTGTTTTCCCTAACGTTTTACACTGAACCTTTTAAAGAATAATCATCTTGAAAATAACAATTCTTAGGTCTTAATTACCTAAACCACTGCCGAGAGGCCAATACTTGGGGACGCGTACGACAATGTACAGGCGCTCCATCCTCAACCCAAGTTATTAGTTAACGAGATGACATTTAAATAGAACAAGAACAACAAACATGATGTTAGACAAACCTTCCCTCCTTTCTCCACGATAACCGGCGCGAGTCTTCTTCCCAACTCAATTGTCATAGCTGAAACTGCTGAGACAACAGCACCGCTAACTTGACAGGCCATACCTACAGAAGAAACAAAGAGGAACAAAATGATTCATTCCAGGCTATCCAGCTTAAACCTTGAGAAGTCCGCTCCAAATTGTTTAGGAAATAGAGCGGCTAAATCAGTGCCAAGGAGGTTCGTTTGAATAGTCCCACGCGGATTTCATCCGGCACTCAGAAGTTAGAACTATATATATTCGATGAATAATGCCATCTAAAAGTACTGTGGGAGACTCAGAATGGTTTCCTTTGAATGGCAACAGCATAGTATTTTATCCACAGACTGAAACGTTTGCCGTGAAAGTACTACTGAAGAGGTTCCGTTGAAATAGTCAGCTACAACAGAGGATTAAGTCCACAGAATCAAAATTGACAATGCAGAAATTTTATGTTCCTCTCAAAGTCCGTGGGAGAAACAGGCTTAACCAAACCCTAAGAGAAAATAACTAATTTTTGTGCGGAGAAGAATAAACAATACCTGCAACATTCTTGATTTGTCGAATGTTGTCTTGAGTTTCTTCTTTAACTTCCACTGGTTTTTGGTTCGGCTTTAGATTTTCCCTGAGTTTAGCCGAACCCTGGAAAAGTTTTGGATTACAGAAAAGTGCATTGATTACAAGTTTCTGGGTAGCCATTAAATTTAGCTCAACTCTTTAGCCATACACGTAAAAAGCTAAGTGGAAGAGATGGGATTTTTAACTAAAGGGAATACAAATTTTGGCTAGTGACTATCAAATAAAAAACAATAAAATTAAACAATACGAGTGTGAGCCCAGTAACAAAAAAAAGAGAACTGCTCAAAGTCTTCATTTGAATGGTCACAATGTTTGTCAAAGACTTCACCCAGATACACTATAAAGTGAAAACTAGTTTAGCCGGATTACCAGTCACTCAATCAGCAAATGAAAAGCAGACCTGCCTGAACAGCTGGTAATCAAGCATGGTGAAACCCTGATTTATCATACAAGTCATGTATGACTGGCTTCACGAGTGGGCAAGATGAATTAAATCCTGCAACCTGATTGGCTACAGGAACAGGCTATATCAGCCTATTGGTATATTGCCCTCTCAAGGTTAGGGTTCTGCTTTGGTCCAGGAAGAAAAAAGTTCTCTTTTCCATAAAGTAAATGTTGTACTGACCAACATTTTTTAGTGGTTTTATTGACCTCAAGCTCAAAAGAATCTTTCAACGTTCAAAATTGATTATTAGTTTGCTACAACTGCTTTGACGGAACTCATGCACGAGGGCCACATGAAACTGAGGAGAAGCAAGAGGAAGGGGCAGCGGAAAGAAAACCACCTCTCACAGCTTTGTCATGCCCTCTACCTTGCTTCCTTTACCATACAAAATGAAGGGCTTGTTCACAGGTTACAACCAGGGAAGAAACAGAGTTAACAAACCTTATGCATGAAGTGACTTCCTACTTCCGCTCCTTTTGTAAGGCCCCATGCGACAAGTTCTGCACCAATCTCAATACCCTAAAACACGAGGGAGATATAAATTCATGTTTTTTTTTTTGCTTTTTACTTTGTTCTAGTTGGTAAGTACTATTAACTCTGTTAACTACATATTTTAAAAGTGAATCCAAAGACAATAATTATGTAAGCTGTACTAGCTAGTACATACCATAGAGACCTTTCTTCCCCAGGATGAAGACTATTTAAGATAAAATTACAAAAACAAAATATGATCAGTAGGATTAAAGTAGAATGAGAGACCCTTAGGGTGCCCTATTCAACAGTAGGTGTGAGAGTTGAAGGGCTAAGCCCTGCTAAAAGTACTCAAAACTGGTCTGCAGAGATTTGTAAAAAACTACTTGTATGTATACATGTGTGTTACAGGTCAAATTTGATTTCAGGTTAATTTTGATTTAACCTACAATGAAGGTTTTCATTTTCCATTGTCTCCAAGCCCTAGAAGACAAAGGTAATTGAGAATCAATTATAACTTGAACTCAAATTTGACCTGTACCATATACAAGACGACTGTCTGGGTTTCAATTTTGAACCCTGTGTCTCCATATCCAGAGATACCAATCTACCCTCAAGAAACTTTTACATTAACCTAACATTTTCATCTGCTCCAAAACCTGACCTCAGAATCAGCTGGTACTACATCCGTAGTTGGTCTGACTGCCACAGCCATGGAAGGTCCTGTCACCTCATCAGTAACAGTAGTGGTAGTTGCTGCTGACGGTCTGCTATCATCTCTCATTTGATCGTCTTGTACAGGCACATCTCGGATCTCCTGTTCAAAGTCCTTAGGAGGAGTATAATGGTGGAAATCTGTATAGCACTTCAGAATTCTTTCAAAGCGTTGCAATTCTATGGAGGAGATGTTGGGGTTTAAAATCAGTCCAACTGAAGCAAAGGCCCTCTGTGGTCGTGGCTTTGAAGATGTAGGGGAGGAAGGATCAATTGTGATGTCTGGAAACATGTATGTGTGAGGTTCAGTATTAAGGACAGGAGATCTACCAGGAACCATGGGGAACATCCAGCCACCACACTGAAGGAATGCTGGTGCCTCCTGAGAACCTGGAAGAAAAAATATTAAATAGTTAAAAGGCCTTTTTATAACATATTCAGCAAATCCTACACAATGTGTTTCATTATTTTGATAAGGTAGAGAAAGACTGTACCTGGCTTGTAGTTGACAAACTGAAAAGCGTGGAGTGTTTGTGGCTGAGAAAGCGTTGTGACGTGTCCTTGGTCACTCACAAAAAACATTCTCACACCTACAATATTATGGAAATAATACAAACAATGATTGTAAGCAGTAACAAATTATTTCTGACTATTCTTATTCATCCTGTAGTTCAAGCAACAAAGAACAGGAAAAGATGGAGAAACCTTTGTTGGGGCTGTCAAAAATGATAGCCCAACCACCAGCGAAGCAGGAATTAAGGCCAAACACTTTCAAGAGGATCCACACTGTGATAGCCGGAATGAACACAAAATGAATATTTGTGTGTCAAACTAATAGACATTTTAATATTTTATTGGATTTATTCTGTTTGACCTTTTTGCATACATTTTAAATCACATAGTGGAGGCGTGTGTGGCCGGGTGGTTAACACCTCAAACTCCAGATCTGGAGGTCCGGAATTCATGTCTCACGCGTCGTGTTGTTTCCTTTGACAAGGGACTTTACTCCACTATGTCTCTCTTCACCCAGATGTATAAATTGGTACCAGTGACATACTGCTGGGGGGTAACCCTGCGATGGACTAAGCATCCCATCCAGGGGAGAGAAGCAATACTCCTACACATGCTTCATGCTAAGGAAACCGAAATAAGCTTCAGCCGTTTGGGCCTTTGGCTCATGTGCACCTTTACCTTTACCTTAAATCATGAACGACAATTTTGGCACAAGGTTACTGTTCACCTATTCAACATAGTCAGAACAATAAATTATTACTGCTAAGACATACTGTTTTCCAGGACCAAAAGTTCCTTGACATCTTCCCATGGTTTTTCTTGTTCCTCTGGTTGTTCTGGCCTTTCTGAATGTCCATTTTGATGTAAACCATCAACAACCTCTTCACTAGGAGCTGATGGAGCATTCAAGCTTGCAGTTATAGCTTCTACTCTCTCTTTCACTTGCTCCTTGGCCCTGTGAGAGATCAAGGACCCAATCAGTTTGCCTTTAAATATCTGACATGCCTAGTGTTTTTGATCATTTTGTTTAATTTAATGCATAACTGACAATATATCAGAAGAGGGGAATTTTTTGCTTAAAATTCAAGACCTTAGATCACTAATGGTCATCTTTTCTGATTTCATTATCTGACAGCTATACTCACGATTTCATCTTCTTCTGCATTTCTTTGGCTCTTTGCCTTTCTGGTCCAGAACCACCGCAAAACACACTCAGGCCAACTACAAGACTACGAAGGCCTAACAATCATAAAAATTTCAAAAGTTTGAACATAGTGGTCTAGGTACATTTTTCTTTTTTTTCAGTTACATAAACTGAGGATAAAAGAGGCATGGAAAGTGAATACAGGAGAAGCAAAAGCCATGCCACATGAGTCAAAACTGCTGTCAGTTCTTGACTCCTAACCTGCTTACCATCAATATTATAATATGTGGACACTCTATAAAGGGAAATTATACATAGGGTAGGTACTGAATCCTCGCTTTCAGTTTTCCTTGCACTAGAAATTAACTATTATATATATCTGGAAAGGTGTGTTGGATTGAATGCTCTAAAAACCAAAAAGACAAACAGGGTGTTCATTACGTATTGGAGATCAGAGATTTCTCCGTTTACTATGCAGAATTCTCCGCCTATTATGTTCGGTAGCCTATAACTATTTTCATTCAGATGTGGAACCTCTTTCAAAATAATCTCCTGTAAAATCACAAAAATCACACCTTTCTCCTGCTACAAGAATTCTTAATGAAAACCGTGGACAAACCAATGATCTTGCAAAATAATAGTATCAAGCTCGAGGGTGGCGGAAATTGAACCTAATTATTGACCATTGTTGACAACAAGCCTGTGAAAAAGAAACTGCTGGCACTTTCAATGTAGCTATATAACCTGCATTGCAGATGTAATCTATCCCCAGTTACTAACATCTGTGAAGCAGCACCAATACCCACGTTCTGGGCCCCCAACAGACTCAACGAATTAATATACGTTTCAAGTTTTTTTACAAGGTAAATAAATTATTGTGCGTCCTCAAATCCTGGTACACTGATTGGAGCCCAGAACAAGGATTTCGGCCCTGTTTCACAGAGAGACTGAACCAGAAGTTTAGTTCCTTCTGCGGGGCAGGGTACTTTCAAAGTGAATGTTGAGTTTAGGTCACCAAAACGCAGCCTGGTAGTTATTTCAGAAACATTTCTCACCTTTATGATACAACTCAAGTGCTTTTCTTTTCTTTCCTTGTTCATCAAATTTTAGTGCCTCGTTAATGTAGCTAATTATTAAAAACAAACATCTATTAAATAAAATATAATGACATGTGTAAATTCACAGCTTCTCTAATAAGTAGTCTGTTACCCTAATAAACGTAAATTCAAATAAAAATAAATGCTGTTTTCGACAAGCTTCAATTTCTTCAAGTTACATGTCAGCTGATAAGTTTAATAAGCTATAAAGATGAAGGGTTGATTGAAACGTGATGCGCACTCACCGAAACGCTTCGTCGTGATGAGATTTCACTTTGGCAGAAGCTTCAGCCTCCATCCTCTTGTTATTTCTTTTCAGCTAACAATGCTTTTCGTTTTTTCGTTGAAGAACTCAGCTAGACCAGCTAAAGAAGGTCATTACAAAGCTACTATAAATAGAAGTACATTTTTTCACCTGACACACTCACACCGCCATTGTTGTTCTTTTCCAGGTACATTATATGACCTACGTTTTGAAATGAGGAAAATCCGCTGAACGTTTGCACGTTTGGCTCTCAGATTCGCCCTTGAAAGACCTTGCCCTTCGATCCCCTTCTTTCAGCATGCATAAACGTCGAAGAACATCAGCAAAACAGTCCCACTGGTCGCATTTTTTTCTCATATAGCCATTCACGGTAAGTGTACTGTAGCAGTAAACATTTTGAAATATCTGCGTACACGGCCATGAAGTATTTTGTATTTCAGACTTCAGAGCGGGAAAAGTTTTCCTTGCGCGCGAAATTTAAGCTGAAGCCTGAGAAAATGCTTTACAACGGTTTCGCTAGTTGACAAATTGATTCGCTTCGTTCGAGTTCGCTACCTACATATTCGTCTCGCTACCTATTGACAAAGTCCAAAACTTGCACCCTCGGAGGGGCAAACTTAAAAGAACGAGAAATATATGACGAGATTTTTTTTTGACCGATTAAGGAAACGTTTTCAGTGGTTTACAGAAAGTATTAAATATGTAGCGAATTTGTTGCGAACTAAGACGTAGCGAATTCGACAAGTTGCGAAACCGGTTGTTACCGAAAAAATTGCTGTCAGAAGTATTCGAGCTGAGGCCGCCTAAGGACCTTCTTGTCTTATATTTTCGATTTAATACGGTCTGGTTTTCAAAATATTGGACAATGAAGCAATTGCCTATGCCTACCCAGTACCCAATTCAAACCCTTTGGGAATAAAAGATTTGTTTCTGGAATTTCCATATCATTTAAATGTGAATGCCAAATTATGATGCAAATACAATACACAAAGAATCTTAACCCCAGGAGATTTGAATTGGGTACAACATTGAGTTAGCCAAATACAGCTGTAGGTGGATGCTTTTCGGAGGCATAGCCGAGACGAACCGCAGACCACGTGTGAGTCATGTACTGAAAGGCATTTGCCGGGCAGTATATTGAAACGCCTACCGGCAAGGCAAGGTTCACCTTATTACTGCCGCTCGTCTCCTTTGGTGCTAATTCATAATACCCGGCCTCAAATTTTGTGTTAAATGTACTGCTACCATGGTCCACAGTGGCAATCAGTGTTATTAAAAGGAAATTGGTCACATGTGTGAACACAAAACAAGGTTTACACTCTTTTCATTTTGTTATTCATATATTATAACAGGTCACTAATAATAATAATAATAATAATTTAAACATATTTATGCAGGATTGCTGCTTCAGTTTTAAGAAAAAAACTGCTATCAATGCAGGTCCTGTTAAAAATTAAAAATGAAAAAATAAAAATAAAAAAGATTTAAAATATAGATAAAAATCAAATCACAATATTACAAAATAGTCACACCAAACGAAAGATTGAACAGTTATAAATTCTAAGATGTTCATTAGGGATGGACCATTAGAAAACTTATGGGGGGCGGGGTGGGCGAAGTACAAAGAAAATATGTGCGCAAGGGAATATTAAGTGGAAAAAAATTCATGCATGCCAATTAACCCTAAAAAATATTCATGCTACGGCCTAAAAAAAATTCATACAAGGAATTTGATAATGAAAAAAATTCCTGCAGCTCAAAAATTCCCCAATCCCCCATAACTTTTCTAATGGTCCATCCCTTAAAAGGGAAAACGTCAATGAACACACGCACAGTCATTTAAACTTCTTCAAAACAAAACACCCACCCACACCCACATTCACTCTTTCTCATGCCCCTTTTCAGTTTGGCCATTAAAATGGGGACTCTGCTACTATAAATATGAGGAAATTACAATAGACCTGTTCTACATCCCTGGGACACTGATTTGTATGAAATTGTCCAGCCAACTTTGATCTTTTGGCTGTTAGCTCCATTGTTTGTGGGTACTGGATTAAAATGCAGGGCGGCCTACAATAAGTGTATATACACGATTTCCCAAGAGTCTCTCTCACGCAAACAGCTACCAAGTGACCAAGAGACATGAGCAAGGATCCGGTGAAATGGGCATTATGTGGTATAGTAAGGAATGTACAAAACAACTGTTCACCTTTGGGATGCCTGTACAACTTTATCATTGCTCTAGATACATCTTTTATTAAGTGAACTGTACACTATTACTACAAAATTTCCCTATGCCTCAAATATTACTTAAACAATCCTGGCAACTTGTGTTTAAAGTTTTGACATCATGAATGAAAATAACCAGATTATTATAAATCAGATGTGTAATGAATGCAGTAATTGGTAAAATTTGAACATGTATGATAGTCCCCTCTCATGCAACGGTAAATTTACTTTAAGTTGAATACTTATGAAACTCTAAAATTTATCTTCTATACTATGAATAGATAACCTACATGTATGCAGGTATATTTATTCATAGCAATAGTTGTAATCTTTACTTATATCTTACAATGATGCCTGTACATAATCATTCTCAAGACAATTAGCAGAAACAAAAATCATTGCCCTCTTAAAAGGTAAAAATCAATGAAAAATATCACCTTTCTGTAGCAAAATATATCATACTAATTTGATTACAACAATCAAAACACAGATCCCCGAAATGATAAATTTAAAGTTAAAAGCTACTTTTGCCACAAGTAAAATGATTTTGCAATCATTTGCCATAAGTAAAAAACAGTAACACAACATGTTACAATTCTAATGGTGTCCTAAATTATGTATTTAATGAAAATTAAACACAATGATAGACAGAGATAACTTTCAAATCTCTGTCCACCAATCGAGAACAGTTTGTTGAGTTTTGAATTCCTGGAATAGTCCTGATAGCATGTTTTCAATCAGTTGATCATTTTATCTGCATTATGATCTGGCCAAATTATAACAATAATAACAAGGCATAACCATAATATTTTGAGTCCATACAACATCCATGTGGTATACAGTATTGTTACAAGAAATTTCTGACTACTCCAAAGAATGAATTCATAGGTTGATACTTTGAAGACTCTGGGTTTAAACTTCTGTTGGACGTCCTTCTTCATCATCTCTGGTATAGTAGGACTGCAACAAAAAATACATAACAACAGACATGTCAGTCAAAACAACAAGGAGCCAATCCACACAAATGCATACATGTACAGACTGTGATTAAAATAATATATTGATAATTATATTAATATGCTTTACTAAAAAACTGGCAACTGAGGCTACATGTAGTTTTACTATGCCCACCTTAGCTACTACATCCCCATTCATGTTTAAGCTGCGGTATCTCTTCATTGCTTTATCTTCCCCTTGCAGAGACACAGAATCTGACCCTGAAAGATCAAGAGATACATGTTACATAATTTACAACTGCTGTTTAAGTAGCAATATCTCCTCATAGCTTTATCTTCCCCTTGCAGCTGAGAATCTCTGACCTTGAAAAATCAATTAACATCAGATGTTAAAATTTCAAACATTTATTTGTTAATATATTTACACAAGATAACTAAAGGGCACACCACATAGGAAATACTTGTAAACTTTACTTTGGATGCCCAGTTATGAACAAGTGTTGAATGTTTACTTGACCCTTTATTTAATTGATGATACAAATAAATGAATGGCCAAAAACAATGCAGTAGAGAAAGAAACAGTAGATTAGTAAATTAGTGTAGTCAGTCTTTAAACTGACAGCTTTTTTTTCATTTCGAAGTTGTATTGAATACAATACCTCTATTCCTTTAAAAACTATTTGTAATTAAAATTAATAAATTCAATTTGGACTGAAAAGCAATAATGCACAAATATCAGGTCAATACAATTCTACTGTCTTGTAATGGCATGTTACATGTTCAGGCCACTTCTGACATCTAATTTTGAAAAATCATTATTATCTAAGTCAACAAATTGTGTAGGCACCTGAGTGTTATGTTTAATAAATAATGAATAATGATCAGTGATGTTCAAAGTTATGCTTCTTCTTACAATGGTATTAAAATCGTCAACAAAGATGAATGTGGGGGTGGGAGAAGCCCAAAAGGCTGAATCTGCAATGATTTGCAAGAAGGCAAAAATTGATCTGCTACGATCAGCAAGCAAAGCTACAATGCAACGCAACACTAGCAAAAGAACACACAAGGAGCCCTGCAATTCCCCAAGGACCGCCCCGTAGGTTACGTACTGCAGTCGGAGAAGACCGCTGGCCAACTCGCTCAAGTTTAACTTTGCCCAAATGATATTAAATTTTGGCCATATTTAAATACTAATGATTTTCCCCTGACATTTAAACCACAGAAAGATAGACAGAAAATAGCTTACTTTTCCTGTGAGACACGCTTCTTCCTGTTTTGCAGAACTGCACCACATTTCCAAGAACGAACAAGACTGGCAATATTGACAAAATAATCCATGTCACCCAACAGCCTATCTTGCCCTCTTCTGCCATAATTATCTGCCAAGTGTAGCTTATCAACACAAACTCTTCCACAAAGTAGTCCACACTGCCTGTGATCATGGCCGCCCCTATGAGAGATGTGGCCACAATGAAGAAACCCTTTTGCCATCTCATCGTCAAAAGACCGAATATCAGACTCAAACCAAGCAGCACTCCGAAAGGTATCCATCTGATGGTCACATGATAGAATGTCTCAATAATAAAGAAGATGGCAACCCCAATGAAAAAGCCAAGACCAAAACCTCCCAGAAATAATCCACAGTATGTAACAAATGTTGTTAGCAGGCCACAGAATATTCCTACAGCAACAGCGACTGCCACCAGGCCCCAGGTGGGTAGATCAGCGTGGTTACTGCAGATGACGTAGGTAACAAATGTTGCAAATAAGAAGCCCAGCAGGAAGAGACTGCACTTGAAAAATCTGTATCCTGCAAACACACAGTCAGGATACAAAACTATTACTAGATTGCACTGACAATGCAGAGTAACTTGAATACATGTAATGTGTTAAGCTCACAACAATGCTAAATGGTCTCTGAAACTGTACTGATCTGCTTGTTCCTCTACTTGTTCAAAATATTATCCAAAAGCAAAACAGTGCACATACAGTGTACAGGTGTAGCTCAAACTGTCGTATTAGTGAGAATCTGTACTCGCATCCAGGCTGCATGAATAGAAAATCTTACAAAAAATGTTCCCCTTTCCTGTTAAAAAGTCCCCAGCCCTGAGATTTCACATTGAAACTACTGAACCTTTCTTTGGCTAATTTCTGGAGTAGACCCATGGACACATCATGGGCGTCAGGCTGACTCGATCGAAAAGTTTAATTGGCTGACTAATGCCTTTGGTCAACCTAACAAATAATGAGATTATGACCATACTGTGTAATGAAACCAGAGACTACTACAGCTAAACCTTACGTCCTTTGTAGCAGAGCTTTTGGCATGTTGGGGGAGGGGAGGGGGGTAAATTGCCTCCCACAAGGAGAGGTGCATGACAGACAAGGGGAAAAGAAAGTAACAGACACTTTTTTACTTTCGTGTGAAGATTTATCTTACCAAAAATAACCAGGTAAAATCCACACAGGACAGTGATACAGCATGTGACGATGTATGGTATATTGAGCTGGTTATTCAACACAAACACTTCAAAGCCGTCACAGTCACTCTTCTTTATTCCAGGGGTGGCATTGTTTTGTGGTGTGGCATTAGTTGGTATGCCTGTGGTTTCCTGTAATTTTGTTGTTGGCACAGTAGTAGTAGTAAGGTTATCCACTGAACTGGAATTAGCAGTAGTTGCAGATGGGCTTACTGTTATGTTTTGCCCTTGGCTTAAGCTAATGGCAGCAGCCATCAGTAACAATGCTGTAAGCTTGTTAGGTCTCATCTTTTTGAAAGAAAATAAAAACAATATTAATAAAAATACATATCAGCTTAAAAACTGTTGAATGTTACACAACTAAGAATGAAAATGAAAAGGAAAAAAAGGAAACTAAAGTTACAATTTAAGTAGCATCATTGCTAAGTTATAAAGCATAGTCTATTTATTATTCAATTTGTTACCCATTTCAATATTGTACATGAACCAATCTCAAGTTCAAATCCTTGACCATGTTTGTAAATAGCCAACAGGTTTGCTGCCTCCAGGCAAATTCGATTCTAAAACCTGTTGTTTCTTATTTTCTTAGCCCCACAAGCCTTTGTGCTGAGTATTGCCAAGGGTAAGCAAAGGAATTTTTATTAACTATGATTATTCCTATTATTACATCTTAAGTAGCAATAAATAGAGACTTAAATGTGCTTCTCAAAGCTTGTTTAAGATGGATAGATAATTTATTTAGAACGGAATTCACTTTATGTACTTTAGTGTCCTGGATGGTCTCAGCCAAACTTTGAACAATAAACTACAAAAATTACAATACCACGCTGCCAGAGTAATAATTACCAAATCTAGGTATGATGCAAGTGCGGGTCCTCTTTTGAACATGCTTGGATGGGACAGGGTTTTGATTAGCTTAATAAAACAAAAGGCAGTTGTCATGTCCAAAACACGTAACAATCAAATGCCCCCCTACGTGCAAGATATGTTCTCTGTTTGTGATTTTTACTACAATATCCGGCGCTCTGAGAACATCTTGCATGTACCCAAAACCAGGGACTGAGTATCTTGAGCGAAATCTTGGGTGTTCAGGGGCTGTCCTTTGGAATGGACTGCCATACGAACTATGTAAGCCGTTAACCCTTACAAGGTTTAAAAAGGGACGTCTTATATTCATCAACAGGCACTCACACGGCAAACACGTAAACCTGCAGTACTTTAGATTCTAATTATCATTTTATACTGACGTCTTAACTGTGTTTAAATAAAGTATGTTTATGTCTAAAAGCTTAAAAGTAGATCAAATTCAGTATGAAATATTATCTTTTGAAAATAAAACAGGTGTTAAGTACTGTTCTAAAACTTACAGTAAAAATATAACGTCTTACACATCTCTTTAAAAAATCTGTATTAAAAGTAGTTCTCTGATAATATTGAAATAGACATGTCATAGCTAAAAACTTTGTTGGGTTATTTCTTTTAAGGGAAAAAATTTAGTCAAAATAAAAACATTTTCACCTGTGTTAATAAATTATATACTGCACATAGACAATGAAATTTAGACCACAAGCATTTTCAATATCCCCAATATTCAATATTGATATCCTCCTGCTTTTATTTTGAACTCCTGTCTGAAAAATCATTAAATTCAGAGAAAACTATTTTCATTTGCAATGACAAAATCAGTCATGAGGTGCTTAAAATCTTTTCTGTTTAGAAATCTAATATAATAGTAAGAAAAATTTAATTTGTCATATCAGCATTCTTGTCTACCTGCATGTATCTGTTTGTGTCAGCACAGGTCTCAAAAACTATAACTGAAACTGTAATTTTTAATTTTTGACACCATGAGGTCTCCTGGCATTTAAAGATGATATTTTTCATTAAAATACAAAAATTTAAAGCAAACCTTTACAGAGTGTGTTTTGTCTAAGTAAAATATGAGTCACTGTAGAATCTCACCAGACTTACCTCTATGTATGGCTAGACTTATTTTTCCAATTAAATTATTGCTAGACATGAAGACATGATATGAGTAGAGAGTTCTTCCAGGTCAAAGTAAATGACTGTACTGAAAAGTAGTAGTAACTACGCAACTTTAGGACTCCTGCATCAATCACTAAATACACTAACCAATGAATACTACAAAAATCAGCATACCTAGTTCTGTGTTACGTTATATGTGGCAGCTGCAGCTGATTTCTATTTAGTGGTAGAAATTTCACTTATTAAAATGAAACCCATGCTCAAAACCGCTGATAATTATAATTTAAAACTCTTAAATAATGAGTTGATCAATCAAACCCAAATATGGCAGTGTTTTGTTTATTTCTTTATTCAATAAAAGAAATACTTATTGACAGCTGTCTCTAGCAAAGTATTGTAAAATCAACCAATGAAAGGAAAATTTGACAAGAGAAAAGATCAGACACAAGAGAAATTAATGTTATTACAATAAAAAATTGAAAGCATATTATAACATTTGCAAGTAACATTATTTTCATTTCAAATAAATAATAAATTTAGTTTTTTAAAAAACGAAAAGGCAATGCTCCTTCATAATAATCACATTATTTTTTCACTTTCACCAACTAACTTCCAGAAAGCCCAGTTTGCCCTAGTGGCATTTAACACTGTAATCTCCTTTCTCCTTTATTGATCTTCAAAATTTATCTTGGGTAGCAGCCTAAAACTACAGTTCAACTAATGAGAATTAAATTAAATACAACAGGGAGTCAAAAATGCCACTAATTTTCCTCTGAGAGGGGGAACAAAAAAAAAATTATTATTAATTTTTTTTCACATAACTTTTTTTCAATTATTTGTCACTAATTGCAGAAACAGTGGGCTGAGAAACAAATGTGTTGACTTTTCATTTGACCATAAACTTGTGAGATGATGAAGCCAAGATTACCTATCATTTTGAAGGGGAGGGGGGTAAACTTCAATGAGTAAACTTTGGTCACAATAAACGTAGGTTAAATAATTTTAACCAGAATAAAACTTTGACCATATGTAAAAACTGCACTTAAGATAATTCCTGGAGAAATAATTTCTGGGACTTTCTCAGTGGATATTAACAACATACAGAGCAGAGTGAAGTCCTCACAATTGATCCCTCCCTCTACATGTGTGTGACTATGGGTGGAAAAATTAATTAAACTGGACAGTCTGAGTTCCAAATGTTCCACAGATACACAAATGGAATGGGAAATTTTTTTTCAGTATAATTATATTGGTCTAATCCAAACTGATCAGTAGTGAAGCTTTACCTAATCTATTAGCTTCTACCAAATGCATTTTCATTTACTTTACACTGACGTAACTAAACCTGGACCATTTTATGTATATCATGCAGTACATTTAGTTAAATTTAATGATGGCTGTACGAATCTGCCATCAAATCTCTGTAGGGACACCATGATAATAATCACGTACACCTATATCATGGACAGTTTTTAGTCCTGAAGATACCAAACTTCATGCAGTTCCTACATCGCTGATACGGACACCTCAGTACTAATGCGGACACCATGTCCATATACAGGTTAACACACTCACAAGGAAATAGTAACCAAGTTGAACAAAAAATATAAAAATGTACAATTTCAAAGGTCACTTTCAAAGAATTGTAAGGAAAAGTATATTCAGCTAATAGCAAATATAGAAATTATAGACGTCCAACAAGCCTTCTTTCAATTTGCTATCACGGCACGAATAAGTGAATTTACATGCATATTAAGGAAATTATTCATGCAAGAGTAAACATACAGTGAAGCCGCGCACATTTTTTACGAAAAGTAACGTGTTGTTTTCCTTTCATTTTGCGAAAACTTGACCTTGAAGGAAGTGTAACACAAATCTTAATTATCTGGTATTATCTTGTATTATTCTTGGGTAATTCATTGTACCGGATGTGTAACGTGGCTGGTAGCTATTATAATATGGCGGTCGCACTTATAATCGAATCATCATAGCATCGCCAATATCATTAATACTGAGAGAAGGAAACAAACACTTTGAAACATAAACATTCGCAGAAGCACGGATTTTCAACCTTCCACCGAAAGAAGTAGTGAAATACCAGTTCTTTCAACTGCCAAACCTACAATGCTTTCTTGACAAACTTCGTCACCTTCATATCGTGTAAGTGCAATTATCAGCAACAAAAAGCAAGTTCTAGATTGTTTACAGTATTTAACTACCACGCGACAAACTTACGAATCGGAAGTTTGTATGTTTTCACTCTGTAAAATTTTAAAAAGCCCACAGCAGGCTTTTTTTCTTTAATTGTGGTCTTAGACTCTGAAGCTGTTAATAACCTTAGGAGCTACAAAAGCAAGTTGTTCATTTCTGTCATTCGTACCATATTTGACATCACCAACTCAAATCTGTTATCATGAGCCGTTATCACCGTGTTGCTTTTATTCTATCAATTATCAGCACAAGAACGACAAGTCGTACTCGAAAGCGAGTAGGAATTGTACGATCTTCCCTCTGGCAGTGGAAACATTTGAATTTAGCAGAACCGAACCGATTTGATGTGCAAGAGGACTTTGAAACTATCATCCTAATATGTTCCCCGATATAAGCTTAAGTTTACCTCAAATTAAACTTACCTTGACATCGGTCTAAGAGCGAGAGCGGTGTTTTTCCAATCCAATTTTCTAGGGCATCCGTTTCAAAAATTGCAACTCAACCGTCATGGACCGCGAATTAACGCTTCGCTGAAGCGGTGAAGGTTTTTGTGCGCATTGACAAAGGGCACCGTTGATCATTTGACTTGCGCTGGAAGAGAGAAAATATAAATTGATCAGCTAAGCCATTGCGCATTCTTTATGGTGATAAATACAATTAATTGGGAATATACCAGGTTAAGTTACAAGTACAAGCATAATAAAAAAAGGAGGAACAAAGATGAAAGATCTGGCTTACGCTTTTTTATGGATTAGGAGTGGGGTAAGTCATTTCCCGGGGACGGTAATTCCTAGGATGATAAAGATGTAAATTCTTTTTGAGGATTGATGAGTGTTCAGAAATCCTAAGCCACAAAAGCAACATTTATTTTGGCGATGAAATGGTATCGTTAAATTGACTTAACTAACGCAGCTATAAAGTTATCAATGTCTTTTTTAAAATCTACATTTGAAAGATTTTGAAATCCTTTGGAAATCGTGTTCAAAATGGCAAATAACTTTTGGTATTGTCCTGTAACTATTGTTAACTGTGGTAAAAAATTTCCATATCAATGTCGTATGTGTACTATGTCATTACTGACCACAATGAAGCAGCAGGAGTTGAAGATTAAGGGATTACAGGTTTTCAGATATGTTGAACTTGAATGGAATTAACTTCCCTTTGCTCCATACCAAAAAAATTTAATGCATAAGATAATTCCAGAAAATTCCGTCTGCGAGAATACCTTATGCTACGTGCAGCAAGAAATAGGAATTTGTTAAAGCATTGTGTCTATTTTGACAAGCTATTTAAAATATCTAATTGAGCTAATCATTTTAGTGAAGCTAAAAATATAATTGTTTGGGGTGATCAAAAACATAAAGGTCCTCGGGCTGAGCACCAGCCCTTGAAATATAAAGTATCATTCTTTAAATGTAAAGTATTGGCCAGCTTTAAGTTGAGCTGGCAAACACAGCTGTAGCAGCTGTACTCACACTCAGAATTAAAGTCCCAGTGGTTTGAGGGAGGGAGGGGGGGGTACAAAAAAATTTTTATATGGGGAGGTTCCACCCTAAGGTCACACCCCTTTCCCTTTTATACACCACTGTTGACAGAGAAGGAACCCCTTTCATATGCCTTCTATTTTAAAAGGGTACCCCTTTCACATAGCTAGTTTAGACCCTTGCATCACTTTTAACTGCTGTAAATGCTTTGTCTTAAAAATATGAATAAATCACAAAACCAGATCATTTCTAGACTTTTTCACAGCCATAAAATGTGTCTGTCAGCCCTTTTGGGCCTTTTAACAGACCAAAAAAGGACAGGTTTCCCTTCTTCTTATACTTCAAATAGAAAAATCCCTACCCTTTCTTAAAATTCATTTACCTAAAGCCTAATAAAGGTACCCCCACCCCTTAAAGCAGAGCCTTCCCATTTAGACAATAATTATGAGGATTACCCCCACCCCTCTGGGATTCAAGTACCCTCCATGCATTAATCTCATTCAATGAAGGGAGGGTAGAGGCTGATTTAACTCACTTTGGTCCTCACTAAAGATTCACGGAGAAATTTTGTATTTTATTTAAACCATTTAATTGGTGTAAAATGTAAGTAAGAACTCATTCTTTGGTTATAAAGGACTTGGAGTCAGGCCTAAAAGTGGATAAGGCAATATTTTCCAGGTTTGGGGGTGTATGGCCCAGGAGTTTTTGAAATTGAGTGTGAGGTACATTAATCTAAAAACAAAATTTATACCTGAAAAAATCTAGCCAATATGTCCCATATTACCCCACATGTTTCTCAATATATACAAACCTCGAGAAAACATAAACATTTAACCCAAATCATTTATTACTACACAGTATGTCTTACATGACCCTGATAAGAAAACACTGCCAAATGTTCAAGATAGACAATAAGGAAGTAACATGTTTAAGGTTAATTTGGTACATGAAGGAGGGTGTGATTTTTCGGGCAGACTGCACATCAGGTGATCCCAGTGGGCCCTAGCCTGAAATCTGACTCCACAAAGGCCACTAACACCTGCCGTGACTTGAGGGTTCTAGCCTCCAAGGATCATCTGAATGGCACCCTTAATTCAGAGGTGCACTAGAGAGCTTGCTCACAGCCTACGCAACCAGCCTGATTAGTACCTTGGAGACTGAAAGCTATCACTGATCTATGATCAGACTTCAGTAATTCTCAAAACCAAGAGTTTCCTCTTTATTAGTTTAGCCTTTAAGTACCTTGGATATTTTATTATGGTTCGTCATGCAAGGATGGCATGACAAGCCTAAGACGGGTTGCAGAGGAGCCTAACCAGTCTTGATCTAAGCAAACAGCTAAAACTAAAAGTATAATCTTTTTATTGCATACTAGCCACTCAACTCCAACAAAATAAAGTAATGTTTTAGTGGGCAAAATTAGGGCAACCTTTCCTAACAAATTTATGATAGGAAATAATCAATAAGAAAACAGTTGGTGTTTTCTTTGTTTGCTATTCACATAACTGCTGAAAGAATTGGAGCACTTCAAAACCAGATGACCAAGGTATGACATCTGCCTTCACTTCTTCTCCTTTTTCTCCTTTCAGGCATTTTAAAAGTTTGTACCCATTTCTTGCCAAGATGTAATCTCCAGGTTTTAATGCAAGAGAAGGGCAAAGATCACCGTGTCCATCACCAACATAAACAATGGACTCATAGCGTTCAGCACAATCAGCAAGATGAGTCTGAAGAACTTTCCTTTTGCAAAGATTCAGAGGGCAGACAGTGCATTCATGCTCATGAAATCGTTCCACATGCAAACGACCATCACTCCTCCAGCCAGCAGGGTTTGTGTAAATGCTGCAGAAAGTGCAATGTAAAGAGTCGCGCTCTAGTAAATGATCAATGAAATAACTATTGGAATCAGAGATGATTATTGTAGATACACTGTTACTCTGTAAGTAATTACACGTCTCCTTCATTCCAGCTGTAAATTTTAAAGATTCAAGGCAAGTTACAAAATCATTCTTTAAAAACTTTTCTGAATGGAGAACTTCAAACACTTTGTCCATAATGTTTGTCCAACACCATCCATTCTGTTGATGTTCTCGTATCAGCTGCATGGTGCATGGACGTAGCTTTGTAATCCATGTATCTGTGTTTCCATCAACAAGGGTATGATCAAAATCAAACACAGCCAGAAGTCTAGCTTGTTTTACCTGCAAAATTAAAGTATTACACACATTAATTAAATGCAGGTACAAAGGTAAAATATGGAGGTAGCCTAAGAGTTTGAAAAACATTTTAAGCTGCTTTTAACAATGTCAAGCAGCTTAAAACATTTGATTTATTTTTCGAAGTCTGCATACAACCCTATTAGGGTTTATGACGTTTACCTCCAAAAACAGGCATGTGACACATGGTTGCCGGACGTCTTGATTTTTTCCCTGAGTACCTCTGGTCAACTAGCTAACTAAGACTTGCCGACACATTACAAAACCTTCCATTGACACACACCTTATTATAAACTGGAGACTTGTTCGATTCCATAGCGGTACACGCCGCCATTTTCTTCAACAACAAAAGTGATAAATGAAGGGTCGGTACATCATGTAAGCCTTACTGAGTGGTCCTGGCAACAAAAAGTTTCTCGAAAGTCCCGATAATTGGTTTTATCCAACACGATAAAACCTGGCCAGGACCCGCGCTCTTATTCTTTATATTTCGATTTGAATATTTGATTTCGGGCCCGTAAAGTTACCGGGACTTTCGAGAAACGGGCCCCTGGCCTTGACTACATGGAAAGCGCAGAGTCACCCACGGGGAATGGCTAAATGACATGACCGCTTAATAATTCAACATCAGGGTTAGTGGGAATGGCATTTTACTTGATATATCTTTTGTATTTTTAAATTAAAAACACTCGCGTGGTGATGTTAAAAAACAGTAACTATAGCAATACAAAGAAAATAGAAACCAAGCGGAGTTAACGTAGTACACTTGTTCATCAAAAACTATTCGTGAGGTCTTTTGTGCCTCAGATAATTCCCGAAACCACTTGTACAGTACTCAGTTATGTTAGTTAGAAACCGGCAATAACAGATGTACAGTTATATCCAAATAGAGGAGAATATCACATATTTTGGTCTTCCTTTTTCTAACGAAAAAGTCCGCATAGTCGGTGGTTCGGTCTAGGAACAGAAAGCGTGTTAAGGCTGAATATCATTTTGAAGGGGACAATTTTTTGTGCAATTGGTTAAAAGAGAAGGTACTTAAAGATCAATTTCATGTTCAATGTTGACACTATGGTTTAAAATAAGCGAACGTTTCTGTTCAGACAATTGATTTCGAGACATTTGTGGAAACAAGCCGCGAGACGTGATTGTTTGGTATATAAAACGTTGAAAATCGTTTTTTCACGATTTATTTTCACCATCTATATATGACAACGGAATACAGGGGGTTACAAGGGGTTACAGGGGACTACAGGGGGTTAAAAGAAGTTAGAAGGAGTTACGGCGGGTTACAAGGGGTTAGAAGGGGTTACGGGGGGTTAAAAGGGGTGACAACGGTTTAAAAAAAAGCGCGTGGTCATTTGCGTGTCTCGGGCGTTTTGCTCAACGAACCAAGAAAAAAGAAAGACTGCTCGTAGTCTAGTTTTACGACCGTCGCCTCTCTCCCGCTGTGGTTTAGAAGTGATTCAGTGAAGCAACAAAAATCATTTTTGACATTTTTTTCTGGTTATTTCTGGTTATTAGAGTTACGGCAAATGTCAAATGTCTAGTTGTACCACGTGACCAAGTTTTCCCTCTTCCTTAGTTTGGGGCCAGTTTCATGCATTAGAATAAGTATAAAAATCGGAGCGCTGTTGACAAGTCAAGAACTAGGTTAACTTTTTTTCTTACGCTAAATTGCATGTAGCTGGGGTGTACGAACAAGGTAGAATTTCACCGCTTTCTCGCGGCTTTTACAATTCGCTTTCTCTTTTAGAGTACAATGATTCTCTGCTTTTTTCCCCACCCCATTTACTTTGCTTTATTTCAGTAAAAAAAAAAAAAGAGAAGAATTCCCCGAAACTCCAACGATCATGATTTTCCCTGTTTCTCAAGGAAGTACTGAATATTGGTAGTGGATAAGGTTTTCATTGGAATTTTATGAGTTGTAAGTTGAGTTCACTTTGTAACTGGTATAAGAAAGGTGATTCCACAAGCTCACCTGTACCGGCCGCTGGGTACAAGGCCAGGGGCGATCGAAATTTCTATGTGTTAATTGATGCGTTGGATCTTAACGAAAGAGACCAGAGAAGCTTGAAGTCGCTTTTTCCGCTTAAAAGAGTGACAGTACAACAGTTAAGGTAAGATCAACGATTAGGTTACTATTATTTTGAATCCGGTCACAATATTTAGGTGTCACTAGGCGCCCAAAAGCTCTATAGACTGATTAATTATTCTAATCAAAGAAAACGAAATTATCTTTCCGAATGTCTGCTTGTGTGTCTTTCTTTTGTCGTTTTGAAAGGGATGATTTGTACCAGAGAGAAGACTGTTTCCCTTCTCTTAGTTGCAAGAATACAATAGCTTCAAGCGCATCACCCGGAACGAGGATCTAACTGATTCCGAATTTACGACTCGGTTAAATTGATAATCGAACCGCTAAGTGTTTCTCTCAAGGAACTGGTGGATAAATTTCTTGGCACATATCACAGATGATTTAATAGGCGGCGTAAAGTAACCTCGAAGTGAGTTATCCTTATCATGTTTATATCTGAAGAGGCATACTTTTATTTTTAATTTCCTAGCTTCATGAAACAGTAAGCAAGTGACTGCGGAGAAGGACATTTGACTTAAGCGCTGTGTCAATTCATCAATGAAGACTGCTGTGGTTTTCCTTTACTTCGTGAAGATCATACTTTGTACAGCTGACGGTGATTTACTAACTTGTCTTGATTATTATTTATGTCAAACTCAACTTATTTTAGAGTTTAGGGGAAATTTGCCCCTCTTAGGGGCTATTTACATGGAGGGAGGAAAAACCTAGCACCAGAAAGATCCTACAAGACGGATCATCCTAGCGCCATATGTTTTCTGTATTCAGTTTACATGCAAAGAATCTTTCCTAGAACTAGGATCTTCTAGTACCATTTGCATAACGAAGATAGTACGCGCGTTCTGATTGATTAAAAACTTATGGTTTATTGTGCCGGTAAACTCATAGAAAACTGAAACAGGCCTTAAGTTATTTTATAAAAGCAATCGACCACACTTTCTAAGGGCGTGATAACCCACTTGGGATGTTCGGAGAACACGAGAAAAGCTTGTAAATCACTCGCCTTCGGCCGTGTGCTCCCAACATCCCGCGTGGGTTATCACGCCGGTAACATAGAAAGTGTGGTGTGACGTCACGTTACCACGGTAGCACTATTTCTTGATGACAACAAAACAAACGATGACGGCGACGGCAGGGAGAAGGGCAAAAAATAATTTGTTTATATTAACAAACAAAAACTTTGCACGTGCATCACGTTATTTTGTACATGTCTTTGCCGTCGTTGCACCACTACGACATGAAACTTCTTAATTTCACGAGCCCGCTTTATGGACTGAGCAGGTAACTGACACAACCACAAAAATTTCGCTTTCTTTTTCTAAACTTAGATAACGATAGATGCGGTCCCAAAGAAAATTTCGCCAAGATTTGCCAAATTAAATGAAGTTGAATAAGATGGGCGAAGTTTGAAATAGTGCGAATAGACTTAAAAGTGACTGTCATCCAAAAATTTTGCTACCATGGCAACGTGACGTAACGACTTCTCCTCTCTATTCCTTAAGTAAACTGCGGATAAACCAGACAAAAATGGCGGCGGATCGTTCAGTGGATCAGATAACCTCAGCAAAAAAGCTGACAATTTTGTTTGGCGCCACCAGTGGTAAAGAACTACCATCTGCTGCTGAAAGGTAGTTATTAACGCTTGTAAGCAAAAGGCCCAAATTGCATGTTTGTTATTGTCGTCTGTCATCTTTAATTCTGTTTCTACTTAAAAATTTCCGCATGTAAATCCAACGAACATTGTTCCGCCGTCTAGGATCTTCTTGGTGGCTATGATCTTCCTCCCTTCATGTAAACTGCCCCTTACTGGAAGTACAGAATCCGCCCCTGACCACCAGTATCTCAATACGGTGCAGCTTTAGAGGGTCCCTGTTAACAAAGAAGAGTAATTGGCCAATTAAAAAGCTACCAGTTACATGTCTCGACCCCAGTTTTCTCCATTTTGAGTCTCTTGACTAATTTTCTTACCTTTCGTTAATCGTAGATCAACTGAGTTTACTGTTTGTTGGTGACGTTTCGTTTTCTGCGCCCGTGAAATATTACGTGGAACATGGATATCACACGTATAACGACTCTTTCAACGAAGTGGCTCCATACATAAGAAACGCTGATATTTCAGTAGCCAACTTGGAATCTCCCTTTGTGAGCGCAGACATGTATCGATACAAGTTCGAAGGGGAAAAAGTGGTTGTATTAGATGCGAGTCCAGATGCCGCAGCAGCGTTAAGGTAACACGGTATCTAAAGAATTAGTCTTAAGCGCTGGTTACTCAGCTAGTTATCAAGGCTTTAATTACTTCAGGGAGCCAAAAATGGGGCTCATCCGGGCTTATTTTTGAGTTATGAGAACTAAAACTGAAAAAGAGATTTAAAGTCACCGATGTACTGTTTTAAAACTTAAAAGTCAAGCTATTATTCATGCAAACTATTTCCACGTTCCCTTTTATAATTCCTAGGCTAATTCTTCATGACCAGTTAGCATCGACCAAATTTGAAGGACATTTGCGGATATCAGTACGATTGACGTCAGTCGTATTGATATCGACATTAAAAGTGACACACAGAACTAAGGCGAAGAAGCATAGCGGTGGCTTAGCTGTTTGGCAATGCAGAGCTATGCAAACTGAGACGACCGACGCCCCATAACTGAGCTTGTTGGAATAACGACGGTCCCTATAGCACACTCTCCTCTATCTGCGTAATGCTTCCCATTCTACTAAGCCTTGCCATTTTACAACTTAAGTAGAAACTAAAAGGAAACTGGGACCGTTTAGCTCAGTTGGGAGAGCGCTGGTCTGCTGAGCGGGAGGTCGAGGGCTCAAACTCCGGCCGGACCAACACTCAGGGTCTTTAAATAACTGAGAAGGAAGTGATGACATCTGCAAACGGTTAGACTTTCTAGTCTTCTTGGATAAGGAAGAAAAACCGTAGGTCCTCTCTCACAGCACTTACACTTATCTGTTCTTGGGGACGTAAACGTACCGCTGTTCGAAAAGAGCAGGGGAAGTAAGCCCCAGTTTTGTGGCCAACCTTCACACATCATTCAAATCATGGGTTGGGTGGGTGCAGTAAGCTCACAAAAAATGGAACGATACCGGCTGTCAGTGGCGCCTTTGTATGCTGAAGTCCGAGCTTACTGTTATTATGTTAATATGTATGTTGTAAAGAGGGCACGTCGGTTGTCCTCTCATCGTCCATGACTCCTTCCTTCCTTTTAGGGACAGGGAAAAAATTGGCCAATAGCTGACCGGCGCGTCTCCGGTAACGATTCCAAAAACAATTGCTGGACGCATTTCGGCTCCAGTTCCTTTCTTGTTTCTAAACTGGCGAATGATCGGTAACGTTTAGTTTAGCGCATGCGCGCAGATGGACTTCTTTTCCGGTGTCTGTGTAAGTAAAATAAACTGATCCCTAGCTATTCGTATTAGGTTTGCTGGATTTGACGCTGTTACGCTCGCTAACAATCATCTCAACGACTTTGGCGCAAAAGGAGCCAACTTCACCGTTAAAGTTCTGAAGAAGACAGGAGTAAAATATTTCGGAGTCAGTCATGGACAGTACGACAATTCTCAGGTATTACTGAAATGCTAGCAATCTGATTCAGAATATACTGTCGGGCGTGTGTGATGAGGATAGATGCTCTCCACCCTCCACTTTTTCTTTGTCCCACTCTCTCACTAAAATCTCGATGGGAAGGAATAGAAGGAGAGCATGCGCACTGGTGTGAGTATTCGCTTCCCACCATGAAATGGGGCCCGCGTGGATTCGGATGTGGGTTTTACCTGGGGGGTTACTTTGAGAAATTTTTGGTGGGTATGTGCCGTTGGCCTCTCAGAACCCCCTACCCCATTATACTCCATTCTGTGGCCAGTTATAGCCACCACCTTAGTCAGTTTTAAAAAATAATAATTTTGGCTGTACCATTTTTTAAATCCCTACCTACCTGAGTTTTCTGACCTCTAAAGTTCTGAAAATGTGCGAACCCATTGTAGTCAATCCAGTGGTAAAAATGCCACCCATCTAGCAGCACATCCCTATCAGTTTATTTCTAGGAAGTACCCCCAGGGGTACCCCCAGGGGTTTTAACACTCCAGTTCGATGTGGAACGCTCGAATAAACTGGTTCTACAGAGGTCTAAAGTGTTCCATGGGTAAACAAATCACTTTTACACTTTTAAAAACTATAAACAAATTACATCTTTTGGAATCTAACTTTCGTCTATTGTGATAGCTTTTTTAATCAATCACTGCGTTGAAAACTTTTTTCTAAGTGGTGTCGTCGTCATAATTGCTTTCTTTTAACGCAGGAACCCCTTATACTGGAGGCAAAAGGAATAAAAATTGGATTCCTTGGGTATTGTGACTCGCCTTCCTATAAACAAAACTGCACTGAAATAAGAAAGCTGTACAACGCTGGTCCTGCTATTTACAATGACGTCATTGCCGCCAGAGACGTGAACAATTTGAGAAAGGTTTTAGATTATCTTATAATTAAATCTTATGGATGTACATTTTCTGTCTTTAATTTGATTGGACTCCTAAAGAGGGTTTGCTCTAGAAGAGAGAACTAAGATTACAAGAGCTTTAGTTTATCTTATTAGCTTTTCTGTTTACAGCCTTTAGGAGAAAAGTAGCGTACTATTTGTCAAATCGTGCGAAACCCATCCGCAGAGTCCGAGTCGGGGCGGGAGAGACAGTGCGACTAAACGGTTTTTATACACACACGTTGAATAAAAGGCTTTTTCCGGGACAAAGAAACCTACCAAGTGAAATACTGCAGAAAAACATCTTCACATGAGGCTGCCGTTATATATATATATATTTTTTTTTTCCCGTTGACGCGATCCTGAATCTTTCCATGTACAAAATAAGTTACGCTGTTCAAGTATACACTTACGCATCACACCTTTTAGTAAAAAAGCTAACCGTTGCTGTTTTTGATTGTTGAAAGGCTAAAGTCGACATCATTGTAGTTCTCATCCACTTCGGACATGAACATTATCGAAGAACTCTTCCCTACCAATTTCGTACGACAAAACATCTTATGTCCCTTGGCGTGCAAGTCATCATTGGAGCGCATCCGCACGTGATTCAGCAACATTGTCTCCATGACAACAAGCTGGTGGCCTACAGTTTGGGGAATTTCTTGTTCCATCCGACAAGACCAATAAGCGTCTCCCGTCCGGTAATACGCAAACCTGTTAATCCCGACATTTGACCAGTAATTCTCCTTTCTGGCAGCTGTACCTTTCTTTGTACATTATTTAGGAGAATTCAGGGTTATATCAAGATAACATCCTCTCCCCGATACATTTACCAATTCTCACCACCTATCTGCTGGACAATGTATTGATATTACAAGGAAAAGTTATTCTCAGATCACTTCAGGGTACTAACAGGGTCTGCTAGGGTTCTGAGATAAACACAGAGGATACAAGAGGTTTTTAAACTAGATACGTCACCCAGAATACTAACTAGGGATTTCTGGTGTGTGGTACACTAAGCTTCTTTCCGTTCTTTGGTACAATAAGGAAAACGTAGAAGAGTCGGGTATTCGTGTATTGTGAGAGACTGCTGACTACATGTACCCACTACTTACCACTATCACTTTCATGGGCCTTTTTTATGTCAGTAGTGAAATTAAAGTATCGAAATCAAACAAAGAAATGATAAAATTATGTCACTCTCCCTCTCAATTGCAGTTCAACGAATCATGGTTGGGCACTTTTTCATATCCCAAGCTATCTGGCTATTACTTGTCTATGACAAACTGTGGTCTTAAGTAATTTTTTCCTTGCGAAATAGACTGGAAATTCCACTTCGGCGATTTGCCTTAAAAATAGCCGTGTACCCATTTATCTAATTTTTTTGTCGGTTATCATTAGAGGGTGGCAGATGTCATAATATTTGTGGACGTTTGCATGATTGACAAGGCAGGGGGGAATGATAAAGAAATTAACCGCAAAAACCGTGTTTGAAGATTCTGCTGGTTGTCAACGTTGGATCTCTAGAAAAGAGATCTAATCTGCTAAAATATTGAGAACAAAAAAATGTTAAAAAGGAGCAAAGCTGGTCCAAACCGTGTCTTGCTTTTTAGGATATGAGCCTTCTTCAGATAATAAATTTTGATAAGAAGAACGTGTAGATAGGGAACAATACACTCAATGTACAACATCAAAGAGAAAAGAAAAACTAAGTTAGGGGAAGGCAAATTTCAAGAAAAGTGGAATCACTCACGACTTCCTTTATCTTGGTTTTTTTATTAACAGGCTGTGTATGGGCGACTAGGAAAGAAACCTAATAAAGACTTAATAGATTCTTTTGAACACTTTGTTCTGGGAAGCAGCGAAAACTTGAAAAAGACGCAGATGCTAAAAGTAACTTTATCAAGGTAGGGCCAGCTTTGAAATTTTTTATTCTTGAAATTCGTTACAAGTATTGGCCTTCTTTGTTCTTGTCCACATATGGTCTTACAGGGGAGCTCCGAGTGCCGGAGCACCAAAATCGAGAAAAATATTCAAAATTGTGGTGGTCATGTGAATATCCATCCGACCGCCCTTACTTCTCCATCACAGGGACAGCAATGGAAACGGAAATGTCACCTTATCAAGATAAGAAACCATCGTAAAATAAGAAGACGCTTTCATTTTTTTTTTAATGAAATATGCAATACTGAAATATGCAAATGATCGAAATAACGACCGGAAATTCATCTGCGTTCGCAGGCTACTTAGCGTCAATTCCAAGTTATCATCTTGGGTGTTTATATCTTAATATAACCAAATTCAACAATAATACAGGGGTGTTACCGCGAAATGATGAATGGTCAAAAACCAAAGACAGAAGTCTCTCAATTGCTAGAGATTTTTGATACGTTTAGGGAGCTATCAAACGTAATAAAATGAAATCTATTTTCTTTCAGAAATGGTGTATTGAGAGCTTCATATCTTCCTCTCAAAATCTTATTTGACTCTAAATCTAAAAGAATTCATCCAGAGCCCATAAAGAATGCCAGATGGATAAGAGTTTGCGGAAAGAAGGACAAGCAGTGTGAAAAAAGTTGTAAAGATCCAAGAAGAAACAATAACTAATCTTCGATGTGACTTAACATAGGAAAAAATGTCTAACTTGTAGTGTTGTTCTTGGTTTGACGTATCTCTACCTTATTCCTAATCGGCACAAAAAAAAAGATTCAGTTGTCGTTACCTTAGAAAAAACTTCTTTGTTGCGTCAAACACCAAATGGGACCACGTGACCCGAGACGCATAGGCGCGCGAAATATTGGTAGTTTAAGCAACGACGTTTTTGAGCGACACACGTCAACCGGAAGTGGACTTTTTGCACTCTTGGGACGGGACTTTCTATAAATTCTTGGGCAAATCGTCTCTTTAAGAGTAAAGACACTTACAAATTTGGTAGCGTCAAGGCATATTAAAAGAGAAAAAGCGCCACTTCCGGTCGACGTACGTCGCTCAAAAACGTCACTGCTTAAGCTCTCTAATGAGGCCCTAGGACCTAAGCAATGTCCTCCTCAACACTGCGTCTTCTTAAGCGAGTATAGTATAGATCGATTCTTCAAGTGTTTACATGTAAAGCCTGCTGCAAACAGATGCAACATTGTTGATCAACAACTCCCAACATTTTTGGATGTTACCTGTTGCGTCCCTTTGCACACCCTGTTTCATGTTGTTGGGTGTTGTTGGGAGTTGTTGCGCAAACGGTTTGAAACCGGTCAAATGTTTAGCTACGGCCAAAAATGTTAAGAGTTGTTGCGAACTTATAATAAATTTTCGTGCAAATCCTTAGAATTTCGGTTCAAGGAAGGCTGTTGAGCCTGGGAGACCTGTAGTTAACTATTTCACCGTCACGTGAGGTCCTTGGACGTTATGTATTTAATTAGACATTGTGCCTTCTGAATATTTATGAGTTTTTGAATAATGCATGGCAATATCTAAAATACAAACTTATCTTAATAAGCTTTTTAAGCCAATGCAACTATTGTAGTTTAGATACCAAAAAGCGAGCTGAGAGTTTATTATGCTTGCTGTCTTTGCATTTAAAAACGATCACGTTACCATGGTAGCAAAAGTCTTAGACCACAACAATAGACTGATTTAGCAACACAACGGGAAAGTCAGTTGACGACGGCGCGCGCATATCAAACAAAGAAAGAAAGGGCGCACGCGAGGGAGACACGCGAGGGGAGAGGGATCCTTCTAAACAATGTCGAAACAATGTTGCAACAATGTTGCAATGCTGTGTTACGTTAAAAATCTTCGTTGCGAATCGTCCCCTGTAACATCAACTTTAGTTTTCAACAAAGTACTTTCAAAGTTGGCAACTTCATTGATTTTAAAGCGTTCTTTCCAGCTGTGATGACGGATTTTTGCTTCTGGTCCTGGTCAAAAGTTGAAAAAACCGTGGAAGGGCCAATTTAGAATATCTCTTTCGTTTTTCGCTTTTTGATACGCCTACGAAGCAGGAAAGGTAAACCCGTAGCAAATGAAGCATAATAACGCCACGTTAAATTACAAACGCGTTTGTAATTCATGATTTATAAGGCAAATTTTCATGTTTTTTTCCGTCAATTAAAACGAGATAAAACTCCATACGCCTCGGTGACGCGCAATGCAAGTCGCTAAACCTTTCCTTCTCACCTTGGAGATCATATTCTGTTTAGCTAACGGTATTTATAAACTTTCTTTGATGGCTTTGACTTCACTTTTGATACCTCCAGTGTTATTTCACACTTCAAAGTGTTGTCTGTTTCTTTTCTGTTTTTTGCGTTATCGTCTTTCCAAGAACATTGTTAAAGAATCGGATCATTACAGAAATCCTTACTAAGATAAGAACTCTAACTGATTTGGCTTAACAAAAACGATTGATAAATATCCCAATAATTAAAGCTACCTAAATGCTACCTATTTCACCTCATTTAGAGTTATTTAAATTATTCTTCCTACATGTTTACATGTATATTATAGGAGAAGAAGTAAGTTTACTGTTTGTTGGTGATGTCTCCTTTTCTACGCCCGTGAAATATTACGTGGAACATGGATATCACACGTATAATGACTCTTTCAACGAAGTGGCTCCATACATAAGAAACGCTGATATTTCAGTGGCCAACTTGGAATCTCCCTTTGTAAGTAAAGATACATATCGCTTCAAGTTAAAGGAAAAGTTTGTCGTGTTAGATGCAAGTGCAGATGCCGCGGCAGCCTTAAGGTAATTTATACAATAGCCCCAATATTCTTATGCGAGTCGTCGATTACACAAATGTAAAAAGGCCTTCAAGGAATTTACACTTAAAAGTGAATAACACAAATACACAGATTCTTGGAGAAATGGAAGGTTGCTCTCCCTACATATTATAAAGAGCCCTTGAGTAGCGTGCTAGTCATAAAATAAAATATATATATGTTTTTGACTGAGCTCAAATTCATATAACTTTATTGCTTGCCTTCCGTCCATGTACCGGTAAATCGTATTGTAAATATTAGAATCATTCTTGTGCAGTGGTAAAAACGTATATCTTAGTTTAGTTTAGTCCGTATAATAAGTTTAACAAGACCTGGTCAATATCTACCGGTACTATCCCTTTTTTTTTCTTATGCACGGAAACACTTCCACCTGCGTGCACCTGTTCTTTTTAGACGCCTTCTAAACTAGCCATTGACAAGGCTATTGGGTAGGCGTTAGGACAACCTCTTGCCAACCAACTGAGACTAGACATAAACGTTTTCTTAATTCTTTCTAACTATAAGTTGCGTGTTGCCCTTGCTGCTCTGAAAGTTATACATAAGCCGGCGTATCTAATCGAAAAATGAGGTAACGAGAGGTTGTACTTGGCCTTCTCTGCTTCGTTGGCCAAAATTAGTGGGAAAATCAAATAAATCGCGCCATTCCGTTTGGGAAGTTTCAGAAAATATGGGCTGTGGTTTCAGGCACTGCAACCTTTCCATTCTTTGGCTTAAGTCTCAGTTAGCTTATTTGGATGTACACGTCAAATTTTAGGCCTTGTCCACAAGTATCCGTATACTATTGACTCCGCAACCTTTTCTTTCCGGATGCAGCTACCGTCCACACATGATAATAATAATAATAATAATAATAATAATAATAGTTTGCCATCCAAACGCAGATTCGTATCGAGAACTGTCTCCGAAACAGATATTCCAACACATGTCAAAGGCGGGTTTTTAGGCCATTGTCCAAGCACAGGTGGAATCCGATTATACTATTGACTACGCAACAACCATATCTTGGATAAGGGCGAAAGTATCCTTTGCCATTTACGATCAGCCTTGCTGTGTCTCAGAGGAACCAGGAGCAAGAGAAGAGCAGCCAATATATCTGACATTGACATTACATCGTCCAGAATTTAAGTAGTAACTTTTTATCAGTTTGAATTTCTTATTTTTAAATAGTTTTTATTTTTTTTATCAACTTTTTGATGCTTTTTATAATTGTTTTTAGTAGTCTTTAGATAGTCATTTTACAACAATTCTCTTTCGTAGACAAGAAAAATGTACATAGGGTATGTATTTTAATATTTCATATTCTTGAATCTGTAAATAGTCTATTTTTTTTTTTAAATCTATGAATAAAGTCTTGTTTTAATAAAAAAAAAAATAATAATAATAATAATAATAATAATAATAATCAAGACTAGTTCTTTACCGCGAACATTGTATTCAAGATGGCAACCTCGTTCCCAGGTTCTCTCAAGGTAGAGCAAGATGCAAATTTCGCGCGCTTTACGACGCATGCTCTGTTGCCAATATTCCCAGAGGAGTCCTGGGTACTAGAGTGAATCCGGATAACTTGACGGTAAAATCAGATTTGAAAACGGATACTTGTGGACGTGGAAACTGTTTGAATCCGGAAAAAAAAGTTGCGAATTCAAAAATATCCGGATACGTGTGAACGGGGCCTTTATAGTTTTATGTTTCTGAACAGAATTTCCACTCGCGTGGTTTGGGTAAATGCATTCTCGTTCCCCGAACTGCGATCCTTTTGGTCAGCGGCAGGGGTCCCCCACGCTGACCAAAAGGATCAAAGCTCTGGGAACGAAAATGTTAAAAAATGGTAAGCACCGTTTGTCTGCAATGGACAAGGACTGCCTGTCAAGGCAAAAAATGTGTTTAGATTTTTAGTCGACTGCCCGTCTACATCTAAACTGAAAGGAATCTTTATTTGTATTAGGTTTGCAGGATTTGACGCTGTTACGCTCGCTAACAATCATTTCAACGACTTTGGCACAAATGGGGCCAAGTTTACAATTGAGGTTCTAAGGAAGACAGGAATAAAATATTTTGGTGTCAGTTATGGGGAGTATAACACATCCCAGGTATTGCTTCCGGTAACTAATAGGCTTTGATAGGTCTTGATAGGTTTGTGCTAGCATAATTTTTGGCATAATACGTCATTACGAACTTATTTTTCATGTATTTTCAGGAAAAAGCGCTGCTAGCATAATTTGCACTTTGGCTGGTTTTGCAGCACAAAATTGTCATTTATTGATCAAGCAACCATTTTTTTTTTACCTGAGATCAGTGTTTTAGGCAAATTTAAGCAACAAATCATTTTTTGTCTACTAATTGTCACATTTATGGGACCTGGATCCTACAGGAAGTGACCTAGGACCTTGCACCAGACCTAACGCATGCGCGTAACTGCCTCGGTTACCCAAGATGGTGCCCTCGTGCTGGTTTTTAATTGTTTGACAGTTTATATCAGACAATGAATTATTCACTCTTAAAGTTCCTAGGTGTAAATAGGGTAAATGGGTTTGCCATTTACTTGTTTTTGTTTTTTTTCCACACTTATTGAGGTGTTTTTACCAAATTGTAAGTAAAAAGTAGAAGCATAATTTCTGCACGTTTTGCTAAAATGAGCATAATTTACAAAAACTAGCATGATTATTGCAGGAACCTGTTATCGTGGAGGCAAAAGGAATAAAGATTGGATTCCTTGGTTATTGCGATTCGCCTTCCTCCTCTGACAAAAACTGCTCTGAAATAAGAAAGATGTTTAGTGCTGGTCCTGCAGTTTATAGCGAAGTCATTGCCATCAGAGACGTGAATAATTTGAGAAAGGTTTTTAAAAGTTTTCTTCATACGTATCTCTTTTCTACACCCTTTAGTAAAAGTCCACTGCTTGTCGTCTATTGCCACCAAACATTAAAGTAGGATGACGTTCAGTATTAGAAGTCCTTTGCTCAAAGATGACATAAGAAACTGGTGCACTTTGCTAAGCTTTATTGTCCAGCAATACTTCAAAAACCAGAGACTAGAACAAATCACGCATGGAGGTGTCTTTGGCTTTCTGATAAAAAACTCCTGGTTTTGTACGACTTTAATTCCTCCTTCACAATACATTTTTTGGAGAAATTATATCACGACCTCGACACAATGGTTTTATTAAACATCTCGATTATCGTAAAAAGTAAAAATAAATATTAGACTCTACTTGTCTTATCTCCAAAGGTTGATTTCCACTGTCGCGCAATGTTTGCGTGCCTTGGCGCGTAGTCATGAAAGGTCGCGTGTAAACGTAAAATTTCGAGTTTTACGTTTAGGCGCGACCTCCCAGACAATCCCTCTATTCTATTTACGTAATGCGTACGCACATAAAAATTACGCGACAGCGGAAATCTACCTTAATTCTAAAACCTTTTTCCGATGTTTAAAATCGGTGATGAAACACTCTTTCTCGTGTTCGAGTTAGTGATGATATAGTTGTTTTAGTTTATTTCTCACTGTCGTCTCCATTATAAAACGTTAACGTGGCATTAGTTATCATTTAAAAGGCTAAAGTGGACGTCATCATAGCTTTCATCCACTTTGGAGTAGAACTTCATCGAAGAGCTCTTCCCTACCAGATTCATATAACAAAACATCTTATGTCCCTTGGGGTGCAAGTCATCATTGGGGCGCATCCGCACGTCCTTCAGCAACATTGTCTCCATGACAACAAGCTGGTGGCCTACAGTTTAGGGAATTTCTTGTTTCATCCGAGAAGACCATGGAGCGCAGCCGACCCGGTAATACATGACACAGCCTAGATATATGTTACGGGTTACTTCGGACGAAATCGGGTACACTCCAGGCGACAACTTGCAGCAACATGTCGCGGCGACACGTCGCAGCGACAAGTTGTCTAGTGTGTACTGGAAAATTTCTATGAAAATCTTTATCTCCGCAACGGGGTTTTGACGCTGCAACAAGTCGCAAATTCTGTTTCGGAGACTAAGATTTTCACAAAAATCGTCCAGTAACACACGAAGCGATTTGTCGCTGCGACATGTCGCCCAGCTATTGCTGCAACTAGTCGCCTGACCTGTACACACGGAGTGATCTGTCGCCGCGACGTGTTGTTAGGCTAACCTATTAGCCCCATGCAAGCATACAGAACATTGTTGGATGTTACATGTTGCGTCTGTTTGTACACCCTGCTGCATGTTTTTGCCTGTTGTTACGTGTTATTGCGGGGAGTTGTTGCACAAAGTTTGAAACCGGTCAAACTTTTAGCTTCGTGCAAACGGACGCAACAACTCCCAACATTGTTGGGGCAATAATGCTGGGAGTTGTTGCGTCCCTTTGCACTTAGCTTTAGAGATTAAAGCGCAAACGGACACAACAACTCCCAACATTGTTGGGCCAATGATGTTGGGAGCTGCTGCGTCCGTTTGCTCTTAGCTTTAATCATTAAAGCGACGATCGCACTGCATTACGATCAAGTTTATTTTTACAACGTAAGTCGTGGAATAAAGGCGAAGAAATCTGCCACAAACGTGCTACAGACTCAGAGTTTTTGTTTTGCTTATTAAACTGTTGCTTTTTTTCTCCTCGTCTAAGTCGTGGTAGCTAGTAGCGTTACCTCCCAAAACAATTTTTAATATTCGACAATTTCTTGAAAAACTGACAGCACATTTTTGATGGAAAACGCGCGACGAAAACGATGTCGGCAGGTACCGTACCCATAGAGAGACTGTATTTCTATTTGATAAACATGTCCAGCGACGATCGCAAGGCATCATTGGTAAGTAAGCCTTGATGCCCTGTTAGCAATAAGGCAAATGCAAAAAGTCTTAGAGGAAAAGCTAAGCCCGAGTTGAATTTGCTTAAGTCCAGTTTCGATTGTTGGGTTGTGAACTTCTTTCCTTTTTGATAGAAACAGTTCAAAAAATTTGTTCTCTTGCAAATGACATCGTTTAAATTGTTTATGCGAAACATGAACTTTTCATCAACTTTTTAACTTAGTCCAATTGAAAGTCTCTAGCGAAATTGAAATATCAAATACAAACACTGAAAAGAGACCGAACTGGCTCATTTTTTAACTGAACTCATTATACTATTATTTAAATGACTGTTCGGTGCGTTTTTAAAATTTTTCACTGATATGAAGAGAGAAAGGTATAATAATAAGACATACTGCGCTAAGCATACTTTCTATGAATTTCTTTCTAAGTAGAAAAAAAAATTGTAAATCGCTTTTTGCCCATGACACTGAGCAAGAAGTTTAAGGGAAATCCATGAGTTCCAGAAACATAGAATTTGGGACAGGGTTTTACGAGTAGAAAACTCTTTTTACGCGGGTACGTCGAGCAAAAGAACCGATAACAAACAACGCAAATGACCACGCGCCTGACTGAAGGCGCATTGGTGGGGGAGAGGCTCCACCCCTCGTTCACCCTCGCTCCCTGGCGTAATGGCAAAAATGCTAAATCGGTTCTTGCCCGTGACACTAAATCTGAAGAAAAGAGAGACTGCTCGCAGTCTAATGATAGGAAGCCTTTTACTGATAGCAGTTTCCCAATTACCTTTTATTTATGGACAGGCTGTGTATGGGGGGCTTGGAAAGAAACCAGATAAAAACTTGATAGATTCTTATGAACACTTTGCTCTTGGAAACAGTGAAAACTTGAAAATGACTCAGATGCTAAGAGTAACCATATCGAGGTAAGGCGACGCATTGTGTGTAAACGTCCTCATGAAACTTATTCAGTTTGTTTCTTCTTGGTCCAATCATATGGCAAGATATATGGTAAAGTGGAACACCGTTTATGGGCTGAATAGAGTTTTTCTTAGATACAATTGCATGCAATTTGTTTCACTTCGGTCTGATTGGACAAATAATTGCGTGTAAATCAACTTGAAGGAAATTTCCTTTTGTTTATTTTGACATTTCCGATGTTCTTTTTCTTTCAGAAATGGTGTACTGAGAGCTTCATATCTTCCTGTAAAAATCATATTTGACTTTAAAACTAAAAGAATTCATCCACAGCCAATAAAGAACGCCAAGTGGATAAGAGTTTGCGGAAAGAAGGACATGCAATGTGAAAGGAGTTGCAAAAATGCAAGAAGAAGAGAAACAAAAAAAAAACAAAATAAATCTTAATCTAACCTAAAATAGACCATAATGATCTAACCTTTTTTTTTTTACCAGGGCTAATGTTCTTGAGGTTGTTCATGGTGTTGATATTTTAAATTGTGGTCCATTCCTGTTCGCAATAAAATATCCTTTGGAATATCAGAATTAGTTCGTTTACGATTATCTAAAAATATATTTCTTTGTCAAAAATTAGGGTCCCTCAAACAGTTAACATCAAATTGATTTTCAACAGGTTTTCATGCCTAAATTCGCTAGTTCATGCAATATTGAAACAAGAATACGGTCAAATCACATATTAACGAATTGATTGTATAAAGACCAGTTTTCGTTGAGAAAAGGTTGTTGTCGTTCAATGTGGTCCCATTTTTTCCCTTGTAGTGGAAGCATGGGCTATAAGAAACACGGGTTTTGACTAAATAAAAGTCAAATTTTTGTTTAATAAAGTTGACATCATTATTTACTCGAAAGCCATGTTTCCTGTAGCCCATGGTGGAAGGAAAAATCACAAATATATTAATTTTCAGGCCTCGGAACCAAAATAATATTTAACATATCGGGATATTTGTTCTGGTACAAATCTTCTCTTGAATGGCGATGTGTGCTAGTCCTTTCCGTGCGATGAATTCGTATGGTTAGCTGAGTTTGTTGAGTATCAGACTTCAGAGCATCAGGCAAAGGTTAAATATGCCCAGGGGCACAAGGCAGTTGTGAAGGAAGGAAAACAAGTTGTCTCCACAGACGCTCCTTGTCTTTCTCTCTTGTCCAGAAGCTCCTCCGCCAACCTCGGTCCCAGGGCTCTCTCCTACCCGTCCTTACGGAGCGAGTGAGAGACGACGGGTAGGAGAGCGAACCTGGGAACGAGGTTGCTCCTCCGCCTTTTTCCCCTCTGTCCCGCCTTCCTACGACAGTAATGAGGTCAGTTAGGAGGTTATGGGCTCCTGGCCTCTGTGCTGAGGAGGAGAGAGTAACAGGCGAAAACAGTTTAATACAAAGAACTCTAATTAAACACCCGCTAAGGCTCAGAGAATAGACTGAACAGGGATCTTAAGATCTGACGACGGCGACGGCAACGAGAACGTCAAAAAAGCGATTGACCACCACAGAAAATACCATAACATACCATAATACTCTTTGTTGGTCATTCCAAAACATTTTATAAGCATTGTTTTCAGTTTCTATTGGGGCCATTTTAACTCCCAAGAGAAACTGAAAACAATGCTTATGCAAAATTTTGGAGTGACCAACAAAGAGTATTATGGTATGTTATGGAATTTTCTGTAGTGGTCAATAGGTTTGATTTGCACAACAACAACTCTGCACGTGCATCACCCTTTTTTTTACATTTCTTTGCCGTCCCTGCACGACTACGACTTGCAAATGCCTAACTTCACGTTTTATGGAGGACGTAAACAAGCCATGACGAAATTTTCTTTCTTTTTGTGAACTCCAACTCCAGGAGAGTTTGCCTACTTTTGACAAAGTAAGCACGTGGGTAGGAATAATCACAATGAAGATGGGTGAAAGCACGCGAAATCCGTTTTAAGCAAGGCTTTCTTCTGTCGCCGTCCTCAGATCTTAAGGTCCCTAAAGTCAAAGTTATAAAACGAATTATCAGCCCAACCAGGAACCACGCCCTTCAGGTCCTGTAGTACCGCGTGAGAAAACCTCGGGACAAAGAGCAAATCATCAGAGGGTTAGTAAGGCCTCGGCAGAGCCAGGAACCCGGGGGGGGGGGGGTGCGTGCTCAAGAAAGTTTCATAGGGGAGGCTCAACCTCTTACACTTTTTACCTGAAGCGTGAAGAGGGTACCCCTTTTGGGTGGAGCCTCCCCGTATAGGCCATCATAGGGAGTACCCCCCCCCCACCCCCACCCACTGTGAAGGCCCTTCAAGTTGTTTTGCTGTTTTCCCAATGAAGGTCAGGTCTCAGGGGAATTTGCCCCTTTGTCTTTTCATATGCACAGGAATAAGATGAAACTTTGAATGAGAGAGTTCTCTGAGTATTATTTTAATAATATTTAAAAATAATATTTTAATAATATTTAAATAATATTTAAAAATGACGTACATTGGGAAAACAAAAGGTACATGCTGAAAAGGTCTATAGGGTGTTTTCACATGACGTCACGGCGGCCATATTGGTGTTCCAAAACAATGAAACGGCGGCCATGTTGGTTTTTTCAAACCAATCCTTTGGGAGTTGAACTCTTTTCTTATGCAAACGCTTTTTTTTGTTCTAATAAATTTACATAGATGCTGACCACGTGAGTGAAAACATTCTATACTCGATACACACCAGACTTTATTGACATCTAGGAAAAGCATTAGTTAATCTCTTTGAGGATCCGTCGGTATCACTGAAAAAGTGAAGAACGCTCGACCTGGTCAGCGGTCCTACGTTTGGGGGGAGTTCAACTTAACGTTAAGTTTTTAATATAAATTTGCTCCTGTTGCTGTCGCGACAAGTTTGGTTCTTTTGCGTACGTCGCGTTAATTTCCTGCACGTTGAATCAGTTTACTTCCTCTTTCGAGTTAATTTCCTGGGAAGAATTTGCGTTAGTTCAAGTCGCGTACTTGAATACCTTAATTACCACAAGAAATTATCTCCTATAATGAGTTAATTTCTTCTGTTCAGTCTAATAGCGAACCAGTTCAGTTCATTAGCTGTGGCGCAGGAGAAAACATATTGTGGAACACGAAGATCCAGCTAAAACAAAAATATTCACGGTGTCATGCGTGTAGGACGGATGATTGTCTTAAAATCATGTGATTCACCAGAGCACACTTTTTTTTAAGATCCTCTGAAAGGCTAATGAAAAATTTAGGGGGCCGATCGATAAATTCTGCTCCAATCGTCAACAATAGAGAAACAACCCTTTTGATAACTTGACTATTTCATTTCTATTTTATTCATAGGAAATGTTATTGTTAGAAAAATAATTGATATCAAACGCAAGCAGTTACACCCAGTTATGAATCAGATTATTTACTGGTTCTTAATGTCAATATCTTGCGTGAGTACTACGACAGTTGGTAAGAGTTCAGTTTTTTTCAATATAAGATATTAATCTAATGGGCAGTTTGTATTTTTTGGGTAAAGTTATCGGGTAGAATATTCTTAAAATTTTATACAATTCACTTTTGTCACATCAAAAGAGGTTTAACAGTTACAACGTAACAAATGCTTGTTCTTTTGTTTCAGTGATTGGCTGTGGACAACGTGATATAACTGGGTTGCCTCTATTTCCCTTAACCCCTTTCGAAAAGTAGTCTATTGGTGTATTGTTATTGTTATTTACGTTTTTAGCAAATGAATTGTTTAATTAACGGTGTGAAGCGCGTGGTGTATTATGAGATTCGACGTATTTTGCAGCCGTTCTACACCCAGTCATTATTGTTCGTGGGTTAGGTCCTGTAATTGATTTCAATTAATTCTTTATGTTACTATAAGTTTTGTCTCTTGGTTTTGCCAGTTCCTTTTGTGTAGTAGTCTTACCGTGAGCTAAGTAATTTTTCTTTTATGATAATATTCAATTGTTCCTTTCTTTGTTACTTAACTTTTATTTTACTTTTTTCGTTTGTCATTGTTTTGGTACTGAAATCTTCGTTGCTGTTATTCATTTGTGTTAGAAACACTCGGTTGGGGATACACGTTCCCCGTTTTTAGCAGGTTGCCCGCTGGCTTTTAGGGGTTTTCGTGTGTGGCTTTTATGAATTCAGTTTTCCCAGAGTTTTCCTTTTTTCGAAATACATGCCACGATGGCTTTACTGGCCCCGATATTATCATTGTTTGCCCTTTATATGAGGAGTATATTATAGGAGTGTAAGCCCAGGATTCCGTTTTATCAGAGTGAAGACGAAACATGCAGTCAACACAAGACATCCCATCATGCATTACACTGAATATCAACACCCGTAAACGGCTACCGGTGTATTAAGAAAGGGTATTGAGGGTACACCCGTGACAATTTTTCCGAAAGAAGAAAAATATTTTAAAGTGTTAACTTACCTTAGAGACTGTCTATTGATGCCATCTAATAGTTTATAAGACTCACAGTGATCAGACTTAAAGGGGACAAAGAAACAAGAACGACGAATTTGATTCCTAACTTTGGTATTCTTCATAAAATAACAATCACGATGAAACGTCAGGAAAGCCGTGTCTCATTGATGCCCAGAATGTTGAAAATTGCATTTCCGACGATTTTTCCTTTGGAGGGCGTGAGGGGAGGGAGCATACAAACAGCCCCCAGATTTAAACTCGTTTCTTTTTAGTTGAGAAACTCAAATCCATCACAAAATGGGGCTTAGTAGCCTGTTCCAGGTGTTCAAATAGTGGAGACAGTGCGGTGTAAAAGGAGCCGGGAAAAAAGCGAGGGGTGGCGTTAGAGAGAAGATAGGGTGCAGTTTAGTGGCCACTGTTGGAGAAGCAAAAATGAGACTGTTTCCCAACCACTTCTTTGGGAACCAAAACACGGCAGACACCCAAGGGGGTGCCTAGCAACAACATTAATTGACCAATTAGGGCGTGAGACATGTGGGAGGGTGTTGCTTGAGTACTTCTTACATATACATTTCCAGATATAATAATTTATATTATTGTATCATACATTTATAATATTTTTAAATCATCACCATCATCATCATCATCATCATCGTTATTATTTTCATATATTGTATTTTTTTTTCGCCATGCGTTTTATACACGAGTCTCCGGCTTGGATACTCGGCGTAATCCTATCACACGCTATGACACTGATGAATTGATCGATTGATTGCTTGGTTAATGCGGACTTACTACACTTCGTTTTCTAAACGAATTTTCTTTTCCATTGTAGAACAAGTGAATTTACTGTTTGTTGGTGATGTTTCCTTTTCCGTGCCCTTGAAATATTACGTGGAACATGGCTATCACACGTATAACGACTCTTTCAATGAAGTGGCAAAATACGTAAAGAACGCTGATATTTCAGTGGCCAATTTGGAATCTCCCTTTGTTAGCAAAGACATGTATCGCTACAAGTTAAAGGGAAAGAGTGTCGTGTTAGATGCAAGTTCAGATGCTGCATCAGCTTTAAGGTGAAACATTTTATGTGAGGCTGTCAGTTAACACACAAATTTAAAAAGGCTCTAAGGACATTTAATTTTAAACATATCCATAATTCAAAAATCAGTTTCTTGTTAATCAAAGATTAAATGTGGCTCTATGAAAGTTTTCCTGTGGTATGTAAAATGAATTCCTTTCTTTTCGCTGGCCAGTCATGTATCGAGAACAAAAGATGAGGCTCCTTGCTCGACTCGCTTTTCAGTTATCAAGACTTAATACAATAATTTTAATTACTGGGTAAGGTTTTTGTGATATCCTGAACTATCGTCAAGGTGGAGTTAAGAGTTGTGCTATCTGCTGAGGCCCAAGGATATCCAAAAGCCGAATCTAATATAGATATATTTTTATTAAACTACATTATTTTTACTGCCGTGCGAGCCAGCCTTGAAGCGAGCGAGCAAGGCAGCAGACCTAATCCGCACAGGGACGACAACAGGGACAAAAATTTTCGATTTCAACCCACGATGTATCTGGATTTTTTTAACCACAATGCAAGGGACTTGCACCACAATTCCTTGCACGCCCATTGTCTTTACATACCGAGCTCTGCTGGCGTTGTCGGTTGCATGAAGTTCGTTGAGGTTAGTTGAAATCCTAATGTGTCTTTGGGGTGAATTTCTCTTTTTACCAAGTGATGTTGTCATAAAGCGTTTTGATGATCTTTAAAGCGGCTGGTGGTAATTGGTTAAATCTTTTCTTCAGTCACATAGTAAGATATTATCAGAGAGAGACATGATCAGACTTGTGGTGGAAACGTAAATGCAACGCTTAAGTCCAGCAGGAAATTAATTTTCTTTTGATTGAAAATTGTCCTTATTTTTTTGCCTTTTTTAAAAGTTTTTGCTTTCCTTTTCAAAAAGCAAAACTCATACTTCACATTAAAATCACGTCTACTGTATTGCAACCACCATGTCCGATATGACCAATAAAAATACATCACATTACGCACGTCCCAAATCTGACATCCACTGCGAAAACTGTGACAATCGATTTTCAAAACACTTGTTTCGCTGACACCAAGGCAACGCTCTTTTACCTATTAGGTACACTAGTATAACTACAAACACACCATTGCAGGGAACATAATTTGACATTGCTCTGAACGCAGCCAATTGATTAGTCAGTGATCTACTGCAGATAACAAATTTAATCTGTCAGTCGCACTTATATCCAAAATTAACTGCAAGCTCTTAGCCTGTGAGAAGACAGATAGTGAGGACAAAGTTTAATAATAATTATAATAATAATAATAATAATAATAATATTAATAATAATGATAACCATAACAATAATGATAATAACGATAATAATGATAATAATAATTATAGATATGACAATTCCAGAGGATGGACGTGTGGGAGAAACGGAAGATGAGAAAGTTGAAAAGTATCAGGATCTTGCGAGAGCCTTTCGAAAACTGGTGTGGGATGTAAGGAAAAAGGTGAATTCGGTTGTAATTTGGGGCATTAGGAACAGTACCAGTGAGTTTGAAAAACAACCTGGGCCGGGTTGTTCGAAGCACGGATAAGAGAAGCCAGGGTCACTGCGGAAATTCAGATATGAAAACTTTAAAAGCAAAATAATTCAGTTTTAATACCTTTGGTCTACAATGCAATGATTTGATGCTCTACAAAGAACAGAGACAATTATCCAAGAAAATGCTAATAAATAAATAAATAAAGATTTCAGAGGTAGCACATCCACCAAGTGTTCCTTCCTAGTCTACCTGATTCCTTGTCGAATTAGACTGTGATTTGAACAGAAGAATAAGAAACCCGTATTAAAACTTAATCTCGCGTTAGCGCTAATCGACCTTCGAACAACTAGACTCTAGCCGGTTATTGGCGTGGAAATCTCTGTGGAAATGATCCAGAAATGTGCATTTAGCGTTGGGGTCAGCAAAAATCTTAAGAAAGATGCTTGAGATGTAGGAAGAGGAAAGCAGACAGATTGTGCCCAGAGCCAAAGAGGAAACTAGCTGTAACATCACCAGCAGTGCAAAATTTCAATAATAATAATAATAATAATAATAATAATAAATAATAATAATAATAATAACAATAACAATGATGATGACGATGATGATGATAATTCTCTTGTGCAGGGATCAAGGGATGAAGAGAACTGCTGTGCGGGACTGCACAATGGTTATAAGTGTTTAGTGCCGTACGAAGGTTTAGTTTTTTAGCTGGTATACGTATGGATTAAATACTTCATTTCGTATAAGACCAGGTACCTGCAACTGAGACATACCTACTTCTTTTTTTATTAGGTTTGCTGGATTTGACGCCGTTACACTCGCTAACAATCATTTCAACGACTTTGGCGCAAAAGGGGCCAACTTCACCGTTGAAGTTCTGAAGAAGACAGGCGTAAAATATTTTGGTGTCAGTTATGGAAAGTATAACACCTCCCAGGTTAGTATTACCTGCAGTGACACTCAGCAATGATTTAAACCAGATATAATAACTCCCAATACCTGTATTATACCATTTCTATGTCTTACTTGGGAGAGTTTTTCCGTTGTTCTCAAAGAAGTGTTTCTTCGAGGGGAAAGACAGGTCGCGTAAACGACAGTTTCACTTCTTCTGGTATTCTAATACGAGATATGTCGCATGCTCAGCTTGATCTCTTTCAGTTTGGATGGGCATCTCCCAAAGTATAATAGCTACCTAGTTTTCAGCCTTCTGGTGTAGACGTCTCTTATTTCCTTTGCCTTCACCTTAATCCTATCATTATCATTACTATATTTATTATTATTGTTATCATCATTATAGTAATAATGATAATAATAATTTCTATTATTATTATTATTATTATAATAATTATTATTATTATCTCAAGCAGCATTTGTAAATTGCCTATACGTAGCGAGATTTACAATTGTACATTCAAAAACACAAATAAAGTTTCCATATCTTGCCTTCTTTTATTGCAGAAACCTCTTATCTTGGAGGTAAAAGGAATAAAGATTGGATTCCTTGGCTATTGTGACACGTCCTCCATGATGGGTTTAAACTGCACTGAAATAAGAAAGCTATTTAATGCTGGCCCTGCCTTTTATAGTGACGTCATTGCCACTAGAGATGTCAGCAATTTGAAAAAGGTTCTCACATTACTTTTTTACAAACTACTGTAAAAGTCCATCGTCTTGGAGCGTCATTTAATCTCCAAACAAAACCGCGATGAAATTTAGCGCAGCAGACGTTAAGATAACAATCTCAAAGAGACACTCGGTGTTTGGTTTTTTTGGTAATAGACTCGTTCTTTTCAATTTTTGAGTGGGAGAAGTTGGTAAAAATCCGGTAACACGGCGGGAAAGAACGCATGAAACCAGTAAAGTTTGAAAGTAATTTATTGAAAACTAACAAAGTTGCAGAATTTTACAGACGTTTCTATGATAGAGTGATATCTTCGCTCGTTTTAGACGTATCAAGCGGGATAAGTTTCCTAATTTTAAGGCGCCCTTCCCAGCAGTGAAGATGCAGGGATATTCGCAAACTATTTTTTATCAAAACTGAAAAAAGAAAACATGGAAGGCTGATTTTCTCGGCCTCATTATAACTTTAGAGAGGCGCGGTGACTAAGCGGTTTTTTATTTGGTCTCCGTATCAGAAGGTCCCATTCCAGGTCCTGCCACGGCTGACTCGCCCCCAGTCGTCTCTTATTATCTGAAAGCGGTCAAAGAACGGTCGCGGGAGATTATTACGGCATCTGGTGCGAAGGGGACGATGGGAAGGGGAAAAGGGAAAGGAAGAGACTTCCCTTTTCCGTTCCCTTCATCCTCCGCGCTTCCTTGACCGCGTATCTCTAGTTAATATTAATAGGAGAGAGTGACAGACGACTGGGGACGAGTCAGCTGCCAGGGCCAGGTTTGTTTGCTTTTTTTATAATTCTTAGAAAGTTATCCTAAATGTGTTTTATGTTTCACTCTAACAATCTTTATAATGTTAAAAGACTGATGTAGCTGCTGTTTAATATCATTGAAAAGGCTAAAGTGGACGTCATTGTAGTTTTCATGCACTTCGGAGAAGAACTTTATCGAAAGGCTCTCCCGTATCAGCTTCGTATAATAGAACATCTTATGTCCCTTGGCGTGCAAGTCATCATTGGGGCGCATCCGCACGTGCTTCAGCAACATTGTCTCCATGACAACAAGCTGGTGGCCTACAGTTTGGGGAATTTCTTGTTCCATCCGAGAAGACCAATGAGCGGAGTCAACCCGGTAATACCTGACACTGGCCAGAAAAATGTTCAACAAAATTCATCTATCTGACCATGTCTACTACATTATAAACCTCTTAAGTTATTTGCCTAGTCCCTAGGCCGCATTATTCTGCGCGGCCAATGCGTTTCCCGGTCACGTGGTCCGAGCGAGTCCCGCCTGTTGTCTCGGATACGTCACCGAAATGCATCAACCGAGAAGGCCTGGGAAGACGCTGCACAGGAACCAGGCAATCAAGTCATGTCGATAGTGAAATATATTACATTATCAAAAGCAAATACCGAATCGAAAATGAATGATGAAACTGGGACCACTTTGTTTGCTTCTTAGATAAACGGATTATACTTCTTTTTATTGACTTGTTATTATTTTTGTCTAGGTATTGTGATAATTTTTAAACGACGTTCCTCTCGATCAGTTATGCGAAAAAAGTAAATTAATTCAGAACATTCTTGTGATACTTCGAGAAATGGAAGGAGGAATCAAGCGGAGATGGAACTAGAGATGCATGCAGGGTTTTCCTTACGCCCTACCAAATACCTTTAACCCTTTAATTCATTTCTTTATTTGTTCATATCAGTATTTATCATTTATTTATTTACAGGCTCTATATGGAAGATTTGGCAAGAAACCAGATAAAAGCTTAATAGACTCATACGAACACTTTTTTCTTGGAAACTGTAACAACTTGAAAATGACTCAGATCCTAAAAGTTACCTTATGCAGGTAAGAAGAAAACTGAAATCTGTAACGTGGGAGAATTTTCAGACGCTATATTGTATTTATGTTGAATGCCCTTTATAGCTCACAGTCAAAAGAGACGTTTGATACAAAAATTACGAGCTACAGCAGAACAATTCTAGAGATGAAACCGATATCATAAGGAAATTAGCTAGAAGCCAATTTTGAGGTGGCTGACACAAAAAAAATAAGATTTTGTGGGACAGAATGTCTGCAACAAAATGCTGGGGGTTTGTTCGCCAATAATTGGTGGACTCCAAGGCGTGTGGTCCATTGCTTATTTTTCTGAGTTTATTTTGACATTTGAGTTGTTCTGTTTCTTTCAGAAATGGAGTTTTAGGAGCTTCGTATCTACCTGTAAAAATCGTATTTGACCCCAAAACTAAACGAATTCACCCAAAGCCGACAAAGGACGCCAAATGGATAAGAGTTTGCGGAAAGAAGGACAAGCAGTGTGAAAAAAATTGCAAAGATCCAAGAGAAAAGAAAAACTTATCTTGGTCGTCTGACCTCTGAACTAACTTGCTGTTAATAGGACAAATATTTAGCACTCAGTTCTGATGTTGGTCTTTGTGTTGGTATCTCTTATTTCTTCATATGATGAAAATCTGTCAGAATATCGAAATTTATTCCAAAAGAATTTCTGATAGAATAAAACTTTGAAAATTCTTCTTTGTCTCAACTGTGTATGAAATGTACAGCTATTTAGAGGAAGGTTGTTAAAGAAAGTGCACGCAACAATACCGAATGTCCGATTGCGGACGGCTTAAAATTCACTGTTCTTCAAATGGTACGAAAAGCCATGGAAGTATGTTTGCAAGTGCTTAAGGAAAGCAACAAAAATAGATTCGACAGCTTCAGTGTCAGGAACAGTGTATTTATTATTCTCATATTTTCTGTCGGGGTTATACCGTGCACATTTTTTTCCGACAACCTTTCTCGAAAGGCGAAGGCAAAGAGAATGTGAAAAAAGCAGTATTTTAAAATTGTATCATCATATTTGTTGTGTAAATTTCTCTGCCTTTAATGCACAACCGCGACATGGAATGCACTTCGCTTTCTGATTTCGTGTTCTATAGAGGAGTAAGCTACCAGACAAGCCGGAGCTAAGAACGAAGCTCCCGTTTATGCATTTTAAATTTACTTCAGACAATGGAATTCAAACCATTGCAAAGAAATCCACAAATCCATAACCACATGAGTGAAAACATAAACGTGAGTCTGGGATCAATTTAAAGCTAACAACTGGTCAGCGGAAAACTTCCAAGAAAACACGGTCAGCAGATACCCTGTTTTGACAGCTGTCAATTGACCATAATATGAATGTCTATTATCAAGTTAAACCAGGGTTATAGGCTCCTGGTAAAACACAGGTTATTAGCTCCCACACCAGCTTGAATGTTTGACATTTCGCATTGGTTTCCCTGTGGTGCGAACGAACGGGCTGATGTATGGTCACGTGATTACCAAAATTTCTCGGATGGCAACTAAGTTTTTTTAGATGTGGGGGGCGTGCGCGTAGAGCTCCGCTATGATCAGTTTTTGAAATTCCATGCAGTAATTAAGAAATTACTGTTGGACGAAGACTAGCGATCGCGTGAGCAAACATCGGCACAAGAAGTCAAACCATCAGAGGGAAGTAAGGGCTCAGATTTCAGTGACACCCTGCCAGCACCCTGCTAGTAGTGCCTTTCTTTAGCTCAGTGCTCGATTTTGGCTCTGCATGAATCGTGTAAGATCTTTGTTAAGCATGCGCGGCATGTTGCTTGATACCGTCGGTTTATCAATAAACAAATGCTCGCACGAGAACCAGTTTCACGAAAGAAAACAAGACTGGCTTTCGTTTGTGTTGTAATTTAATTATTCTTAATAATAATAATAATAATAATTAGATTGAATAGTCTAAAAGTTTCGGGTTGCAGCGACCTCAAACGCGAATCAGGTAGAACCTCCGTTTCTTTTTCTCAAGGAGGTTTGCCCGCAGGGAGGTTCAGTAAGAGATCTGAGTTTAACATAGGAACAACAGCTTTACCATCATGGAGATCAGGAAGAGCTACCCAAGTCCCCGAAAGGCTCTAAGTTTTGAATACACTACAGACATTATTGACACCTAGGAAAAGCATTAATTTTTTTATCAGGTTGGAGTTCCGCCGGTTCAACTGAAACTGTGAAAACGCTTGATGTGGCCAGCGGATTCCTTCATTACGTTTGGGGCGAGTTAACTGACGAAAACTGCTTGCATTCAGGAGATACATTTAGCGTTCTTGTTCTGTCTCGACAAGTTTGGTTTCCGCACCGTAATTTTTAGGAAGTTATTATAACTCCAAAAATGGAGTAAAAATTTTAGGTACAGGATAACCCCTTTTTGGGGGTTATTTTAACTCCTAATTTAACTCCGAATTTGGGGTCATTTTTACTCCTGAAAAAGAGTTCTTTTTTTATCGCGTTATTTATCGCGGTTTTTACAAGCTCAGTTTGTTTATTACGCATTTTCAATCTTAATGTCGCCTTTTCGCCAAACTGATAGAGATTTCTCATATTATTCCACTTTACTGTCAATCTAATTCAGATTTTTGGTATTTTAATCATTTGGTATTAAATCATCTTTAACCGTCACTTTTGGTTTTCCTTGTTTTCTTTGTTTTTTGACACGTAAAATAGGAAGTCCCTAACTACCTGCTGCGACACACCATCCGAACTTTCGTTTTCTCGTTTGCCTGTTTTGTTGTCGCAAGTCACAGTGCATTTTCTATGTTATCAAAGAAGAAGAAGGCGAGTAGTCCTTTCAGTATGAATTATTTACCGTGAAATACGACTAGATGCTTTTTAAGAGCTGAAACTCTCCAAAATTAAGTTGTTTTAATCTCAGTAATACTTCTAACAGGTAATTAAAGTAAACAAAGGGCAGACCTAAAAGTATCTACTTGAAAAACCAAGATGGTGATCAGCGACTGATTTTCCTAATGAAGTATGTGTCAATTTTACCGTAAAATTGGCACATAACTCACGATGTGACATACCCATTACCGCGGAGGACATTAGTGCCTGTTTTAACATGCGATTACATGAGCTGGAATTTAAGCCAAATTTTTGTTAAGCCCTGGCTTAATGGCTTGAAGGCAGCTACACCCCTGCCAATCAACGGGTTCATAACTGATAATTTACGGTGTACGATATACTTAAAATTGGCCTTTTTTATGCCAGACATATTTAACGTCTGAGACGTTAAAGTCGATCGGTGTAAAAACGGGAAGGATAAAAGTAGACGATAACACTGGAAAAAAAAACAGAGTTCTCTGGAAAAGATGTAAAACACTGAGCTTTCGAAGTCTTCTCTGGCACGAGTTGGGCATCAAAATGTCCCCAGTTTATGGCGTCCCTTTTTTATTCAAGACGCAGAGTAGGCGCATGTTGCGTCTGAGACGTTAAAGTCTTCTGTTAAAGGGTAAATCTCATGAACTGTACATGTCTGAGCCGAAGCGCAACGTTTGAAAAATTCTGCTGAATCTGGCAAAAACAAGATGGCGGCCACAAGTGTTGGAGCCGGCCATGGCGGTAAAAGATAGAATTCGGGTCGCAAAAGGACGATTTCTGATCTCAAGCAGTATAAGAAAGTTTGATTTACGAGACACAAACGTAACGTATTTTTCTTTTTCTCGAAGAGAAGATATTCCAGTCGTGGCTTGGTGTGAAATTGGAGACAGGATATGAAGGTTCCAGCGACGGAGATTTCGCGGCACAGTTGTGTACTGATGTTCATTTTTGTATATTCGAATATTTTCAGCCTAAAATCATCAGAAAATAAGGATATTAAGCCCGGGCGGGAAAAACATTCTTATAAAAAAAAGTGTACTAGTGAAATCAGAAGCATACAAGACATATAACCCCGAAGCGTCTATCTTCCCCTTATCTGTTTCAGGGGCGTAGTTGGGTAGGGGGGGGGTCCTGGGGTGCCCGTGAGCCCCCCTTGGTAGGCCTTCTTTGAGCAAACAACCTACAATATCCGGGTGGCGAAAAGGCCATGACAATATCTTGGCCGTAAAAGCCATTGTTGAAAAGCCCACTTTTTTAAAATTTGTTTTTTTGTAAAATATTTTCGTCAACGGCTCTTGTCTTTAGTTAACATGGGCCTTCATGCCGCGATAATACGACTGAGCCCGCTGATATACACGAGGGAGAGCAGCGGTATAAACCATATATAGTCGGCGATCCCCGGATGGTGTCCCTGCTTAACATAACGAGTAGCCTCTGTGACCTCCCCTTTGAAAAATCCTGGCTACGCCCCTGTGTTTGGTTGTATGCTTCTGATGAAATTTAGCATCCTGCATATAACACTGATGAGTTGGACCCAGGGTGACAAAAAACATTGAGGGAACTTCCATCACATTCAGGGGCATTGGAAAATCGACCAGTTATTCAGATCTAGAAGATCTGGAGAAAATTAAAACCCTTATTTAGCTGCAATAAAGAGCTTTAAGTTTCAAAAGAGGTTGAAGAAAATGCTCTTGCATCAGACGGCAAATCCTGCCGACCATAAACAAAAACCAAAGGAGAAAAATCAATATGTGTGTCATGACCTCAAAGCGACAAAAATAACAAATTTGTTTGCTCAGTCAAAATTTAGAACCCTCCAGAGTATAGTCTACCCGATAGAGAAAGAACGCTTACTGGAACACGCAGCATTTTGGAGGGAAGTAACAGTCGAGTGTTGCCCACGACCCCTTTTTTGGTAAAAACAATTCAAACAAGAGCGGGAAGAGCGATTTTGACAGTGACTTCCCGAACATGCGCAGTTCATGAGACTACCCCTTTAAGTACGTCTGAACGCCGCACTTAACAAAAGACGTTAATGACGTCACACGTTAAATGTATCTGTCTATAGCATGAAAACGGCCAATCATGATTAGCCATAGCACACTTTTTAAGATCCTCTGAAAGGCTAATGAAAAATTTAGGGAGCCGACCGTTAAATCTGCTCTTGTCGTGAACAATAGAGAAACAACCTTTTCGATAACTTGGCAATCTCATTTCCATTTTACAAAGGAAATGCCGTTGTTGGAATAATAATAACTGCTAGTCAAACAAACAATCGCTCCCAATGATGGATCAGGTCATTTATTGGCTCTTAATGTCAATATCTTGCGTGAGTACTGGGACACTTGGTAAGAGTTCAGTTTATTTGAATAGATAGATAAGAATTCCTCGGACGATTTTTATTCTAGGGTAAAGTTATTGGGTCTCATATTCAATTCATTTTTATCACATACAAAAGAGGGTCTAAGCCTTTTTTTGTTGTAGTTTTAGTGATTTCCAGATCTTGAAATCGCTTCTTGATTTACCGTCGCAGCAATTACAATAAATAATTAGTTGCCTGAATCTCCCTCCAACCTTTTCGGAAAGTAGTCTTTAAGTGCATTATTATTTTTAATTTTTATTTTTAACCAAATTAATTAGATAATTAACTGAGAGATTAACGTGTGGAAATTGATGTGAGGTGAGTGGCGTTTTATGGGATTTGAGTTTGTATTTATTGCAGCCATTGGATTGAGGCTGGTGTAACATTCTACGGCCAGCCTTCTTCCCGTTAGGTTTTCGTTTAATCTCAACAAACAACAACGATTTTATTAAAAAGCAAAGAAACACATTAAACATACACACTGCCTGTATTTAGCTAAAGCTATTCGAGGCAGGCAGTGTGGGTACTCTACATACTTAAAGATATTTAACAAGGAAAATTAGAGAGATTTACAACATCATGTGACACTATCGAGGGATTTTGATTTACGGTAGAAATGTTTGCTAACACCTCCTATCTTATGCACTAAGATTTGGATTACTGTCAAAAGAAATGAACCATAAACAACAAAATATTTTTAAAATGTTTACTGTGTTATCACCAATCGTAGCGAAAATCAGGACAAGCAAGCAAGCCAAAACTTTAAGCTAATTATCACTACCCCAGTTTATTTTTCTCATGCCCGATTGGCTCTTACCCTGCCCGCAAAACATTCCACAAATGTTTCTGGATTTCCAATTTTGTCAGATACACATGCAAACAGACATCGGCTTTAAAAAACAAATATTATCATCATTGGTAAACAAATTCATGTGACAGTAAGTTTTGCTTCTTTGTTTTGCCTACATTTAGGTCCCTTTGTGTATGAAGCCTGTTATTCAATAGCTTTAGGTTCTTTATTTCAAACCAGAAACCTAAGACTACGTTCCCCGTATTGTCCACCTGTTCGTTTTTAGGGGTTTTTGTGTCTGGCTTTGGTGAAGTTAGTTTTTCCTAACTCGTAGTTAGCTTGGCTGGCCGCAGCGCCCAGATATCATTATCAGTATGTGCAGGGTTGAGTGTTAGAGGAAAAATAAGACAAAATATACAGGAGCGTTAAAGCGCAACGGGATTATCTCTAATTGAAGACGAAACACACGGTTAACTCAATTTATTCCGCTTCACTGATTATCAACACCCGTAAAACCAGTGGCGTATTAAGAGGGTACTTGAATTATTACTTAACTATGACAATATTTCAAGTTTGTTATAGGGTTATTTCGAGCCTGAGATGTTCTTTTTTCTTACTTCAATATTCTATTGTTGCTACTGATCAAATAAATGATAATAAAATTTCTTAACACTGCGGATAAGTTATTTTATTCTGTTAACGAAAATCGTCAGTTGTCCGTCCAATTAAAATCTACCCACATAGGACTTACTGCACTCCATTTTCCTAACGAGTTTTCTTTTCTATTGTAGAACACGTAAATTTACTGTTTGTTGGTGATGTTTCCTTTTCTACGCCCTTGAAATATTACGTGGAACATGGCTATCACACGTATAACGACTCTTTCAATGAAGTGGCAAAATACGTAAAGAACGCTGATTTTTCAGTGGCCAATTTGGAATCTCCTTTTGTAAGCAAAGACATGTATCGATACAAGATGAAGGGGAAGAATGTCGTATTAGATGCAAGTTCAGATGCCGCGTCAGCCTTAAGGTGAAACAGTAGCTAAATCTGAATTTGCTACGCAAGTTGATAAGTTAATACACAAATTTTATAAAGGTTCAAGGACATTTACGTTCAAACCTGCTTTTATTGGTGTTTTAACCCGCTGTTAATAGTGTTTAACCTGTTTTTAATTGATTTCGTTTATTGGTGTTTTAACCTGCTCTTAATGGTGCTTTTTTATTGTTGATTTAAACTGATTTAAGAGCAACTCCATGCAAATATCGACCAAAGTGCGGCAAGGCTCAAAAAATAAAAATCGCTCTTCTTTTGCATACTGATAGACTTTAGTAAGTGTACAAACGCCAAGTAGTTTTTTCTTCGAAAGATCTGTTCGTTTCCGAGAAAAACAAGAAAACCGTTTCAAGCCCCACCGTCGATTTCGCAAGCCGAAAACAGGGTTGAAATTCACTATGATTCGCTCGACTTGCATTTCAAAACCACCGCGCTAGAAAAAAAGCTTGTTGCTAAACTTGTAAGTACAACTCGTCGTTGACCAAAATATATAATATTTTTAGCATTACAACACTCTGAGTAATTATAAAAAAGCTAAAGCGTATGTCTACCTGTTGTTCAACCACGGAAGGTAGTTGAAAAAAGCGACGATTTTCGTCATGTGCCTTTGATCATAATTTTTCAAGATTGAAAGGGAAAACTCTACAAGCATCAAACTATTGTGTTATGTTAAAATTATTTTGGGAAAATCATTTTGAGCTTCTCAGAAATTATTTCAAATTCGTGTTACAGACAACATAAAATAACGGCATCCAACACATGAGTCACACGACCACCACCAACAACTTGACTTTAGGTTTCCGTTTACAACGCTGGTAGCCTTGATATGTAGAACAATTTTTTAAAAAAGCTCACCTTAACCTGTATCTGTTGTACTTTAAGCTCCAAGTTGTTTCATTTTGCCGTCTTATCACCTATGTTACCGTAGTCATGATGTCCGCTGGAATGTGTGCGTTGGAGGTGCGTGACAGCTTTCTGGTAATTTCTTCATCCCTCTGTTTTCTCTAATGTTTTCAAGTTAACATCTCATGTTTGTTAAAAATTTTGAGAACCCTGGACCTTAAAAAAGCCGTCTATAAAATAAAGCTCGGTAGTTTAACTGTCAACAAAGCAAAGTTGCTTGCTCGTGGATCCGTTCACTTCAACTAATCTCATTTGCATAGGAGTGTGCCAAGGGTCTACTTCCGGTAATATACACGTGACGAGCTTCACCGACTTTCACCCGTTTTTCCCAGTACACTGAAGAAGCTTCATCTTTTATATTCCTCCTTCTTCAAAAATACTCCAGTTGACATTATTTTACCTGAGAATTATCTTTAATATTTTGACATTTTAGGCATTTGATTAACATTATCGAATTAAATTTAGTTTAATTTGATTCAACCGTTCATTCCCACTTGAAAAAGAAAAAGATCTCAGCATAAACACTGATTGTGTGCGCTCTTCTTCGATGAAGCTATGGAAGGTTCGAGCTCCTTCGAGTCATCAGTAGGTACTCTGTGTTCGTTTGATAGAAGGGATAAGCAGAGATCAACTGAGATTGTTAAATTGTCGCTATCAAACTATTAAGGACGTAACTGGGCATAGATCGACATGGTCTCTTTCTAGCCATTGAAAGCGAAACAGACTTTATTTTAGCTCAGAACTGACCAGCCAGACCATTCCCGTCGCAATGATAATTTCCCTTTTAATCAAACCCTTCAGCTAGATCAGTCAAATCCGAAATAGTATGCTCGAAAGAGAACATTTTTCGGCAAAACTCTTGGATAAATCCTATTTCATTTTCAAAATGACTGGTCAGGCAAAGATCCAGCCGGCCAGTTCTGACAAATGGAAAGCGCCCTAAGTTCCTTTAATATATGCCCTTTCCATCTTTCTGAGCTCGGTATTGGATGGTGACGGAACAGTTATTCCAATTCGTGCCAAGTTCCAAAGGAAAGCGCCAATCACATAATTGAAAGAAGAGGGAAACCTGTTAAAGCCGACAAAAGAGTTAGAGGAAGAACATTTCAAAATGTATCTATCAGCAAACCGGTATCCTCATTCCTGTAGGCTCAGGTACTCTTGGTTTATTCACTGTATTATATTCTTATAAGAAGCTTAAATTAAATCCACAAATACTGTATAAAGTTTATCATAGTTGTCAACTCTCTTCGATAACCCAGAGTCTCCCCGGTACCAATCCACCTAATCTGTCCGATAAAATAAACCTTTCAGTTTTTTTCTTAGTTTGAAATTAAACCCGATTTCCCCCAGAGAAAATATATTTTTTTAAAATTTAAAGATCGTAGTCCAGTTCTGATGGCATTTGTTGTTGTCGTTTTATTTTATTCTATTTTTTTACATTTACTTCAAACGACTGACTTGTACCTCCTTCAAGACAACGTGTGGGGATATGGCGAATGACGAAGCCATTGACTTCAAGCTCAGAAGCAGATGCGCTTGCAGAATGTTACAAGAACGCTGGACACTGGGGATCACGAATAGAAATCTTATCTATTACGAACGGACCATTAGAAAAGTTATTTTTTTTAAATTTTTTTTTCGTTATCAAATTCCTTCTTGAATTTCAGTTTTAGACCGTAGCATGGATATTTTTTAGGGTTAATTGGCGTGCATGAAATTTTTTTTCATTTAATTTTCCCTTGCGCGAATATTTCTTTTGTACTTCGCCCGTCCCACCCCCGCCCAATGTTTCTTTCAATTCACGAAAAGTGACATTTAGCACAGCAGAAATTACATACTTGGTTCCACCAGTGGTGATGGGATGAAAATATGTACACAATTTTTTGTTAAGACATCTTTTGTTTTGATAATGCCCACGTCTCGAAGCAATGAAAATCTTCAGCGAGGCTACCAATTAAATTCTTCATTTTCAAAACGCATGTTTTACGTTTGCTTTTCGCCTGCTTTTAGAGGATCCAGACCCCGGACCCCGGGATCTTGAAAGCTGTAATCTGATATTACTGTTGAACGTAATGCATACTGAGTCACAAACGTTCGCATGGGCGCTTTTAATATCCTTCAGATTGGCGCTTCCTTCTGCGGTGTCCAGCAGCATTTTGAGACAAACGTTTTTGACAGATAAGGAAGAGAGGGTTTCCTACGTGTTTACTAAGCGATCTTCGTTAGAAAGCATGCGTGTTAGTTATGAGTCTCAAACAGAGTTTAATATAGAATGGCAAACTTGAACAGATGGCAACGGGAAACATTTTGCCGTGAAACTAGACCTGAAACAAAGAATAGGGTAAGTACTTTAACTTTTAGAACTTTGTGCGTGAATATTACCAGGACTTTTTAGGAGAGACGTTATGACCTTTGCCTGGTCGACTGACAATGGTCACGCATATGTTAAAGATGGCGTTACTTTATGTTGTCTGTAAAACGATTTTCAAATAATTTCTGATAAGCTCAAAATGATTTCCCCAAAATAATTTTTACATAGCATAAACGTTTGATGGTTGTAGTGTATTTCCCTTCAATCTGAAAAAATTCTGATCAAAGGCACATGATGAAAATCGTCGCTGTTTTCAACGACCTTTCGTCGCTAAATATCAGGTAACCGTACGCTTTAGCTTTTTTATAATTACTCATACTGATGTAATGCTAAAAATATTATATAGTTCGATCAACGACGAGTTAAACTTAAAATTTTAGCAATAACTTTTTTTCCTAGCGCGATTGTATTGGAACGCGAGTCCAGCGAATCATGATGATTTCAACCCAGTTTTTGGCTTGCGAAATCGCTTGTGGGGCTTGAAACGGTTTTCTTCGTTTTTCTCGGAAACGAATAGATCTTTCGAAGAAAAAACTACATAGCGTTTGTAGACTTACTAAAGTGTACCACTCTGCAAAAGAAGAGCGATTTTGATTTTTTGAGCCTTGCCACGAATCGGCGATTTTGGTCGATTTTTGCATGGATTCGCTCTTAAACCATATTAAAATATATTTAAAACTCTTTTAAAGCAAAGTCAAGGAAGAAATTTCAAATTTAGCAAAAACAACAATCATTAAGCTGTACCGTTGTTGGGACAGGCAATTTTCTTCCATCATCAATTCAGGGTACGAAATTTACTCTAAATCGAGTTCTTACTTTGTACTGTTTGAGTCATTTCATGACACTTACCTACTTTCACAAAAATTTGCAGAAACAGTGGGATTTTCAAATACAGGGAACTCTGTTAATGCAGACACGGAGGGGGGGCATTACTAGTGAGAAATGAAACAAGACAGTGGCATCGATCGTCAAACTCAACTCTGTATAACTTATCCTGCCTACTGAAACACCGTGAACATTGACATGCTATCGCATGAGGTTTCTTTTTTACACTTGAAAGAAGTAAATGCATATTACAGGTCATATTACAGCAAAAAGGTCACAAGAAAGAAACCGTATTAGCAAGGTTAACACTCTATGAGCAGTCATGGCTTAATCTTTCGACTGGACAAAAAAAGTTTCTTTTTTACAAGTAGTTAGGTTAGTAACTTTTTAGTGACTTTTTTTGTTAATAAAAAAAACGTAACTATGGTTGTCTTTATCAATGGATGTCTGCATAAAGTGAGTAGAATTTAGAGAAAAAGTAAAGATTTTCCTTAGGGTCTAGGGTCGGAACTTTCGTTTGACAAGGTGTTTGTGGCGTTTGTATAGCGGGTGTACGTAAAATAGGGTTTGAATAATTTAATAAATGATACTGTCCTTGGTGCAACACGATGCCTGGCTGGTGTTAGTTGCTTTCCAATAGAAAAATTGCAGAAATAAATCACGATTTTTTAAAAAAATTTATATGGACAAGGGATTAGGAGACTCTGTTTTAGAACATAATCAATGAAAATGCTGGATTTTATTTGTAGCATGCGGTTTTCGCTTCTCCAGAAGCTAAAAGGTCCTGATTGTTTACATGTAACAAACTAATAGACGTAGTTTTATTCCCCGGCTAATATTCTTGTTCTTGGGGAATCATGCAATTCAGGCCGACAAAAAGGAGGAAGATTACAAAACGTTTCCCGAATTTTTAGGAATTCCCAAGCAGAAAACTAATCATTTTAAGCTGAACTGATCATTGATTGGTGCTTTACGAATGTTTAGGTGTTTAGCTGGCATGGATGACCTTTAAATACCGCTAGCCTGTGTGACTGGAGACGCCATAAAAGGGGAAAGGAGCCAAAAAGGGAGAGTGGACTGGGGAGAGTAGGAAAGGACTCCCTCTCCATTTACTATTACGCGTATTGCTCCCCACCCCTCCCACCCCCGTCCACGCCCCTTTTTTGCGCTATCAAGTACTAGAGTTCGTATAAGACCTGTATGAAACCTGCAACTGAGACATATGTACTTCGATTTTTATTAGGTTTGCTGGATTTGACGCTGTTACCCTCGCTAACAATCATTTAAACGACTTTGGCGAAAAAGGGGCCAACTTTACAATTGAGGTTTTAAAGAAAACAGGCGTAAAATATTTTGGTGTCACTTATGGAAAGTATGACACATCCCAGGTCAGTATTACATGCAGTGACATTCAGCATTGAGATAAACCAAAGATGCTTCCAATCTCTGTAAAACTCCTTCGAAGACTTTATTTATACTTCGAAGAGATTTTCTGTTCTGTTTTCACTACTCTATGTGGTCTACTCGTCTCCCAAATTTTTGTTTGGGGGCTAAGGATCCGCTCACCCCGCGCGAAAAGGCGAACGCCGCCCCCTCCCCTTATCTCTGCTCCGCCGTCTTATTTTATTGGAAATTTGCCCTGAGAACCTGACTGCAAAAACAGCTCGGATTTTCACATTGGCTCAGAACGCGCGCTCGCATGCAAGCGGGCAAAGGAAAGGTTTGGACTGGGGGTAAAAACGGAGAATGAGTTTGATGAGAATGAGTTAGTCATTCGTGACATTCGACTTGGTGTACATCTTTTTTGCCTTTGGTTCTTCCTTAATACTATTCATGGTGTGGCTTTTCTTCTCGTTGTTCATAAGTCTTGCTAAGGTGCTTAACCTTCATTGTTACTTTCCAAGCATAGCTGGTAGTCTTAGCTCGTTTTCATCATTTAAATCTGTGGTATACTGATTATTTTTTTTCCTGATTTTCTTGTCTTCGTGCCGGCGCACTGACAGCTCGTTTTCTTGGATCGTTGGTGATCTCTAGCTATTTTTAAATGATCGTCATTATTGTCTTTTCTTGCAGGAACCCCTAATCTTGGAGGTAAAAGGATTAAAGATTGGAGTCCTTGGTTATTGTGACAGTCCTTCGGCGAACGAACTAAACTGCACTGAACTAAGAAGGCAATATAATGTTGGTCCTGCAGTTTATAGCGATGCTATTGCAACTAAAGATGTCAGCAATTTGAAAAAGGTAGTCTCCTTACTTTGTTTATAACATTCTGTAAAATTATACTGTTTTGGAGTGTCATTTGGCAAAACAAAACCGCGATGAAGTTCAAGGCAGTACTGACTTACCAAGTTCAAAAGGATGCCCGTTATAAATTGTGAGAGTCGCGGCTAAGGAGTAAAGCTCTGGGTTCAGGCCCTCCCGGAATCATTGTGTTGTATTCTTAGGCAAGACACTGTTCTCTCTCGAGCAGTACTTCACTCCACCCAAGTGCATAATTAGATACCGGTGAATTTTTGGTTTAATCAAGCTTAGATCTGATAATGAGACACTTGGCTCGAATGACAAACCAGGGACAGCAGCAAATCTCTTTCTGTTGCGTGTTTGGGAATCCAATGTAAATTTGCTCATTCTTACTTACTTTTCAAATCCTTCATCACAATTGTCTTGTTTGAGATCTTATATTAGAAAACGGATTAAGTGTCTTCATCAAAACTCTTCTATATTATCGTAAAGAGTACTCGGGTTACCCTCTGTTCCGGGCGAAAAGGGGAATCTCCCGTCGTTTTCCCCCTCGTTTTCCCCGTGTACACGTTTTCACCCGCTCCCCACTATCCGACCTCCGCGCTCCACAGTAACTGAACGCCTAAGACAGGCTATATCTTCGTACGCCCAGCTCTTTTCTTGGTGTTTGATAAACCATAGAACACTCTGCTATCTTTTGCCGTAAATTAATAAAATCACGGTAGGACTTTCGACACATTATGAATATCACAGAATTCTCACGAACGTAACCTAATTAACTCTAACCTTTGCTTCCCTTATTGAACGCTAAAATGTAGCTACTGTTTATTGTTAAGGCCAAAGTGGACATCATTGTAGTTCTCATGCACTTCGGAGAAGAACTTTTTTCAAAAGCTCTCCCTTATCAGCTTCATATAACAAAGCATCTCATGTCCCTTGGCGTGCAAGTCATCATTGGAGCACATCCGCACGTGCTTCAGCAACATTGTGTCCATGACAACAAGCTGGTGGCCTACAGTTTGGGGAATTTCTTGTTCCATCCGAGAAGACCAATGAGCGGAGTCAACCCGGTAATACATGACACTAAGGCCAGATAAATGATCACAAAAACTGATCAAGGTCGTCATCTATCTGGCCTTGTCTACTACATCATAAACCTCCCATGTTATGTTAACAGTGACAATATTATCAAACGCAAACACCGGGATCACACGGATCCAAAACAATCTCTATGTGTAACCGATTGTTTATATTTTATAGTAAATGTACTGGATTTACCGTTTGCTTCACCTACAGCGATATATATAAATCACTGTTTTCCGCAGGCTAATTTTTTCCTGGTAATGAAGAGGACAGCAGGTATATTTTAGGTCGTGTGATACGTTTTAAAGGACCTTCCTCTTAATTATGCCAAAGAGGTAAATTAATTCATTTCTGTGATACTGTGACAATTAGCAAATGGAATAAGCTGACATGGAATTAGAGACACATGAAGCGTTTTCCTTATGAGCTAACGATTACCTTTATCCTTTGCATTTATTTATTTATTTACAGGGTGTGTATGGACGATTTGGCAAAAAACCTAATGAAAAATTAATAGATGCTTACGAGCAATTTGTTCTTGGAAACTGTAACAACTTGAAGATGAGTCGAATTCTTAAAGTTACCTTGTCAAGGTAGGAGGAAGAACTGAAATCTGTAATGTACGATAGTTTTTAAACCAGCTCTTTAGAAATGCTATTTTGGCCATGGATAATCCATTATTTTTGTTACCTTAGTTTTATTTACACGATATACATACGCCTAGGTGATGACGAACAATCACGTGTTTATAGGCCGGTTGAAGCTCCCAATCACGTGATATGCTCGATGCGCTTAAATTTTGGGCTACAACATAAGCAATTCCAGAGATGAACAAAACATGAGGAAATTAGCCAGAAATCCTATTTTGAGGCGAATGACACAAAAAGTAACATTTTATGAGACAGTCTGCAACAAAATGCTGGGGGTTTGTACGCCAAATTGGTGGACCGCGCCTTATTTTTCTGAGTTTACTAGATTTCAGCTGACATTTGAGTTGTTTTGTTTCTTTCAGAAATGGTGTTTTAGGGGCTTCTTATCTACCTGCAAAAATCGTATTTGATCCTAAAGTTAAACGAATTCACCCAGAGCCAATAAAGGAAGCCAAATGGATTACAGTTTGTGGAAAGGAGGATAAGCAATGTGTAGACAATTGCGATGATCCCCCACCAAGAAAAAACCAAACTTAATCTGGCTAACCTTAATTTCCAATTTGCTGTTAATACAGTCGACTCCCGATAACTCGAACCTTCGCTAACTCGAACCTCGCGCTAACTCGAACCAAAATCGATTTCCCCTGGATTTAAGTCATACATTCACTGTAATTTTACCCTCGGTAACTCGAACCCTCGAAAACTCGAACTCCCGCTATCTCGAACCAATTTTCGTTTCCCCTCAGGTCATTTTCTATATAATTTTACCCTCGATAGCTCGAACCATGTTTTGAGCCCTTAAAAAGTCGGGAAAAAAGCCGTCTACTGGCGTCCGAAACATTGAATTTTAGATTTCCTGTTGACGTGTTGTAGGAGTATAGTTTTTAGTGGAGGCTGATGTTGATTGTCACAGGCTAACGTGAAGCAGCTGTTCTTCTCAAAACAGTAAAACGCATGCTCTTTGTAGGCTATGTTTTGCTACGTTACGTTCTGATTTATAATCTAAAAGTATCTTTTAATTTTCACTTGACATTTCTACAATTAAATGTGATTAAAATGTTCACTGTGCAGTAAAAACTGTTTTTTTCCTTACTCTCGGCTATTTTCTTCGAACTCTCGATAACTCGAACTCCCGATAACTCGAATCGTTTTTCGATTTCCTTTGAAGTTTCGAGTTATCGGGAGTCGCCTGTAGAACAAACATTTCGTATTTGGCTCTGATGTTGTTCTTTGTGTTCATATCTATTTTTTCTTTATGTGATGAAAATCCGTCAGAAAATATTGTTTCCAGTTTTGAATTGCTCACATAGAATTGGTAAAACTTTGAAAATACTCCTTTGCCTAAACTGTGTATACCATACTGAACGGAGAAGGACACGAAAATGTGAAAGCAGCATAGTTTTAACGAGCATCGAACAAGCAATTGTATCACCCTACTTAGTGTGTAAATTTCTCTGCCTTAATTAAATGCGCAACTACGACATGAAATTTCTTTCTCTGATTTCGCGTTCTATGTGAGGGGGTGAATACAAGAAGACGTTTAATATTATCATTTTTGTGGCGGGTCTGCATAATTATTGCATAAATTATGCGATAATTATGCATACCCGCGGTTAGCGGGTCAAGGCATTATAAGTACTTTGTATTTTGTGAATAACAGGTCCTGAAAAATTCAATTCCAAGAAAGAAAATAAGGTTCAACGGACACCAGTAAGCTGCTTGGGTAGAGAGCTAGATGTTTTGCGCATTATGAGATATTTTTCTCTTACCGAGACAGTTTTGCTCTCAATGTTGTTTTCTTTGAGGGAAGGAGGTGGGTTGTTTATTTTATTTTATTTTATTTTGCCTTTCGGCCTTATGTCAACTTTTGGAAACGAAAAAAAATATATAAATAAAAGATCCGATAGTCAGTTGCTTGTTGAAGCATTTAACAAGAAAAAACTGAACTTAAAAACGTTACTCGACGTTTCGATGTATGTTTTGATTCGCGCTAAGCTTTTCTATTAATAAATCTATATAACAATAAAGTATGCACGAATACAATCTAATTTATTAAAACCTCAGCTCTTTAAACAACTCTGAAACTTAACATTTCTCACTCTTGATAATGATGCGATGATACATCGAAACGTCGAACGTATTCCGAATTCGGAACTTTGTCATTTGCGCGCATGTTTTTCACAAACGTTGCTTTGTCTGAAATGGGTTCAAATAATTAGCTGGGTAACAAAACTTCGTTTGTAGTGGTCGCTTACTCCCGGCCTCAGTGCTCTCTCCTCTGGCAGAGACCTTTTTGCGTTGTAAGAAAACTGGCGAGAAGGGTAAGAAAGCGCGCAGGGCACGATGGGAAGGGGTAGAGAGGAAGCGAGATAAGGCTCCCGCCTTTTTTCTCTTCCCATCCACACCTGCGCGCTAACTATGCTATTTTTATTGGGATGCCCAGCGGGAGCCTCGGGAGCCTCAGTTCCGGCCAGAAACCAGTCCAACCGTTGAAGTCTTCTCCGGGTGGTTGTTGTTGTTGGTGGTGGTGTTTTGCGGTCTCAAATGAGTCTTTATCTTAACTGAAGCTTGAAAAAAGTGGAGTGTTTTCACATGACGTCACGGCGGCCCTGCAGTGGTGTTGATCATGAACTTTTTTCTTATGTGCACGCTTTTTTTTGCTCCAATTAATTTGTGTAGATGCTGGCCAATTGATTGCAAACGCTCTACTGAAATACATGTAGTTGTTTTGAAGTTGAAGCGACGTTTTCGAGCGGATTAAGCGCCTAAGTATTCGATCTTTGACACTGTGGGTCCTCGTCACTACAAACTTCAATCCAGAGTAAATCATTTTCGGGTTTAATGTACACTTGTTTCTTTGCTGAGTCAAACGCAAGCTTTACTGGCAAATAATCGGCAAATTCCACGCCTTTTCTGTAAGAGATAGTCGATAGATTAATATAAAATCAGACCAGTCAGGCCAAAGCAAGTGAAACATTATTTTTTATTGCCATGGTGGCATCGAAAACACACTCAACACCTTCAGGGATTCGTCCATTTTAGTTAGGTTTTGACTGTCATTAGTCAGCAAACACATTATCGTGAATCCAGGCCCAGAATATGTAACTAAATAATGGATAATACGTTTTGAGTCTAGTTTTGGGAAAAATTCACGAACAGGAAAGGACATCTTTTTGTGTTATGAAGGAGGTTTAGATACCGAACTCTAATTACCGAAACAGTGAGTAAGCTTAAACTCAGTTTTGAATTACTTTGAAGTTGGTTCAAAGACTCTTCGCTTAAGTAGGGACGGTTATCTTCTAGATAATTTTGCCTATACTTGGATGTATTAACTATTGCAGCCTTTATACGCAAGCTTACCTTGAAACTTTCACCCGAAAGAGCTGACTTGTTTTGAAAAATTCACCGTCTCCTAGAGCAAGTTTTTCGTAAATGGCGATTAGATCTTCGTCTGGTTTTAATCCTAATCTACCGTAGATCCTCTGGAAAAGAGACAATCAATCATGATCAGGAAATGATCGCATTCCTTCCCCGCTTATTCCTATAGTTTTCCCAAATTTTCTGCGCAACTATTTTTTGTTATAAGGCGTCCTTTCCTTAGCCTAACTTCAGTTTAATCCATTTCATTTACTCTCAAGATAGCGTTGTCATTTAGATGACGTCACAACATAATTTTTTACACCACATCAGGTTATCTAGTTAAAAAGAATCTATAATAATCTAAAACTACACAAATTAATACTTAAATCTTTAATTGAGAAGTACACCCAGCAAAAAGAGCGAAGTTCAACTATTACGTTTACGCGCGACATTTCATACATTGTCTCTATTTTATCAAATACACGCGTAAAATTGTGCGATAGTAGAAATTCACTTTTAGAGAACTCTTAAAATAAAAGGATACATTACCGGATCATTACCACCAGGAACACGAGCAGGAGGAAAGAAAAAGTTGCCCAAACCGAACTTTACCAGCCTGTTGCCATGGATACTATGTGGCTGAATCACGTGGGAGTGTGAGCCAATGATTAAGTGTACTCCCAGGGACAGCAGATGATCAGTCACTTGAAGCTGGTATGGAACTGGTTTCAAGAATAGTTCTCTACCCCAGTGAATATAGACAACCACGATGTCAACCTTGCTCTGCAAATGTTTTAAAGGTAAAAAGGTAAAGCCCCCATCCAGTTTTTGATGCATATGTGCCGGAGGTTTAAAATCATTTGTGAGATCTTTAAGGTACCTTTAATCTGTTTACATCTCTTTCCGCAATATCCTTGCTGTAAATAGCAGGACCCGCCTTAAACTTCATCCGCATCTCAGAACAGTTCTGTATCCTTTTTGGCGCCATGTGGTGACAATAACCCAGAAATCCAATCTTCAGTGCTTTCTTCTCTATAATAAGAGGAACCTAAAAAAGAAATCAGAATGATTATTACCAATGCGACAAGACCAAGCAGAAGAAAAGTCTACTTTCTATCCCATTATATCACTTCGTCTTCAAGAGCAAAACTTGCATTCACACTACCCTCAGTAAAAGAAAAGAGTGGGCCATTTCTAAATTGGGAGCAGCTTCTTATCTTTGTTAATGCGAGTCCTGTTGCTTTTTCCTGAGCCTCTCTATGGGTATCTGCGGACGTAGTTTTCTAGCGCGTTTCACACTAAATCGTCGGTTTTCAACAAAAACGCGTATGAAGAATTGTTTTGCGAGGTAACACTGCTACTTTGACGACGGGAAAAGAAACCAACAGCTTTCATAAGGAAAACACAAACTCAGATCCTGCAGCACTTTTTTTGGTAGATTTCTTTGCCTTCATCGCATAACTTGCCTCGTAAAACTTGATCACCGCCGGAATGGCAGCGCGATAAGACAACGGTCAGTTTTTTCGGCGGTCGTCGCGACTTCGATCAGTCTTCGGAAATACCCATAGAGTCTCATTCCTTCATAATGAAACTACATTCTTTTTTACACGCATATTTTCTTAAGGGAAAGCTTTCATATTCCACACACTATACAGACTATTTGCTTACTAGCAAGATACCAATCTCTACCCAGATCTTCCAAGGCAACGCGAAAGGGAGATTTCAGTTTTCAGCGTAAGACAGAGTGATATCTGGGGACGAGATCAGGAAGATACCTGTGAAGAGTTGAAAGGTCCATAGGTCGCTCCAAAATAATCTATTCCCGCGCTTTTAAGAACATTAACAGTAAAGTTGGCTCCTACGTCTCCAAAATCGTTAAAATGGTTATTTGCCACACTGACAGCATTGAATCCTGCAAATCTACTCAAAAAGAATACAAGTAAACAAAACGGCCATACGTTTGGTTCACAAACAGGCAACCAGCCCTATCTAGCTGCCAGTAATGAGAGTCACGGTTAGCCTACGTAGCAGGCGCATTTATATGGAAGTACTGCAATACGGGCGCACTAGAAAGAACTGAGCATGCGGACACCCCTCCCGTGTCTCCATCGCGCACCTCGTTCGCTCTCGATGCAATAAGTTCCTAGTGCACTCTACTTTTCTTGTTAAACCACTGTAAACACTGAAAGGCCATCCTTAAACCGGACGCTTTTTTCTTCGCTCTTCGAGAGTGCCCATTTTAAAGAGTTTCTACCTTACTTCTTTTACGCCTTTTTTCGCAGTTTGATTTTATTGCACGAGAGGACGATTCAGAATGTTTTTTAAAAACATGACAAGGAAGAACCAGTGTAATTGCTTTTCAGTGAAACGCTCTAGAAGATTTTAAGGGGTGCACATCCCAGAGAGCCAAAATATAAAGCTCTTATTTATCACGTCCTAACAGATACAACGGAAACCACGTCTCAATCTGATCTGGCCGGTAGACCCCCCCCCACACACACACACACACACACACACACCCCTCCAAAAAAAAAATGTGACTTAGTTGGGCGGGCACCAGTTGAGCAGTGATAACTGGGTAAGATCTCTCCCTTTTGTCCCCAGCGGTACCTTTTTATTTTTCATTGCATTCAGTCAGTTTTAATTCTATTGGGTACCTTTACTGAAAAAGAGCATCTACAAAGGGTACTGGACCAAGCAAGTATTTACCTTAAGGACGAAGCGCTTTGTGGACTGGAATCCAGTACCACTTGTTTTTGGCATTTATGAGAAAACACCGTTGCATTTACTAAAGGAGTCTCCAGATTCGCCACTGAAATGTCTGCGCCTCGAATAAAGGAGGCTACTTCCACGAAACATGTGTTATAAGATTGATGGTTGTGTTCCACATAATACCGCACAGGACCAGAAAACGTAATATCACCGACAAACAATAGAGTGACTTGATCTGTAAAGAGAAAGAACGAAATATGGTACTGATAATGATGATTTCTTGCGCACTGAATGCCGGTCGAGAGCTATGGTCGGTAAGACAACAGACAATCAGTAGAAGTGACCCGATGGGGCGCAATTTGTTTTTCTCTTTCTTGCGCGGGCGATTTTCAGAGTAATTTCAACGTGAATGCACAAAAAAACTGTCAATGTTAATGCAAAAGACAAATCGACAAAAATTTGCCACGGTTTATACGCTTATCAATTGGCGTCAAAATGTTCAAAACTTTGCAATGAAACCACTCGCCTGTGGTTCGTGGTTCCACTTGAGTTTTGAACATTTTGACATCATTTCTATGGTCGATAAGAGTGCAGATAATGAAAAATTGTAGTTTTTTCGAGATGATGATGATGATGAAGATAGCCAATGGTAATGATTATTCTCTTTTGTAATGATAATGATAGCGGTGGTGATGTAAATGGCAGTAATGGTGGTTATGGCAATGATAATGATGATGATGATGATGATGATGATGATGATGATAACAACTGCGATACATTCAGTTCTCTTGAAGGAAGATGCATCACTTTCGAATCATTTTCCCGGGACACAATTCTTTATACTTAGACACTTTGTACGTGGTGTAAACATTTCCGACTTCAGCACTGAAGTACACACCACCAACTCCGCGTTTTGGCCAGTACCTTTCACATGCGCACAGCCATTTCACGTGGGCAATGGCAGCCAAGGACAGCTGTTTCGTCCTCGTTAGGACTCGCGAGCATGGCATAGCTCCAGGCGACTGACATGTCTCACTTGCGATCATCGACCCGGTCGTTTTTTCCTGTATATTTCATAGCCAAAGCTTTAGACAAAATTCACCACCAACTGCCCGCTACTTGTTCCAGCAGATGATCATCAAAGCTCGGTAGAGTGGAGAGGGCCAGTTATGAGTGCGACTTAATGCCCACCCATTTCCTGACCCCAGAGTTTTAAAAGAATGAATTTTTACCTTCTTTCTGGGTAGCAAACGTAAAAAAATTAAACATTAATGACAAAAGATAAAAGCTTTGACTTTACTGTTTTGTTATTAATTAATGTTGAAATTTTTGTGTTGGATAAAACAGACACTCAAAACAGAAGCATTTGGATTTCTTCCTGTTAGATAAAAAGTTTGAACAAAGGTAATATTGTTTAGAGGGGAAGGAAGGGTAGTATTGCAGCCCTTCCACCCTCCCCCGTAACTTTTCCCTAGTCTGTTGAACCTTGAAGCGTTTCATGCAATCATTATGTATAATCTCCAAACCAGTTTTTGTGGCACTCTCCAACAGCGGCCTAATACTAGTTCTCTGCCAGCGGATAATATACCAAATAATGCCATAAAAGAGAGATTTTAAGTCGACCAAGTTTTCCCTTTAAGTCTACACATGAATAAATAGATTTATGCAGGGGCACCCAACGAGAATATAGTTCAAAACCACTTAAGCATAGCATTGTTAAACTATTTTAGTATTTAAACGGTAGATATAGACATATTTTTATCCCCTAAAAATTGTTCATCTGTTCGGATTTCCTAGCTGAAAGTCTAGTGATCCGAAAATTATAGGGATCAAAACTTTTTTTTTTCTTTTTACCTTTTCGAAAATTTCAGCCAGGTTCCCTAGAATTCTAGGTGACCTTTTTAAGGCAAAAGTCGTTAAAGATGGGCTATTATACCATTTTTCAGATGTTCGAAAATCCTAGGAGAGGCACGCAAGCAAGAAATTTTACAACAAATGTTCCGAAAATTCTAGATATCAAATCGTCTTCCGAACAGATATTTTCGGAAAATTGACGTTGGGTGCCCCCTGATTTATGCCAGTCTCAGGCATAAGAATTTTTTTGGACAGTTTTTATCAGTTCATTTTAAAATTTGAAACATTGTTTACCTGAATCACTCTGTTAAATAAACAAAATCAGTTTGTTAAAAAATAGGAACTCACCTGCCAGACCTGTTAACCTTCCATAAACAAGACAAATTAAGAAGACTGAATAGAAAAGTAAGAAACGCGCTGAATTAAAGATCTCCATTTTGAGTTTACAATGAATCGTGAGCTGGGGAATATATGTATCCGGACATGGGCTGATCCGCCGGATCAGAGCAAGCTGACTGAAAAGTGATTAGCAATTAATACTTCGCAAATTATTGAGATGTCGTTATAAATATACCAGTTCTGACACTCCTTTCAGGTAGGGTTTGGCGCAATCCACCTGAGAACACCTGATGCTTCTCTACCTAACGTGTCAGAAAGGTGGAAAGAGTCAAATCTTGAACTTAAAACAGTAAACTGATCCTTACAGCGAGAAGAGTAATAGAGAAAATAAAGAAAGAGAACAAAAATAAAGTGGTGAATTATATTTGCCTGATATTTCGGTTTGCAACACAAACCTTCAAAGGGGGCTATAAAAGAAAAATGAGTTCAGATAAAAGATGAACGTTACATATGCGAGATTTGAATACATAGCAAACAGAAAATGATATGCTACTAAAAAGATAAATGTCACTAACGGTCACTGGGTGCTATCCATTCAACCAAAATTTCCGGAAATTTCGGTCCAAAACTCAATGGATCGGTTCGGTCCAACCGGAAAAGTTTCGAAACAACGGGTCCACCTTTTGAGGTGGACCACTTTTCCCGGTTGGACCGGTTGGAATTTTGGTTGAATGGGTCTCGCCCACTAACTGAGTTCATCACAGTAAGTGTTAGTTTAGGTAATAGCATGATTTGTAGTGATATTTGGCATAAATACCACGATTGTTACACATAATTTCACGAGTCGTTACGTTAGGCGAGTGAAATTTGAGACAATTATGAAATATCACCAGTGGTATCTATGCCAAATATCACTACAAATCATGCTATTATTTGTTTATACTACTACACACACAAGGTTTGTAATTTTCACATGTAGGTATTTCAAATTAAACAGAGATACCACTGCTCTAAGCCAACCAAATACCAAAAATTTCTGATGGAGTAGTATAAACACAGGAATACCAACAGTTACCAACAGCACAGTATCTCGCCCCAGTCTCCTTTTGTTGACCTCATGTTGCCTTAGCGACAAAAGCAAACTGCACTCCAGAGCAAGCAAGGTACAACCATGATGGCGTCGCGAATCATGCATGGTCGAAGAGAAGGACAAACGAGGGGTAATTTCTTGACGTAAATACCTATTCTTGCGAAGATTTCTAGAGTTTAACCATTTTTCTTCCTTTCTGGTTTTGTAGATTTCGCTGGAAATACTCTTAGTGTCATTCCCGCTGGAGTTAATCCGCGAGAGGTGAGCTTGGCCATGCAAACAAGCTAAAATTTATTCGCACATACTCTGTATCAATCATAAAGTTTTTTTCCTGCTCGCTCTGGGAAAAGTGTTTCATTCATTTATTAAATAGTCACGGAGCACCGTACTACCTTTACAGGTAACTGTTCTTCAGCCTGAAACATGGAGACGAATACAAAATAGCCTGTCGGGTTATAACGAGGAAAAAGAGCGATTGCAAGCGAAGATGAAAGAACGAGAAGAACTCCATACTTTTTCTAAGGATTCTGTTAAACACTGGGAAAACACGATAGAGGTTTGTTGTTTTAATTTTTATTTTCCTACAAGTGCTGCAGATCAAACAATTAAACCTATTAGTTTTCAAGCGAAAAAACTGCATTCGGTTACCCTCATACGTGTATTTGGCGGCAGCTACCAATAGACTCCCGATAACTCGAACCTTTAAGGGAAATAGAAAAAAGTTCGAGTTATCGGGAGTTCCAGTTATCGGGAGCTCGAAGAAAATAGCCGAGAGTATGGAAAAAAACAGTTTTTACTGCACAGTGAACATTTTAATCACATTTAATCGTAGAAATGTCAAGTGAAAATTAAAAGATACTTCTAGATTATAAATCAGAACCTAACGTAACAAAACATAGCCTAAATAGAGCATGCGTTTTACTGTTTTTGAGAAGTAAAGCTGCTTCATGTTAGCCTGTTACAATCAACATCAGCCTCCACTAATAAACTACCCAAGCTACCCTGGGTGGGCCAAGTCTTCCTACGTTTCTTTTAAAACTAGGCAAACCATTTACATGAAGAACAAAAAGTTGGCTCTGCCAGAAGTGTGACTTGCCTTCATGTAGCAGGGTCACTCTTGACGGTGTAGGGTCAACCTCCCAGCTGGGCCAACTTTTCTCCACACAAAGTCTTTGGCTTGCACAGCCAGGTCAACTCAGTCAAGGCAAGACAATCAGAGCATTGGCGTGGGCTGTTGGCTCGGGCAAAGGGGGTTCTTTTTTTTCTTACGTAAGAGCTCACTAAAGGTGACTGAGCTGGGAGGGAGACCCCCTTTCCTGTGACAACTTTTCCCAACATAAAAGGGGCCTAAGATTTATCCTAATTTAGACCATCAGATTGTTGTTATATACAGGACACTTTATAACATATTAGTAGTTGTTCTCAAGTGTTCAATATTTAACTGGTGAGTTTTCCGTGAAACAATTCCCTTATGTTTTTTTCTGTACATGTAGGGTCAACGGCTCAAGAAATTGCAAGCTCGACAAATAAGAGAAGAAAAGGAAGAGGTGAGAAGATTTTAAAAAATGATTACTTTTAACCTTTTGAAAAGAAGGTAAAGATAATTTACAAGACAGGGCCAGGTTGTTCAAAGCAGGGTTAAGATAACCCAGGGTTAGTGCGAAATTTCAATTCAGATATGAAAGCTTAAAAAGAAATTTCAGTTTTCTTTTGGGCTACAATTTGATGATTGGATGCTAAACAAAGAATCGAGAAAATTATCTGGGAAAATGCTTTTGAACAAAAGACGAAGAATTCTAGGTTAAAATTTAACCCCAGGTTAGCGCTAATCGGCCTTCGAGCAACTGGGCCCAGGGCTATAGCTTGCTGGAGATGCCGTACATCTGTAATGGTCCTCTATGCAGAGGTAAGGACTTAAGTAAATGTTTAACATCATTAATAAAACCATCTTTTTTTATCAACAGGAAGAAAGAGTAAAGATTGACATTGAGGAAGCTAAGCACCAAGCACAGAAAAGAAAAGAAGCCATTGAACGAGCCAAGACCCTTCAGTACTACCAAACAGATAGAGTCAAGACGTTTCATGTAAGAGATTAAAACCTACAAAAATGCTGTGACTATACAAATAGAACTCATCCGTATCACATACATGTACTGCATTATCAGTGATGGACCCAGACCTTCAGAATTGTTGGGGGGGGGGGGGGGGGAGTCATCCAGACCCTGAGATAAGAGGGGCCCGGTCTTCAACAAACATTTTTTCGGCCCTTCAGGCCTCAGTTTGGTCCGAAAAGCAGGGGGGGCCCTCCCCTGGATCCACCACTTATTGTATCACAGAATTTTCTTACCACTGGTCATTTGTACTTTCCAGGGTGCCCTGCTTCTAACAGAGGTTCTAAAGGAGAGAGATGCCCAGATAGAAATGAAGAATGGAAAACTTGATGCAGAAAAGATTAGAGAAGAGCACCTCTTGAGACTGCAGCAGAGGGTAAGGTTTCCCATCAGTCAACATAATAGTGAATAATACATTGAACTAAAATAATTTTGACATTTTTAAAAATTCTGCAAATTGTTTCTTTGTCATGAATTGAGGGGTGAAAGTCTCCGAGATACAATTACCTCTGTACCTAAATTCCTATATGTAGAAAATGTTCACGTCAGAAGCATTTTTTTAAGTTAAACCATGCTCAAACCCCTCAGTACATTAATGCACATGTAGTAATTGAAGTACTTAAAAGCAAGTTATGGGTCTCAGAATAATTGTTTCAACTGAATTCACCAAGGCTAGCTTTGTAATTGGATTGTTTTCAAGTGCTTACTCCCCATATAGTCATGAAAATTTAATATTTGTATCTTCAGCAACGTGAGGAGGGAATTATGGAAGATCAGAGAAGAGCTCTGAGGAGGTATAATGAAAGGAAAGCAGTGTCAGATTTCCAAAAACTCCAGTAAGTACTAAACCTTTTAGTAATTTATGAATACTGACTTAAGTGAGAAATTCTGCAATACCTTCTGAGCTGCCAAAGGTAGTGAAATAGTGGCATACAGTATACTAGGAACACTGCAGTATTAGGTTTGAACTTGAGGTTAGAAGATCTAGTGTAATATAATGCTGCATGGTGGTTTTAAACCAATGCCACAATCATAATATTTAAAGGGGTCTCAGTGGAAAAGGGGTGCATCTAAAAATAGAGGGTTATTCACTTTCACTTCTCAGAATCCTTGATCATATTGAAGAATCAAAAAAAGGAAAGGAAGCTGACGTGGAAGAAGGCAGAAATATTAAGCAGCAAGTTGACATGTATGAGGCTGCAAAGCAAGCTATTGAAGAACAAAGGAGAAAAGTAAGTTAAGGTTTTCTTAGTGATAACTGGTTTGAGAAAGGGCAGTTTTGGAAATTCTTTGGTAATCAAAGGACAAAATTATCACAGTAATGTACACACATTTTTGTACTTCCTTACATTTGTGATACCGGTACTCATAAAGTGAAAAATTATAATTATAGAAGGTTAGTTAAGTTATTAAAAGAAAGATTTTGAAGTGAAACTTTGGAATCCACGGAGATTACACATAAAAATTATAACAAATTTGCAACTCATGCTGTATGAAAAAGGCTGGAACTTCAACCAAAATGGCAACTAGTGATGTTGATTTATTATAACTAACTGTTTTTAAAGCCCATTTTGATAAATTTTCATTAATTATTTTAAAGGAAAAGAAAGAGATTATGGAGGAACATCAGGCACAGCTTGCCGATAGAGAAGTATGTTTGTCACTAACTTTTCCTGAAATAATAGCTATCCCGCTGTAGATTTTCCACATAATTGTTGGAAATGCTTGTATGGTTTATTCAGGTTTGTTCCCCTCTTGAAATGATCATCCCACTCCCATCCTACGTCCTCTTTCAGTTCTTAGCCAGCCTGCCTGCAGCCATGTGCTGTATCTAATAATCTTATTTGTTTCTTGGGGAAGAGTCCCTTGGAGCATTTCACCTTTTTGAACTGATACAGGTTCACGTGTATTCACTCCTGAAACTGAAAAGACACTATTTCGTGCTGACTTAATGTTTTTTCATTTTAATTTTCAGAGAAGACGACAAATTGAACAGAAGAAAATTGAAGAGGAAGAGGAGGAAATCAGACAGTTCGGTCAAGCTAAAAAGGTAATAGTCGTAAATTTAATTTTATACACTGTAGATATCACCAGAAAGATAAGGTCCATTTTAAATGACCGTGAATGGCAAGTAAACCCAACTATAAACTTGTTCACATACTGTACAATCCGCATCACTCACACATGTCTATTGGGGTTCAGTTTTATCTGTGGTTTAAATAAAGCTGATTAACTCTAAAAAGTGTCAAGTAAACAGCTAAATGAACATCGTGGAACTTTTTCTTTGTTATACAGAAAATGGCAAAGATGCGTAAAGCGAAGGAAACAGAATTATTCAAGTAAGTACTAACAAGAAGCGTACAAAATACTTAATGAAAAACCGAAGTGAAAGTGTCGTTTTTAACATTTTTGGAAACGATCTAAAACTTGTGTAGTTCTTCTTGCAACCACATTTATATAGCTGCAGATCGGTCATCTCGGTTCTTAAACATTCTTTAAAGAAGATTCGCTTTGATTTCTATTAAGAGTTTTATTCAGGTACTCCGCCCGATAAATGTTGTCGCATCTCCTACACTGTTCTCAAAATACTGTCTCTCTTTTTTTCAGTGCCTTCCAAGAACACACACAGCGGATGAGAAAGAAGCTAGCTAACCAAAGACAACAAGAAGTTGATGATGAAGATGACCGGATAGCAAAGGCTGTGGCGGATAGGGAGAGGAAGCGTGATGTATGTGCCTGTTTTCTTATATACGTTGTAGAAAGTACGTTTTTAAGTGTCAATGTAATTAGCACGAAACTACTAATTGAGGACACCGTTTGTCTCCTATTGGAGACGGGACCGCCATTTTTCGCGGTCATCCGAGCTACGCGAATATCCAGCCGTTTGCAGGGCAAATGAAATACCTTCATTTCTCAGTTATTTTTAGATCTGAGTGTACAGTGCAGCTGACAGTGTAGGTCAGGCGCTCTACCGACTGAGCTGTTATCAAGTAAAGAAACTTGCCGGTTGTTGAAAAAAAGCTCACCTGACAACGGACCCATCGATATGTCTGTGAGGGTATTGGATTTTTAAAATTCAATCCATGAAGTTATCTTTCATAGGAAATCTAAAAGTAAAGTGTTTAATCTTTCTTATGATATGAAAATTTTCCTGAATGTTTTTAGGCCGAAGAAAGAGAAAAATACGAGGCAGACATGAAGGAGAAGAGGGAAATTCACGATCACAGAATTCACATGGTAATAACTGTAGTTATTATTACGTACTACCTAAAGTAACCAAGACTAAAGCAAGAAAAATATGTACGACTCTTCATCTTTGAACATCTTCATTTTTTATCCTTTTCTTTTTTTTCTTTTTTAGATGAAAGAGAATGAACGCCGAACAAGAGAAGAAGCAAACAAAGACCGTGAAATACTTCGCAAGAGAGTCGAATCTGATAAACTGGTACGTGAACAGTCAGGTTCCTTCGGCTTGAGAATAACACGCAGAGGCTAGAAAAGTGTAACCTGCGTAGCAAGCTCTCCAGTTGGGGGATATCGTGAAAAGTAGATGCGCTAGAGGCACGCGAGAGGAGTCCCGAAAGGGGGAGCGGTCCCTCGCGGCCTCGCCGCTGGCTCACGCTTTCTTGCGCGGCTCGCTTCTCTCGTCCAAATATGAGAGCTTGCTCCAAGGCTAACGTAGCTGCGAAAATGCGCTTCTTTGTCCTCGCGGCTTCACCGCTCATATGCGCGCTAGAAATACCGCCAGATACGGAGGTTAAAAAAGTGCAATTTTTTTCAAGGCTTCCTCTTTAAAATGAGATTTAAGATGCTAACACTTTTTGCCGTCGTTTGCTTTATTAGTACCACATTAAACAGGAGGAAAAGAGATCAGAGCAACTAGGGGAAAACAAGAAATTGAAAGAGTTCCAAACACAGCAAATCGTAAGTAGAGTTGGCGCGCAGTTATGACCTTGCAGAAATTTTGCAAACACCTTGCACCCAGGGAAGGGTTGCTTACAACGTCACCATTCATTAATCGATGCCCTTAGTTATTATCCCAATGGCAGCCGTTGTTGAAAAGGACAATCTTCAACGCATTGTGCACGAGATAAGTAATCAAAAAGTGCGCCCACCGTGTCGAGTCAGCCCGGTAAAGCAGCAACCCGTTTAACCAGGCTGGCTTTCCTTTAGCTAGTATCAGGCGTTTTCGCGCTCCAAATAAACAAGCCGTAATTGGGAAGGTCTTTGTTGGCAGTCCATGGGTTTACACATCTTAATACATATATTTCGACAGGCTGAATTAAAAGACCGTAAACATCAACTTAGAGCAGCGGAATTAGACCTGGATAAACGCAACGAAGCCCTACTCAGGTCCGAAGAGGTTCAGTTCCAGGAGTACGCAAACAAGGTCATTTCAGAGGCCAAGGAGAACGGCCGTAATCCGTACCCACTCATCAAGGCCTCTCAGGAGGGCCCCGGAGGTGGAAGAGGCCCCAAATATGAAGGCAAACAAGGTCTTAGACCCAGCTATCTTGTGTGTGATGGGACAGGGGTACAGTTGCCTAATTACCACAGTGGTACCGTACAAGGCTCCCATACCAAGATTTACGGCCGTCCAGCTGAAAGTATGAAGAGACTAGGCTTTACTTGGTGAAATTTTTGCCAACTTCTACGACGAATTTTGACCTGTAAATAGTCCTTCTTATTCACTTAAGTAATTTTCTCGCACGTATTTTTAACGAGATAACTAATTCAGCCTCGAGAAATATTCCTGCGTACGCTGGACTTTAACATCGTTTACACTACATTCATCAGCGATTGTTTCATGTATATTACAGGGAGTAGAAGTTTGCTGACGTATATTGTTTGTAAATAAAGTGAGGGTTAAAACACTTGTTCCCGATTGTCTTAATTTTAATCGTGTTGTCGTCCGACGTTATCCGTCATAGTTGGAAATAAACCTAAATCAACCCCACTGGAAAAGTCAAGTGTTTACAATAAAGACTCCACTATAACCAGCACGCCACCTTTTGCACTCAAAGCGCCACCGGCATGTAACATCAGAGGAACTTGTGTCTTGGCTGACCGCACGAACTTGTACTTCGACAAGATTTTGACGAGAGCGATCTTGATCTCCAGCAGGGCAAACCTCATACCGATACAATTTCGCGGCCCACCCCCAAAGGGTAGGAACTGAAAGGGATGGTAGGTGTCTTTCCTTGCACCTCGGAATCTCTCGGGGTCAAACTTCTCCGGGTCCTCCCAGGCATCGGGATCATGATGCAAGGCATAGACTGGAATTACAACCTCGGTTCCAGCAGGAATATGGATTCCGCTAAGGTCAAAATCTTCATGGCATTCACGGTTGACATGGACCGCGGGAGGACACAAACGCTGGGACTCCTTTAGAACACAGTCGAGGTAATCAATATTCTTGACAATATCGTAAAGACATCCCTTCTTTGCGTTGGTCTCCAAGGCCTCTCTGATCTGTGTTCTCAGTTTCTCTTGCATTTCTGGGTTCACAACCAAGTAGTACAGAGTGAAAGCTAATGTGTTGCTTGAAGTTTCGTACCCCGCCAAAAGAAAGACAACAGACTGAGCTACTACCTCTTCATCTGATAGTCTGCTCACCCCTTCCGTCGTTGTTTCATCAGTAGCATGCATCATGAGATCTAACAAGTCTTTTCGTCCTGAAAATCCCTGTTGGCGACGTGCTTTTAAGATTTCTGTGGCGACTTCTTGAAAATACTCTGGTCTTTGTCGACGCAGCATTGCTAGAAACCGGAGCAAAGCCGGTCCAAATGGCAAACGGCTTATCTGCCGAATGATTTGTGGAGTTGAAAAAAATTTTTTCCCTTCTGTTAGCAGTTCATTGTCCTTACCGTTTTGGACCTCCGCCTCCAAGCCAAAAGCTGTAGATAATATCACCTCCAGGGTCAGCTTACTAAACCAATCCAGCATGTCTACACTTTGATCTGTACAGAAATATCGTAATATTGATATGGTGTTGGTAATTTCTACTTATTTCTAAAGTTCTCTGATACTTTGACCCTCCATGACGTCGGTATGTGACAAGGCCCTATTGAAGTAGCCTGTTTTAGCTGTTCAGATAGCGGGGACGGCTTCAATTCACGATTCTGTCCACAACCTGAACGTCTGGAACAGGCTACTGGTGTGGGAGGCTACTTGTACTTGGGCCTTTAACATTTTAACGTTCTCGTGCTCCTTAAATCCTTTTCGTCCACCCCAACCCCCACCCACTAAGAAGTCAGCCATGCAGGCTACGCTGTAGTGATACTCATTGTTTACAAACCTTGTTTTTGTTTTTCAAATGTGTAACGAAGGTGAAAAAATAACCCGTTAATTCCGATTTGTCCCAAGAACCAACAACACGCTTCTGGTTGACACAGTATCAATGGATAACGTGAGTATAGCTTTATCGGGCACCCAACCCGGTTGAATGCACTAGCTTGACGCCTAACCTGAGCTGCGTGGCAGGCGTAAATGGGGAGGGGGGGGGGAGAAAGAGAAAATCCCCTTGTCCCCCTTTCCGACCCGGCCCCCGCCCCGCCCCCATTTCGATGCCTGCCGGGAAGCAGGCTACTCTTGACGCCTGTCGCCCCAGTAACATTTGGAAGGAAGCGCTCGACTGAGGTGAACGTACCCTAAAATCTAGACTTGCAACAAGTCGACCTCTTGGCGAGCGGAACGTGCCTTGTTTGGCCGCGAAGCAGCCGACTTTTTTGAAAGTCTACCTCAAATCTGAAATAGGCGACTGTTAAACAGTCTACCTCTTCTCGAACACTCTTTCTCGAATAAGCACCGCATCTCTGGCTAGAAATGGATGCAAAAGACCTCTAATTGCTTGACGACTCTGTAGGGAAGGAGGTAATAGAGAATTTTAACTCACCCGAATCAGCGATTTCGCCAAGTTTCAGCACAAGAGTGTCACACGATTTTTCAATCAGCGGAACCATCAACTTCATCTTTCCTGCACTGAAAGTGGGTGTCAGCGTGTTGCGGATCCGCTTTCATGTCGCGTCTCGCGCGTTAGCAACGATTTTGGAAAAAAATTTTACCGGTTGCAACACTTGAAAGCGGTTTCGGAAGTTAGGAAACTCTTTAACCATAATTTGCTTCACCAGCTCCGGATCGGCAACGACAAGCGATGGCCTACTTCCGAAGCAGAAAGAGAACACTTTGCCGTATTTCTTGATGTAATCAAGGTGCATCTCGTGCAGTCCATTGTATTTTCTTAGTTCAAGAAAGTTTCCAAAATATGGAATTGGTTTGGGTCCTGGAACGTTTAGTTTCGTGAGGTCTACGAAGCCTCGCGTTCCATACCAGTAGAGAAACAGCGCCACGAGGACAAAAAGAGAAGCAACAGCGGCGGAATGAGGCAGATACCACGAAGATAGAAACTGCTGAAGTAATTCCATCATTGTGAAGTATCTAATGAAATTGGAGAGACGAGAAAAGAACTAATTCTAGCAAAACAATACCGAGATTAACCGCTTCTCTGACTGCTCAAGTCATTTTGTTTAATAGACGATAGCGATTGCTTATGAAGATTGATTTGCAACAAACCTTCCTTGGGCCCTTCGTTCACTCAAGCAATGGGGCAAATGGCCACAGCTGTAGCAATGAACTTTGTGCAGCTAAAATCAGCATTTAAGCGGTGGCGGACCTCAGTTCCTTCCGAGATCATAACAATGTGAAATACCGAGTATAAATGTACTGTGATCAGAGACCATAGAAATGACCTCATTTGCTGACGTCAGTGGTGTCAATCGAGCAACGGCACGATTTTCTGGACTCTCTGTGTTACAAAAAAACACGGTAGACCATCTCCGGCAAGTGATACTAAAGGACAATAGTTTGGGCATGTAAAGTAACTCGTTCATTAAAACCTTGGAGGTCCTCGGAACATCTGACGAGGCGTGAATGATAAACTGAGTTAAAGCTGAAGTCACGTGAGAGAGAGTCTAACAAGGCCGAAAAGGGGTCACGAAAAAATAACAAAACCAAATGAAACGGAACGATCGCAAGGAGAAGACGCGGGGGTGGGGGGAGAGGGGGTACTCCTGGGAATTCTTGGTGGGGGCGTGCCGTCCGGTTCTCCAAAATCCTGACCCTATTTCAGACCAAGAAATGTCATTTTTCACACCCGTTTTCCGACCTGGCCTCTAAGAAATTATGTCATCATTACTTAGACAGACGAGATAAAAACAGTAACAAAAATTATTTTTTAAAATCCATTTCGAATTCCCATATTTCTCTCTCTTTCTTACTCATTTGGAATTGAAACAATAAATACGCTCATACACTCCCGTAGTTTCCTCGAAAACCATACCCGATTCCAGACTATATATATATATATATCTTTAATCCTTTTGCGACTTATAACAGGGGAAAAACGTATTTATCATTAAACTCTGAACTTGACCCAGTCTATAACTATTATAACAACTTACTAAATTATTTGGATCAGTGCAGTTACTACCAAGTAGAATCTTTCAATAACTTAATTGTTCACTTGAACTCAAACAACATGATATTTTCTGTGTTGCATTTAAATATCAGAAGTCTAATTAATATGATTATTTTCAAGCATATGTAAATGTGTTGAAGCGCAAATTTGTGTCATTGGTTCATCAGAAACATGGCTAAACAAAGAAAATAACAATAATTATCCTTTACCTAACTACAATAATAAAGGATTAAATTAACTGCAAAAACCATGGACGAAGATCCTGCTAGTTGTAAACGTTGGATCTCTAGAAAAGAGATCTGATCAGCCAAAATATAAAGAACCAAGAACGAGAAGTCCAAAGACTACTGCCAAGCTGATTTAAAACAACGTTTATTGTTTTTTATAACAATATTTCGGCTACTAGAAGGGGATCTTCCATGAAAAGCCCTAGCAAGTAGCTTGCTAAGATCTCCTGCTTGATAACAAATACTCTGCACTCTTTTCTTTTAACTATTTATTTATCGCAGTAATTAATTATAACAATAACAACAAGATACAAGAATAAAGGTAAATAAGAGGTACTACTACTAAATTAAACCACAACACTTACGCTAGTCTTAAAATATTTATTACAACCATTTACAGTACTAATTGATTTTTTTAATTCCATCCGGCTATTATATTAACGCTATTTTTTTACCTGAAACGATGTGTTTGCTAGACCCAGTAGGAGGTAATCTCTTTGGACATAGGATCGGACTATTTCTGTAAGACGAACCACCGAAGCTCTTTGATTCCTTTCCCTCATCAGTCATGATGAATACTCATGCCTCGGTTATATCGAGAAAACGTTTTCCCGGTAGATCTAGAAGGGTCATTAGCCTGTCTGAGCCACCCTGGGCGAGCCAACTTTTCCTATTTGGTAAACCAATTACATGAGAAACTGCGAAAAGTTGGCTCGGCTAGAAGAGTGACCCACAGAGCCAACCAACCAACCAAACAAAAAATCCACATGACGTCGCAATAAAACAATGCCACGCGGGAAAACTTTAAGAGAAAAGAGGTGATATTCGTTGCCAACGTTATTTCGTTCCATTATTTTGATCAAGTTGACATCGAAGGTTTCTTTCGTAAAACGATCAGAAAGGTACAACAACAACAACTACTACTGTAATTTATTGTACTAAAAGTAAAAACAGAATTAATACCAATGGTAATGTCACCATCCTAACGTTCAGTATTTAAAGTCTAAAAGATTGCCATCAATCTTACAGTACAGTCTCTACTCTAACAAGCACGCCATTTTTAGCACTCAAAGTTGCACCGGGATGTAATACGACGGGAACTTGCGTCTCCGGTGATCGCACAAACTTGTACTTCATCAAGATTTTGACGAGAGCGATCTTGATCTCCAGCAGGGCAAACCTCATACCGATACAATTTCGTGGCCCACCCCCAAAGGGGACGAATTGGAAGGGATGGCGGGTGTCTTTTCTTTCACCACGGAATCTCTCGGGGTCAAACTTCTCCGGGTCCTCCCAGGCACTTGGATCATGATGCAAGGCATATATGGGAATCACAACCTCTGTTCCAGCAGGAATATGGATTCCGTTAAATTTATAATCTTCACGGCATTGTCGATTAACGGCGGCCGCAGGAGGACATAAGCGCTGAGACTCCTTTACGACACAGTCAAGGTACTCGATGTTCTGAGCTATTTCGTAGAGAGGTTTCTTCCTTCCACTGGCCTCCAACGCATCTCTGATTTCTTCCCTAAGTTTGTCTTGTAGATCTGGGTTCACGGCCAAGAAGTACAGGGTGAAGGACAACGTGTTGCTGGACGTTTCGTATCCTGCCAGAAGGAAAATAATACACTGAGCTACAACTTCCTCATCAGACAGCTTGCTAATCCCTTCTGTTGTTGTTTCATCAGTGGCGTGCATCATGAGGTGTAGCAGGTCCTTTCGTCCTGTAAGTCCCTGTTGACGGCGTTGATTAATGATGTCTGTAACAATACCTTCAAAATACTTGGGTTGAAAACCTCCACCGCTAACTAATCTTATAAGACGGAATAGAGCATTTCCAAATGGCAAACGGGAAAGATGCCGTAGGATTGAAGGCACCTGGAATAGTTTCTTCGCTTCTTGCAGCATTTCGGTGTTTTCCCCTTTTTGAACCTTCGCGTCCACACCAAAAGCTGTAGATAATATCACCTCTAGGGTCAGCTTACTAAACCAGTCCAGCATGTCCACACTTTGACCTGAAAATACATATCGTAAAATTGTTACCACGTAATATCAAGAGCCCCAATACGTCCCATTAATATGGCTCTTGATAATACATATTCTTCATATCTGCAGGGAAGGGGGGGAGGGGGTGCAATATTCACTGTTTCATTCAACACGTCAGAAATTAGTTCAGTATCGGTTCGCTTTGCAGCTTCTGAGAGGCGTTCTTAATAAGCTAATTCCCGGGAGCTGTTTTCAAGGCCGGAGCAGTTAACCCACGGTACTTTCAATAATCTTGTCAATTTTCGTTTACTTCAAACTCTTTTTAAACTATATTTCTATATTTTACAATATTAAACAAGAATATCATTGAGACAATTTATATCTCCACGCGCCGTAAGCCGAGTCACACTTTCATTCAAATTAAGACCAACTTAGAAAAAGCGAGACTTCGTATTCCAGGTTTAGAAAATGCAGTCGCCACTTTGCCCATCTTGGCGTATTTCTCTTGAGTTCTACATACAGTTAGTTTGAGTCACAGTTATTTGATATGTTGATCGTAGCGTGACCTGCCCCCTACAGAAACCGGAAACGAAAATGTGTCCCAGTATCATGCAGTGACATTTATTTGGAGAGTTCTATTTTTATTGCTGGCTCAATAAAACCTTTGGTTTTCCCAGTTACCAAAAAGAGCACATAAACTCACCTGAATCAGCAACCGCCTCAAGTTTTTCCACAAGCGTGTCACAAGACGTCTCTATAAGAGGCACCATCAACTTCATCTTTCCTGCGCTGAACGTGGGTGTCAGCGTATTACGGATACGCTTCCACCTTCCATCCCGAGCGTTGAAGACGTTCATGGAGAACACCCTACTCAGTTGTTGGATCTGGAAGCGATTTTGAAAGTTTGGAAAGTCCTTTACTAATATTTGCTTCAGCAGTTCCGGATCACCGACAACAAGCGACGGCCTACCACCCAGACAAAGGGCAAAAACGTTGCCGTACTTCTTAATGTAGTCAAGGTGCAGCTCATGTAGTCCATTGTATTTCCTTACTTCAAGAAAGTTTCCAAAAAAAGGAATCGGCTTGGGTCCTGGGACATTCAGCTTCTTGAGGACTGCAAATCCACGAGTCGCCCACCAATACAGAGAAAGAATCAGCAGAATTAAAACAGAAGCGATCGCAGCAGCAGTAGCAGGATGGCCGAGGTACTCCGAAGATAGAGCCTGCTGCAGTAATTCCATCATTTTAGTGAAGTATCTTGTGATCTTGGAGAGAAAAAAGGAACCAAGTTATCACAAAAACTGGTTAAACAGCATACTCCTCTACAAGTTTGAAAGTATTGCGTTTTGTTTACAGTAACAGAGGCATTCGAGATCAGTCTATAGACAATCTAGTCATTGCAAATTAATTTCAGTACGTAAGAAATAAATTTGTGCAACGTACCTTTCTTTAATTGGTTTCGCTTCCTCACACTTAATCAGTGAACCGTACAAGGATGTGCCAAGGCTGAACAGTGAGATTTTTATGAACAGCTCCGCTTTTCAGTGACAAAATCAGGGCAATAATTGCGAAAGTTTCGGTGACGTGATACAAAATGACCTTATTTGGACTTCGCCCTGCTTTGTCATGCTTCGTATGTAATTTTATTTTCTGTTATGTTATCATAATCACACCTGACCTTTTCTGGATTCTGCATATCATTAAAACCAGCGAGGCTCAGATCATACAGTCAAATACTGTGACATTAACTTCGCCGTGAAATACCACGCTCTAAGCTTGTTGCATTTCCGCAGGACGTTCGACCAAAGGAGGCCCTATAGAAGTTGAAGGGAAGGGGGAGGATGCCGGGTTGAGATTACCCATGTCCTCCGTAACACACCAGACGAATCTCAGTTAGCCTGCTAGCAATGGGCGCTCAGGTTCAGTATATTTGTGTCACCTATTGGGTCACTCAGAAGGGCTTTCTTGAAAAAGTAGCGCTGATTGTTCTCAAGGTTACCCAGCCACAATTTTGAGAAGACACCCTTCTAAGGTTACATCCTTTAAGCCCTAAGAGTGATCAGCATCAAATTTCTCCTTGTAATATCAATGCTTTGTAAAACAGAGTGGTCATGAGAATTACGGACATGATCACTCAAGATGAATTTGCTTGATGTTTTATCAACTTCTCCCCACTACTTCTGTAGGAAATGAATAGGGGCAACAAATGAGGATTCAAATTTTGATCCCAGGGTTTAAAGGGTTAAAAAGAGAAACGAACCGCCAGCATGCAGAAAATTGCTACCTTTTGTCACTTGTGAATCAGTCAGCGGGCTTTATCTACAATGTAGCATTCAGAAAATACAGATGGGGGATATGGGACAGCATCCCACGGGGAATGTTAGTGAGGAACCTCGTCCCCAGGGCGCTTTTCCCTGGCTTTGGAGGTGGGGCTCTCCATTACCAAAAATGTCCCGCTTTCAAAGTCCAGATTCCCTTACGATGGGGCAAGAGGTAGTTATATCTCTCTGTCCCACGTACGAACCTTAACCGTCACAAATTCATTGTCAATATTGAGGTTGTTATTGTTATTAATCAGGGCTCGCCGCTTAATTTCATGCGGCGTTTCATTTTTTTCTGTCATGATAAAAAACTCAAAACAGATTTTCTCTTATTAAATAAGACAGAAGGCCTTGAAGTCTTTTCGTCAGTCACTTAAAGATCGTCCAACAAATTTATAGTAACGTTAAAGAAAAAAGAAAACCAACCTCTATATACATGTTTCATACGTACTGATGTCGGACCATAAAAATTTAACCAGATGTCGTGAAATGTAATTTACATCACCTCGCATGTTAACTAACCTCAGTTATTAAGAAGTCTGATTACCTTGTGGAATAAAGCATCTTTTATTGTTGCTGATTGTGATGATTAGGCAACTAATACTGTATTATATGTACTGTTAATGACTAACTCCCTAGTTTTAACAGAAAAAACTTACATCTTATCCAGTTAATCAACGGACTGCATGGAAGAATTCTGGCAACTTCTTTTTGCGGGCTATATGTTTAGGATAAGTTCATTCGATGAAAAATTCAAAGAACGTGCACTGAAAATTGTGAAATTTATTTGTTTTTAGGGCATTACATTTCAAGGATAATTTTTAGAAATTTATTTGGACAGGAAAATTAGTTGGGGCTATGTGCTATTAGTCTACCTTGTTTATCAATAGTAATTATGGTTAAGCGTATTCATTTCTCTGCCTACAGATGTAGTTCGATCAATCAGATCTATCACAGCTCCAATCAGGATACTGATATATGACATATACTGAAGCAGCTGTTAGAAATCGGTAGCTGTTGAGAACTGTCAATTGCTTATATCAATGACCTGGAACTGCAATTTTGTTTTAACAGCAGAAAGTTCTCAATCAATTTCATGAGGGCCTCTTTGATTCAACAAATAAATTATTAATTGAAAACACCTAAATCTGCTTATATGAACACCAGCAATCTTTTCACACCATTTTTTTGCAATCTATACTTTGCAGTGGCGATATTGGTTTTGGTTATGAAGACTTTGTTACGGTTATGGCCCTAAATCATCTTCTACGTTACTTCTTGCTTTTGTCTACTATTCACCTTTCAAACAGTTCTTGCTCATCAGGAATATGCGAGAGAACGTCTTTTTTGCGAAATGGTGGCAACAAACAAAACTCTTTTCTCCATGGCTACGTAATTGAGACTATGAGCTTAACCACCTTGGACGAATGTTTTCACATGTGTCTCAGAAAATGCCAGTGTCTCTCATTTAACTTTAACGACCTCAACAAAACCCAAAATTGCGAGCTTAACGACGCAACCTTCAAAATGTATCCAGAAGCACTGAAAGAAAAGGAAGGCGCAACTTATTACGAACCTGCCAGGGAATATTTAGACAAGAATGTGAGTAAATTTTTCATTTTTATCATGATCATGCGCACAAATGGAAATCAGATATTTTTTGAAGTAGATAAATTTTTCACCGCACTTCATCTACTAAAAAGCCGATTCTGTACTTAAACAAAACATATTCGTATGAGGCAGCTTCAACGTGGAGTGTAATTTGAATTGTAGGCATTGAAATTTCTCGATAGAAACATTTGATCATGTTTAATTTAACGGCCCTCTTAATTGCGCATTGCCTCTTGATCTTCAAATTCAAATATGTTAATTCCTTAACAATTTTTGCATTGTTAAGTCCTCTAATTTTTCTAACATTTGGGACAAACTGGAGATCGTGCATCTTTAACAGATGAAATGGTGCACTGTGTGCATTAAATATGTTACTAGGGACTTTAACATCCAACGAAGCGGACGGCAACGAAAACGTCAAAAAAAAAAAAAACCAATTGGTTTTTTTAAAATAACCGAAACTTCAACTTTGCACGTGCATCACGCTTTTTTTGTACATTTCTTTCCTATTTTTGCACGACTACGACGTCAAAATGCCTAATTTTGCGTTTTATGGAGGACGTAAACAAGCAACGACGACATTTTATTTCTTTTTCTGAGCTTGGCTATGGTCCCTTGAAATTCAGGTTCAGGAGGGTTCGCCGCCTACATTTGACAGAGTAAGTGGGTAGGAATAATCGCTATAAAGACTGAAAGAACGCAAATTCACTTTTTAAGCTACGTTCTCGTTGCCGACGCATCGTTGAATCTTAAAGTCCCTACTATTTATATCCGTTGTCTCCGGCATTTATAGACGGTATAACGTTAAGGACGTCCTGTGGGAGAGAAATACTTGATCTATTAGCAAAAGCCTGAACGTAGATTAATCTGAAATGATTTTTTCTAGGGATTTTCTCGTGCAACCTGCTCCAATCACAACTGTCATAACAAGTGCTGTGAGCTCAGCCCCTGCGAACACGGAGGAACGTGTCATGAAGTGTGTGACGTCACAAAGAGAAGATTCCACTGCACATGTCCGCCCGCTTTCAGCGGATACAAGTGTCAATTCGTGCTTCGGTCATGTAAAGACGTCATGAAGTATAAAGATGTAAGCATCAAAGGCATTTACGAAATTGTGGGGAACAGTAACAATTCGTTCCCAGTCTACTGCGACTTTGGTTCCGAGCCCGGTATGGCATGGACTCTGATTCAGTCTCATTCCTTAGGAAATAATGGCGCGTTCGTAGGAAAACCATTTTACCAGCACGACATGCCCATCAATCAGGATACACTTGATTGGAGTAGCTACCGCCTCTCGATGTCCCGTATAAAGTCAATTCAAAAAGTGTCCACGCACTGGCGAGCCACTTGTAATTTTATAACCGATGGAGTGGACTACCGAGATTACTGGAGAGTTTCCTTGACTAGTTTGGATCTTCTTGTGAAGCCTCCAACCCCTGACTTCTGTCTTTTCTCTGAGTCTGTTAACGTGCGTGGAAATGAGTGCACCAACTGCACGGTTTTATCCGCGTATTCTAATGTCTGGACTCTGCATATGGACAGCTGGTTTGGTTCATCTAAAGGCTGTGAATTTAATGGACTGTCAGGGGCAGTGTATAACGAAGACAACTTCGGAAACTACGAAGCAACTAACCCCACTTTCCGCTGTACCTCTTCACAAAGCTCGACGAGTCAGATCTGGCTTGGTAGTTTTTAGGTGTAGATAAAAATGCAACGTAAAACTCAACGGTTTCTCCCATTCTCCGTCAGTACATATTGGAAGTTGTGTCAGTACACCTACACAACGTCTATCGCCTACATATCGTCGGTAACCGTTTTTGCGCACACGAAATACCAATTAAAACTTAAAGCCTTTTTGCATAACACGCCAATCAATAAGACACTATTTGATGAGAGCTTACAGCCCCCCAATTGAACATGTTGAATGCCGTTGTCACGTATGAAGTCCATTCAAGACCTCTTTACTGACTGACGATCCACCTGATGACCGATGACGTTAACTCCAGTGTGAAGATTGTAGAGTGGCAATGAAACGTTTGAACTCATTATGCACTTTGTATTTTGTCACCAACAGTCCGCTCTCTTCCGCAGAGTCAATTTTTGAAGCAAGGACAAGCTTACAAAAAAGAAGGACTTGATCCTAATAAAGGATCTAATCAGCAATAAGTGAAAATTTAAACAAAAGAAGCAAGGCTGATTTCACAGTCAGGAATATATATATATATATATATATATATTAATAATCACAGGAGTTCAGGCTTCAGGAGTAATCATTGATCGTTTATTGCGACAGTGCTGTTTCGTATGGTCCG